ATATATACTTGATTTAAAAAGATAACTTATTGTAACCAGTAAGTATGTCTACTATAGCATGTTATATGTGTTCATGCCTTCATTTTACTGAACTCCTCAGTAACTTGAGTGAAATAAATTTCTTTTGAAACAAACAAACTTAACTGCAAATAAAAACTACCTTTTAATTTATTTTCAGAAGAGTTTTTATCCCTATCGGCAACGGGATGGGAGTCATTATTAAGAAACTCCCAAACAGTAAGGAACTCCAGTGAATGAATCGTGGGCAACTATTGCATCGCAATTTTAACTGTATAAGAGTTGCGTGAATAAACGTGTGCTTTCTGAAGTGAAAGGAGGGTAGGCTCGTCATCCTGCCCAAAAACATTCACTATCCGATCCTAAAGCGTACCGTCCAATAACGATTCTGTCATTCCACGGAAAATTAGTTCAAAGAGTGATGCTTGCTACTCCTGTGGTGTTCTATAATATTTCCGGGGCCAGCATGGGATGAACTCCAAGCGAAAGTATGTACAGCATTGTGACTTGACATTTTCGGATAGCATTTTTGGCATAAGCCGACGATGTTACATTGCTGATTGAGATTGATTCTCGACCCAGGCAAAGAACATCACCGAAAGGAGAGTGAGGAACCAAAATCGCTCCCTCGATTAAGATGAGCATTGAGAAAGTGCCGTCTTTTAATGAGAACGCTAAGCAGATTGGTGAGAGGCCCTTTTTTTGTTACCGTGGGGGAAATGCCTATACGTACCTGTCCTCGTGGGGATAAATCGGATTATGTCAGACACGTCGGATTAAAACCGCCACGATATTACACCTAGAGGCTACATTAAAATACACATTACAATAATAGTATAGATATAGACTTCATTCGTTTCTCCGATATGCATTAGTTTCGATGGCATAGTGCTTGACCACGTTGACTCGCGGCCCGGTAGCGGGCGCGGTCATGAAATATCAAACATATGACTTAGCATCCAAGTGTTCACGTACGAAACGAACGTTTGGTCCAAGTAGCGGGCAAACTAGCGACGGGCGCGCGCGCCGCGCTCCCTACGTGAACACATTATTAAACGCTTGGGACGTTTGAGGGTGTTCACGTCGAACTAGCGTCGGAGCGCATTCACTCCCGACATCAGGTAAGTTCAACCATTTTGAACTTGTCGCTAGAAATTATAGCCTGTTTGTATCTTCTTTTGAAATGACACTCGTTATTGAATCCACTATGTAATCAAAACCAGTATATAACCATACCGTTCTCTTTTTACCGTACCGTTATTGCTTTTTCGGTTCATAATATATGATCGTCGTCCATGTTTTCAACCTCTGAAAAGTCATCACACTCGCGCAAACGCCTGGTGGCTAACGTGAACACGAGATTGCAACGTCTACCGCGCCCTCACTCTCCACCGCACCCGCACTCGCCACCGCGCCCGCATGATCCTACGTGAATAAGGACGTACACTAGAGCGCTAGTGCGCACCAGTGTAACTTTTTCAAATGTATGAAGCTTTCGTTCCTCTGGTGAGGAGAACATTATTGAGTATTGATGTTCATTCATAGTGTGATGTTCGGCAGGGTACACTAGCAAACGCGAGTAACCAACCGGAACCATACACTGACATCGCTCGTGAAGCAATTTCATTGAATTTTAATATAATTGTAGGTACTTATCGATCAAACGAAGATGTATCGTACAAGTTTTTGTTTAGATTTTTTATATTTTTTTTATTTTTAGTAGGATTAATATATAGTCTATTAAGATTTATTTATTTATTTATTAAGGCTTACCAACTAAATGCATACAGAACATTGAAATGTGTTTAACTTAATACTAAAGTTGTAAACAATATATTATTTTCAAATTAATTACAGGTAAACACAAGACTTACAAAACAAACTTGAAATAGAGAACAGGAACTTAACTAAAAATAAATTTTCTTTTATCGCTGAAAGAAAAAAAAACGAAAATAAGAAAATTGGAATATGGATAATTGTAAATTAGAACTTAGCAATACGCAGAGGTTAACTTATTATAAAATTCTTCATTAAGATCTATTTCGGAATCAATTGCAATAACTTAGTTCACGGTGAATTATTATAGATAGGCAATAAAAGAATCGACCATAGGGTCCTGTTTCGACGAGGATCGACCTGTCGGGTAGGACACCAACGTTAACAAGAACTGAGTAGAACTTCTGTCTGCTCGAAGTGAAACCTTACTTAAATCTACAAAAGCGACAACAAATGACTGTTCCGGTAATTATTGCAATCGCCGCGGTCGCCTTGTAGATATTGAAGTGACGAGTAACGATGTATCGCGCATATCTTGAGGCACGGAGTCATTTGGTCTAGTTGTTGTTGAGACTAACACCCAGTTTCCGAAAGCGCAATCAATTTTAATTTACGATAAATCTAAGTTGATCTGAGTTGCTAGAACGTCTAAAAACAACATTGATTTTGATTTGCAATTAGTCACTGATTAACGGACAATCAACAGAAAATCGAGTTTCTGAAAGCGTTTCTTCTTCTTCTTCTTCTTTTCTTTTCTTTTTTGGCGGTTTTCAATGAATACGCCAATGAACACTTCTGGTTGTTTATTTTTGCCTAACTTTTATAATGAAATGATGAAGAGAATGATTTTATGAATGTTAAATATGTATATTTTTATATATAGAATATCTAAACAAATTTACATAATTATAGCAATTACCTAGAACAAAGAAAATAAGATTGTAATTATTATGCCTGAAAGCGTTTTTCGGTGGTCAACGAGCTGTCAAAGTTTTATTAAGTAATCTGTCAATTTGGACGATCAATCGTTGGTTAAAAATGTATTTTATCAAAAATCTTAGTTTTTATTAAAAATAAACATAATTCCCTAATACGTTGTTAGGACATTCATGTGTTCTATTATCTATTTATTATTTATTATTATGCGAACATATCATGTGATTAGAAAAAATACAAAATGCAATTCAAAAGTAATAAATAATATGGACTCTTTCTGTTTATAATACTTACTTGTTTATTATGGATAAAAGTTAATTTTTTTCACATTCTGTAATGTTTTATTTTTGAAATTTTGCATGTATTTATATAAATTAAATTTTATTATAGCTCGAATTTTTACGTTGGCAATCACACGGTGACAGGACTGGATAGTGACGTTAAATTAAGTTTTGTTTAAAAAGGGACAGCTATACAATAGAAAGAGTTAGTTGAAGTGTATCATTCATTTCATTCATTTCATTCATTATCATTGGTTATACAGTGATTAGCTAATTTTTCTTGAACAAACCTTCCAGAAACCCAAGGCAGTTTAACAAGAGATTAACAGCTGATCATTTTTGACATAGTGTTATGTGATTGCTGCTTTGATTGGCCTTTCGGAAACTGGGCATAAGCAAGATGCACTTAATCCTTAATCGTGCCAAGTATCCCGATCCGGCTAGTCCCACGCTTTCAGGCTGAATATTCACTGCCCAGTGTAATGCTCCACAGATCTTGTCATCAGGCTTTAACAGAGCTTTGCTCCATAGCTAGGGTAAACAAAAAGCGACGCTGTATCCATTAAATGTATTTCAGAAAAACATTTGGCCATAAGATAGTCTTTTAAATCTTTTCTTTATTTAAACTACTAATGTGCGCGGCGATTTAGCTCAATTCATTCACTTAATCTTATCCTTTAAACGAGCAATTCTTGTTATATATATATATATATATATATATATATATATATATATATATATATATATATATATATATATATATATATTTTATATATATATATATAATCGCAATCTCGGAAACGGCTCTAGCGATTTTCATGAAATTTAGTATGTGCGTAGATTCGAGGGCGAAAAATCGAACTGACTAGGTTTTATTTTTAGAAAATGTCTATGACGGTAAATTTCGCCGAAAGAGAAAATGTCATAATAGCTCGGTCGGTAATCGGGCGGCCCCAAAACAGACAGGCGTGGTTCGCGTCACGAACATTTATTGTTTTACTTTTTTTTCGATTTCAGTCATTGCTTTCTTTAGTTTTAATTTTTTGTCGATTTGTTACTTTGTTATTTATTTCCCTTTTTTTTTAAAGTTCTTTCTTTTGTGAAAAACATCAGTTCATATTTTCTTATTATTACGTCGGTAAGATCGAAAAACATTATGCATATTTCATTACTCAGTAATTTTAATCTAAATGTAATTTCCAAAATACACGATTTACCAAAAAAAATTTCGGTTCTCCGGGTACTACTACATATGCGATACCCTCTCGTTGTTGCACCTATAATCGACAAACTTGGTAGGTAATTTAAGTAAGTGTTTCTTAACAAGAAGAACACTAAACTTAATGTTAAATTTTGTGATTTCAATTAAGTAACTTAAATTTTAGATATAAAATAAATTATACTCAATGTGATAAAAAAGTAAATAAATTATGTAAGACGACTTCTAGAGCCGTTTTATTAAAATAATAAATAAACTGAGAAAATATTTAAAAAATTGGCAAATTTTAATTCATTTGCTATCCCTCTTGTCACTCACACATAGATCGTGCGATGCTTTTGTTAGTAATCTAGTTATCAGTTATAAGTTTTAATTAAATCGCCCCATTGGATTGATACAGTGTGACCCCCACAAAATGTTTGGCACTGAGCTCAGCAATACATATAGTAGTTGGGAGCTTAAAAATATTATAAATCATGCATATTCCCTTCAGTAAACATTTCCATAAAAAAACGAATTGTAATATAACTCAATAAAGACTTATTGTTTCACTCTATTGTGTAATGACAATGATAATAACAGTTTAAATATACACAGTTATTACTTAATTTTAATTGAATCCCACGTATTAAAATAAAAGAAATTACATTGTTTATAACGTGTCCTTTAATATGTTACGAGTTAAGTTCCACAGATTAAGAACTAGCAAAACAATTCTAAAAAATTATTTGATTTTGAAACATAACATGATCAGAAAAAGATTTATATTAATCTGTTTTCGCTAGCACCAAAACTGGAGATCTATTGTAGAAGCATTGTAACACTTTGTACATCGTCTCGAAGCCTTCCTTATCTACTATCTTATTGCAATCCGAAAAGACTTTTTTAATCTCGTCCTGTTGGTCGTTCTTTTCGTATAATTCCAACGTTTTGTCCTCGTAGAAGTGGCCAGCGTCGTCAATCAGCCCGGAGTTTTTGAACAAGCAAAAGGCAAACTTTTTGCTAGTTTCATTGTTGTCAAACTGCCACCGGAGAACCCGCTGCAAAATATTGGACTCTGCTCCAGTTTCTGCAATGCAGCCCACCGACTTTTCTACCAGAACGTTGGTTACCTCTGCTGGTAAATCTATGTACGTCTATTGGAAAAAAACAAACATTTAAGGTTAATAATACGCATCCATAGTTTGTAATCATTTTGTTTAATTAAATTATGTTTATCCTAGTTATGAATTATCATATTTATCAGTGTTAAACAATTTTAAATTGTTTTTAATCTTAATACTGAATTTTTTATTTAAATTATTGCAATTATTGCAGAAAAATAACATCAACGTTGCTTGTCTACTTTCATTCTTTAATTTTTTTGGTATTGTTAGTTGTGGTTCTGGTCTATTAATCTTTTATTTAATCGATTTTTCATATTTATTAGCCTACCGTAGCTTTTTCAATTTTGTAAATTTGCTGTCTCAATAGAACAAATGTTCATTTCTCTCACGTATAATGGTGCGGTTCCAGCACAATGGGATTGAAAACTAGAGGAAATTCCACTTTTCCTTTAAAAGTTCACTAAGGTGCGACCTCTGTCAGTAAAAGAAAAAAAATTCCGTCATTTCGTCAAAATGTTTCTTAGTGGAGGTGAAACGAACATTAATTATTAAGATGACTTAGAATAATAGTTATACTCTAAATATTTAGTGCCCAAGCACAAAAAAATAATAAGATTTATTGTTTGTTAGATTGGACATTTTTGAAGCTAAGATGGCAAAGTTTTGAGCCGTTTTGATGCCATTTTTTCCTTTACGTTCATACATATATATCTAAAAACTCGAGATTCGTAATAAGCGTGTTAAAATAAAAAGTAATAAATTTAATATCTTACCTGTTCAGCACTACACACTGCAATAAATAAACTGCAAAATAACACAAAATACATTATGAACAGTTTTACAATCAACTCTGTACTATACAGCTTCGAAATACGCAAAATGCCAGTAGTTGTTTGAAATATGCCAGCAAAGACTTGCATTTATATGTTTTAGATCTATTGCTTACAATAGTATGCGAAAACTTGTTAATACTCGTGTGTTAGTTCCTTTTTGTGTTTTTATTATAACCTTTTAAATTTTTTGCGATGTCTGATTACGTCACATATATTCTGTGTGGTTTTCTAAAGAAGATTAATTACGTTGATAATTTAAAAATACAGAATAAAAACTGTAGTGAATCAACGAATCAAAAAGCATTATGTTAAAACATTTCCAATTAGGGGCTAGCATTAAGCGGTATCACTTTTATTCAAAAATTTATCATGGTCTTCGTACCTTAAGAAGGTAAGGTTCCGTGAACTGAAATTTAATAATCTTGCCTTTGTGATCGACGAGCTTCATCATTTTCATCACCATTTTAGCGTGTTTGAGACCACTGCTGGACATAGGTCTCCCACACAGACTACAACCGAGCATGATCCTGAGCCACCAACATCCATCGACTTCCCACATACTTACACAGGTCGTCACTCCATGTAGCGGGGGGTCGACGAACCTATTGTTATTAAAAAAAGATTAAGACTATATGAATGTCCGGCCGAATAGCATATTTACTGTGACGGAGCCACGCAGTAGCATCCATAGAAGAGGGTAGAATATAGATACAAGTGTACGCCTTTTATTTTATTTTATTTTATATTTAAAAGGCCTATCAACAACTGTTTACACTATATCTTAATAATAAAAAAGAAAAGGAACAATAATTACTTCTATAAGTGTAACAATAACTTACAGATAAGCACAGCAAGTACAGTTGAACATCATAACTATAAATATAAAATTAAAACTATAAATAATGAAATAGTAAAAAAATAAATAAAAATGTGGCTTAAAATAAACAGCTATAAAATAAATTAAATTAAATTATGGCTTGATTGGTATGTTTATTACATAAGGTAAATATATATATTCAAATTTTAGAAAGTGAGGTATACATTATTTTAGAGACTGACTATTGAGTCAACATGAAAATCTATTTGATCGCTAAACTCTCCATATCCGCCGAGTTGAAAGCCTCAGTTAATACAGTAAATTTCTCTAACGGATGAAGAGACTGCCTAACATAAGTAATATAATAAAAATTAAGCCTAGGTCCAATGAGAACATATCCTTACTTTTCAGATGGGTAAAGATTTTTTTAGCTTTTTTTAGCCGCTTAGAAGTGGTTATATTTTCTTTTTTGTATTATCTACTATTAATATTTGACTACTGGCTTGCTCACTCTCGACCTTTTTCTAATAAAAAGAACATGACCGCTTTACGTCTGATGATAAGAAGATATTGCTCTCTGTAGGTTATTTCATCGATAGGCCTAAAAAAATTATAATAATAATTTTTTTTTTAAATGGGGTGCTTTGTCAGATAACCTCCTCGTGGTGCACCCCGGGTACCAGCCAGTGGCCTTTGTGGCCTTTGTGGCCTTTGTGGCCACTAAGGCCACAAAGGCACTGGTAGCAAATAATCTGACGGGTGGGCGTTTCTCCAGGTGTCCCTCTGACCAGCAGAAGGCATACTGGAGAAGCAAGGGCGGGCTTTGTGTTCACTAACCCTGTCTCTAAGCGGGCGATGCGACTACGGTCTCGTCTCCACCGTCGACCACGACGCGGGAATGCGCGTGAAACTCGTAACCTGGTCAAAGTGCTGTGGTCATGTCTCGCGACTTTAATCGGGAACGAGGGCCTTGCCTTTATTGGCCGGGCCAAGAGGAGAAAACCTCTATAAAAAACCCCCAATCTCAAGCAGTGAGAGCAGCGCAAGGAGATGCATGGTTGAGGGATTGTCAATCACTACTGCTACTCGACCCCAGGCACCGGCCGACCCCTGGGTGTATGTAGGCTTATCCAGGTACAGGAGGGCACTGCCTGGACAGACTGAATGTTTCCCCCATACTCGTGGGATCTGCAATCAAGAAAACTAGAACCCTTAATAAAAACGCGGAAGGAAATGAAAGTGCTGTGAGCGAAAGTTGCTCTGGAACTGTTTCGGCAGTTCGTGACCCAAAGACGGGACGTCTTGTTGCACGGGGCCTAACTGCTCCTGAAATAAGAAGCGAAGGAGCAGAGTCGGACTCCTCCATCATGTCGGTTGCTTCGGCTAAATCAACGGCCTCTCAAGTAAGCAGAAAACGGAGAAAGGCAAAACAACAGTCTCCAGGAGAACTAAAAGCCCCGGAGCCGAAACGCCAAGCGACAAGTGTCGAAAGGTTGGAGCGCGGGAACGCCAAATTGCGTTCCCAAATCGCTGAGCTTACGGCGAAAGTTGGTAAGTTGACAGAGGAGCTCAGTGATTTACGAAAAACAGAACAATGTAAGGCAACCAAGACGCCCCAATGTATTACGGAAGGAGAATCCGAAAGTCGGCTGATGGAGCGCATGAGCGTTCTCGTCGATAAAAAAACTGGCGGGTTTCGTTGGGCAAGGAACGATGAAGAAGTCGGAACAGTGCCCATCATCATCTGGAGGATCTGGCAATGCAAAGCGCATCCAGCGCGATCAATCTAAGGGCTCTACTTCTTTCGAGCATATAACGGAAAGTGAACGCCCACCGCAACCTTGGGCGGTAGTGGTTAGTCGCAAAGTCAAGAGGGCGGCTACGGAAGAAGAGCCTGTGACCCAGAAAGTCCCAGGAAAAGAGTCGGTCCCAAAGCCAGCTATGAAAGCAGTAAAGCCGGGAAGGTTGCCCAGCTCAGCGGCCATAACGGTCACTGTGCCAGAGCATAGTGAGAAATTGTATGCGGAAGTCATGGCAACTGCAAGACAAAAGGTGAACCTGTCGGACTGCGGCATCGAAACAGTCCGAACGAGGAGAGCTGTTACTGGGGCCTTAAAACTAGAGGTTACCGGATCTGACAGTGCTGCTAAGGCCGACAAGTTGGCTACCAAAATGCGGGAAGCTCTCGCCGAAATGGACGTGCACATCGCACGGCCAGTGAAAACTGGCGAATTAAGGGGATGGATTTAGACGAATCGATCACTCCAACAGAGGTTGCAGCTGCAGTGGCTGAAGCGGGAGGCTGTTTCGTCAAGGACATAAAGGTTGGTGAAATACACCGGAAACCATTGAGTTTTGGGTCCATATGGATACGATGCCCGCTCACGGTGGTTCGTAAGCTGGCGGAAGCTAAAAGTGTCCGTATAGGGTGGACAGCTGCAAGGGTACAGGTGCTAGCACAACGGTCATTGCAGTGCTACCGGTGCCTTGAATCGGGTCACGTACGCAGCAGGTGCCCCAATGAAGTGGACCGTAGCACTCGCTGTTATTCATGCAGTGAACCTGGCCACAAGGCAAGTGAATGCAAAGCAGGAGTCCTGAAGTGTCCACTCTGTACGGATCTTGGACGTCCGGCTAACCATCGATTGGGAACAAAAGATTGTACACCCAAAGGGAAGACAAAAGGAAGGGGGAGTAAGCAGGCTCCCCCACCTATGGGCACGTGTGCCCCGGAGGCTATGGATGCTTCACCTTCAACAGAAACGTAAAGCTCCTCCAAACCAACCTGAACCACTGCCGCGCGGCGCAGGACCTGCTACTGCAAACCCTCGCGGAGTGGTCGGTTGCATTGACGGTTATAGCGGAGCCATACCGGATTCCGGAACACTCTCGCTGGTTTGGTGACGATGGAGGCTCCGTCGCGGTTTATTGGTGTGGTGGAAATAGGGACCCGGCCGGTTCATTGACTGCAAGGGGACGGGGCTTCGTTGCTGTCAAATGGGGTACGCTGATTGTAGTAGGTTGCTACATCTCTCCCAATTGCAACCTTGCTGCATATGAGGCGTACCTAGATCGCGTAGGTGGCTGCATCCGCACATGCCTACATCGACCTGTTCTTGTCCTGGGAGACTTCAACGCTCATTCTAGAGCTTGGGGGTCCACGCGGGACAATGCAAGGGGAGAAACCTTGCAGGGGTGGGCGGCAGGACTAGACCTCCGTCTCTTAAATCGAGTTTCTGTGAGTACATGTGTGCGGTGGCAGGGGGAATCGATTGTGGACTTATCGTGGGCCACTCCTTCTGATACTCACATGGTGTCGGGATGGAGAGTAGTGGAGGAAGTAGTCACATTATCTGACAACCGCCATATCGTATTTGATGTGGCACTCTGCCCACCAAATATTGGTATCCACCACTGCAGCCCGCGGCGTTGGTCCCTCAAGCGGGTTAACATAGATATGCTCGAGGCCGCAGCTATCGTGGCGTCATGGCCGGAGGCACACTCTGATAGAGTTCCAGATTCTGAAGAGGAAGCGGCCTGGTTCCGGGCTACGATGACGTCAATTTGTGATGTTTCGATGCCTCGAACCAGGTCTTTCAGGCCAAGGGCAGTATACTGGTGGTCAGAAGCCATCGCTCGGCAGAGGGAAGTCTGTTTGCGTGCTCGACGCCAGTACTCCAGGTGAAGGCGGGCCACGGCTGAAGAGGAGGCGAGAGCATACGAGGCTTACAGAGGTGCCACAAGAGCACTGCAAAGAGCGATCGACGAAGCCAAGGCTCGGTCCTGGAGTGAACTCCTCGAGAGTCTGGATAGGGATCCGTGGGGGCGCCCGTATAAGATTGTATTGGGCAAGCTCCGACCATGGGCCCCGCAACCTTTGTGGGAAGAGTGATTGATACGCTCTTCCCCTTAACCCAGGAAAACCCTGAGCCCCCAACCATAATTATGAATGAGACCGATTGGTCTGATGGATTGGGAGTTACTCAGGACGAGATGGACCGGGCCATTAAACGGCTTCGAAGCCGGAACACCGCAGCAGGCCCTGGTGGTATTCATGGTCGGGTGTGGGTGCTAGCTCTCTTCGCCGGACTGGGAGGGAGACTGAGGCGACTCTTCAACAGTTGTCTCAAAGCCGATGTTTTTCCCTCACGTTGGAAGGAGGCCAAATTGGTGCTATTAAAGAAGGATGGAAGGTCTGCTGACGCTCCCTCTGCGTTCCTACCTATTTGTTTGCTGGATGAGGCGGGCAAACTATTTGAAAGAATTATTGCCGACCGCCTCAAAATGCACCTACGTCAGGTAGGCCCCGACCTATCGGATAGCCAGTATGGTTTTAGACAGGCTCGGTCAACTATTGACGCAATCCTTTGCGTCCGAGACCAGTCGCAGAGAGCTGTTACCCAGGGTGGTGTGGCATTGGCGGTCAGCTTAGATATCGTCAATGCCTTCAATTCATTACCCTGGCGTACAACCACCCAGCTGGTCGGTTCGCGTGGGTGACCTGCAGATCCCGGTGAGACCATGAAATATCTTGGTCTCACTCTGGATAGTCGCTGGGGCTTCGAGGAGCACTTCAACCGCTTGGCCCCCCGTATAGAGAAGGTAGTAGGTGCCTTGCACAAATTACTGCCTAATCTCGGGGGCCCCAGGGAAGGAGTTCGCCGCCTCTATGCGGGGGTCGTGCGATCGATGGCCCTCTACGGTGCGCCCGTATGGTTTCACCGGCTAACGAGCGTCCGCCGCTGCAGAGCTAAACTTTATAGCCTGCAGCGGAGAATGGCCATCAGAATCGCACGAGGTTATCGAACGATATCCTTTGAGGCGGCCACTATCCTAGCTCGGTTTCCACCACTGGACATCCTGGCGGAGATAGATGCGCTAGTTTATACTCGCCTTCGGTTACCCCAGGATGATACCGAGCCCCTGGATGCGGGAGAGGTGCGGGAGCAGGAGCGTACAAGGGGGTTTGAGATTTGGCGCGAGCGCTTGGGAGAACCTCAGAACTCGCGCCAACGGATTGTCACTGGGTTCCTGCCAAGCTTCGAAGCCTGGCTTAGTGCGAGGGGATTTGCGCACGTCACCTTTCATCTGACGCAAGTACTCACCGGGCACGGATGCTTTGGTGAGTACTTAAATAGAATTGAACGCGAACCGACAACGCAATGCCACCACTGTGGTGGGGACCGGGACTCCGCGCAGCACACGCTTGCTGAGTGCCCCGCATGGGAGTCAGAGCGACGGATCTTGGTCGAAAAGATCGGGCAGGACCTATCTCCACCTGTTGCAGTGGCGGCTGCGCTGATGGAGAAATCCGCTTGGATGGCACTGGTCTCTTTCTGCGAAGCTGTTATGCTCCAGAAGGAGACCGCTGAGCGGGAACGGGAGAGGGCCGACTCCGATCGGAGACAAAGACACCGGGTCGGAAGAAATGGACGAGGCGCCCTGTAGTCTCGGGCTCGTAGAATAGAGCTAAGGTATCCCCTGCCTGTCGTAAAAGGGGACACGGATTGGCAGCAGCACGAAGTGGTCTCGGGCTGCTGGAAGACGGCGAGGGAATCGAGGAAAGGTTTACCCTTCTCCGAGGCGTGCTCACGCCCAGTACCGAGGGACACCGGTGCGTTCCATAGGAGATCCCGGAGTCCCTCCATAGGTACAGATGGTGGCCACCGAGGGGGTTTTTAGTGGGTACGAACCCCACACAACCCTGTCATATCATGACAGGGTATCTTTTGAAGATTTCCCCCCCGATACCAAAAAAAAAAAAAAAGGCCTAAAAAATAATGTGTCATTATTGTAAATGTTTTGTGTCTTTGCGTTATAGAACATCCAAATTTTTTTCGTTTTAAATAAAACTATGAAGTCTAATGCAGTATCTATTACATTTTTTCCTTATTTCACATGAACAACGTTATTAAAAAAACAGGTATAGACTGGTTTTGGATTATAACATATAGACAAATAATAGGAGATACTTAAATATTAAATCAATTCGTACGTCGACATTGATAGCTCTATGAACTATTGGATATTATTTTATTGATTATTATATTTATGTAATTAAAAGCAAGTAAAGTAACAACCTGTATAATATATCCTATCGGACAAAGGCCTCCTCTGTAGGGATAAGGGCATAGTCTACCACATGACCTGTGGATTGAATATTAATATCTTAATATATATATTTTATTATTTTAAGAAAATAAATTTAGAAAATAATTTTAGAAAATAAATGTTTCCTCACGATTTTTTTACTGCTGAGCTCGTGATAAGTGAGTACTTGAAATTTTAAATATTGAACTCGGTTAGCTTGAGTATATTGAATAGGAAGCCAGCGCCCATATACTGAGCTATCCCGGCTCGTTCATTACATATAGAAGAAAAAATTTAAACTGAGACAGCCCGAAGACATAACTTAAGACATTTTTCACAGCAGGTCATTCAATAGCTTGGTTGGCGCAGTTTTTAAAAATATAAAAGTATTAAAGTAAAGAAAATAAATTCGATATAGATATATACTAGCATTTATTTCGAAACTACATTAAAAAAATTGAGAACTGCTTCGTGGCAGCAGGTTGACCCTTGTCTTATACGACCAAGACCACAGGTGTGTTCTTGTAGAAGCATTGAACGGTCTTGTGCATAGTTTCCACGTTGTCCGACTCCTTGTTCTTGTTGCAGGTGTCAACGACCTTCTGCACTTCGTCCTTGAGGTCGCTGCCTTCGAACAGAGTGACGAAGCCGTCGTTCAGGTGGCCGTCCTCATTGCCGTAGTTGGTCTTTTGGCACAGGCAGTAGATGAACTTCTTGCTGTCCGCGTCGCTGCCGAAGTTGAGCTTGAAGAAGTTGTCCGACACCTCCTGCTTGACTGAAGTCTCTGTTACGCAATCGGACGCTGCTTTCTGCACAGCCTTAAGTACCAGCGGAGGCAGGTGGATGACGGGTCTCTGAAAAGCAGGCCGACTCGTTACTCGGAGCAAATAAAAAAAATTCCGGACATATTTATACAACGTCATCTAGTACCAAACTAAGCCAAGCTTGAATTGTCTGTTACAGATAAAAAACCAAGACATAGAAAAACATTATGTTCATCACACAATATTTTTCGCGTAGTGGGGATCGAACCCATACCCTCAGACGGAAGAGACACAATGTTGTGAAAATTTAAACGGCAAATTTATTATTCAAAATGTAATTTTTTAAGTTTCAAATGGCTATATTTATTGTATCTTTTTATCTTTGAATTCAAGACAATTTAATTTTGTTTCTTCAACTAGTTTAATAACAAATATTTATAGCGCAGCACTGCTATCTGAAAATTAGCCTTAGGAAAATTAACCTTAGTTGAAAAATATTAATTTTCGTGAAGTATCAACAAAATACACCCTGTGTTTTAGTTTTGATATAATTTTGCTTAGATTACTGATGCCAGCGCAAAATAGTGGAAGATTAATTTAAGTTTTTCATTAATTTAGAGGTCGAGCCTCTATATAAATAAATCTTAACAACATATGTACATAAAGACAATGCTGGACATCCAAAACCAGAGTATGAAAGAAGAAAATATAATTACACTTCAGGGTATTTGTTAAACTAACGCAGTATTTTGATTCTAGTACCTATCTCCATATATATAAATGAATCGCTGAATGTGTTGCTAAGCGCAAATCTAGAGAACAGCTGAATCGATTTCGCTCATTCTTTTTTTATAATATTTCTTGAAGTACAAGGATGGTTCTTACGGAGAGAAAAATTTAAAAAAGTCTAAAAACAACACTTTTATATATTCCCGTACAAAAGATTCGTAATAATACTTAAAAGTCAATTTGAACTTTAATACCATATCATAAAGTGGTAAAATGTCACTTGAAATGTAAACATCTCTTTGCTGTGCGTCACTACATAGTATAAAACAAAGTCATCCCGCTGTCTGACTGTCCCTATGTATGCTTAGATCTTTAAAACTACGCAACGGATCTTGATGCGGTTTTTTTACTAGATAGAGTGATTCAAGAGGTAGGTTCATATGTATAATACATTGCACCCGTGCGAAGCCGTTGCGGGTCGCTAGTATACTATAAACAAATAATTTTTTCACACGTATAATTTGTGAAATATATTGTGAAATATATTGTGGAATATAATCCAATAGCCAATTTACTTTGCTTACCTTAACCTTAATTTTAATATTGGCCCAATTACAAATACGATACAATTTAAAATTTTGTAGAACGATAATATAAAAACGGTCTCAAGGATCTATTTCACCGACCAAAAATGGAACGCAATATCCGACTTTAAAATTGAACGCCGACACAGAAAATAGCTTTAAATTATCTTAGGGCCTTATATTGGAGCGAAAGACGAATGGAAGAGAGTCAGATCTGACCGTATTTTTTTTATTTATTTAAAAAAAAGATGCCCTTACTTTAGGATAACATTATCCTGTGTTGTAAGGACGTTTTACAAACATAAATTTGTTGCAGACAAACACCCAGGTGCGAAACAACTATCTATGGGTCACACAAATAGTTGTGGGAATCGAACCCACGACCACCGACGCCGAAGTCTTGGCAAATGCACAACGGAGTCATCAGTGGGAGTTTTTCCACTAACAAGTTAAAAAGAAAAAACGTACCTTTTCTTCGGCATACGCCATCGATAGAATGGATAATACAACAACAAAGTACAACATGGTGAATAGATTTAGTTATTTCTATTGATAGTTCTAGTTTTCTTCTGATAGTTCCTACAGTTACCACTTGTTACTGCTGAATGACAACTCCACTGGACTGCTTCCATTTATATCATGGTGCAAATGTCGTCTTACGGAGCTGTTCTACTTTGGATGACGGTAAGTGATTTGAAAAAATAGTGCCCATTACTTTTGTTTTTTTCTTTCATTAACGGTTCTAACATAAAAAAGGTTTCACCAATTCTATTAATGTGGAAAGTCCACAGTACATGCAAATATATGCGCGTACTGCTATTTAAGCCATAAATCATTCAATGCAATCGATGTAACACAAAAAAGGAGCAAACAATATGTCTCAGTAGATTTTACACAATAATGTACCGTTGGTCATGAGGTTGTTGTTAATATTTTATTATTATTTTCCAATTGCAGCTTTGTGAAGGCTTAGACCGGTATTATAAATTTTATGAAACTGAGAATTACATTCTCTTTATATCGGCATTATAAAAATTATTATTTTTTAATATATTTTGGGTTATTTTTCAAACAATTTTATTATGTAAGTAAATATTTTATAATATAATTTAATATCTCTCATCATTTAGTATATAAGAGTTTAATTTTCTTCCTATTGCATGTTTACTATGGTTTAATAAGTGACGATTTAATACATGGTTAAGTTTTATAATATTTTGTTATATTATATCATACGACCCTAATAATAAATATATAATATAATTTTCTTAGTGCGTAGTGCGTTGTAAGTAACTGCGTTGTCCTAAATATAATCTATTAGAGACCAACAACATATACTTAGCAACTAACCTTTTAATAATTTATTATAGTATAATATGATCATATTTCCCATAATCGCACTTCGCTTAAATTGCTTACTATTCAAAAAAGACGCAGCTCTATTTTAAATTATGGACCTTTTTCATTAAAACTGAAAGATAATTTAACAATACCTTTCGTTAAACAGTGAAAGCGATCACCGATCTTCATCTAATTAGAAGATATTCCTCAACATGTTTCTACTTACGGAGGATGGAACGAACGATTATGGCGGATGTTGCCATATAGTCATAACGGCGTAATGTTTTAAATATGTAGGTATATATCTTTATATGTATATAATTATAGTATATATGTTTTATGAATACATTTTTATATATTTATATGGTATATGGTGTTATATTGATTATTATATAATATCTTTTACATAGCGTTTTAGAGCTTCTTACTTACTTTTATGATGCGTAATACATACATTTATTTCATTCACATAGATCCATCCTGCAATTTCATTAATTGACTAGTAGAGAATGCCGATAGTCATAATGACTATCGGCATCCACCCAATACATTTTTAATTTTAAAAATAGTAGTGTTATAAAATATAATTGAAAAAAATTGCTTATTCCATTATGACTTATTCATTGATCCTTATTTTGTTTTATTTTGGCAGTTTTATCTGTTCATATGTTTTGACAGCTATTAGAACAATTAAGCTGAATTACATACATATTCCCTGTATGCAAAAAGGCACATGACAGAAAAAAAACAAATCAAATGTGATATTTAAGACATAATTTACTACAATTATTTGATTTAATAAATCTTATCAATTCATTTATGTTTCTATTATTTAATTATTACATTTTATTGTTCAATATTTTATATGAATATGCTTTAAAGTGTAATATTTTTAATTATTTGTTCACAATAGCATCGCGTTTTGATGTTCATATTAATTACACAATTTCATTTACTTCTTTCTACGAGATGTAGTGGTCCCATAAAATGTGTATGCCCATTCATAACATGTAATAAAGATCGAATATTATTATAATACAAACCCATGCACTCTTCTATTTGGACTAACATACATACTCGTATAGGCCGAATAACTGTTCGCTTCCAACGCGTCATCAACCCGTTGACTAGTTTCGCAGATCGACTTATTAGATTCGACAGATCCTTATTAGAACTTCTACTGCGGTACAGCAAAGACAATAATAATAATAGCTTCCGCTGCAAAATTAGGCTATCTCGTCCAGTAAAATAACATGACTAAATTCTGAGGCCATGTAAACGTTACCTTTTCATATACAACATCGTATCTGGCTAAAGTGTTTTTAAGTCTAGCTTTCAACTTAATGTAAATAATATAAATAAAATTATCCTATGTTTGTAGCTCTTCAAAATTGGCGTGGCGATAGCGAATAATTATCTTTCGCCCATCTGTAAAGTATCCGTGCGTTATTTAAGAAATTTAACAGAGAAATCTTATGAAAAGCATTTTTTCTACTGTCTTAATATAAGATACTTGATCCCTAGTTACTATGGGAGAGTTGTCTTGATAAATAACTATAATAAATAACATATTTTATGTATAATTTATATAAATATTTTATGTATATCATCTGTCTTTCTGTCTGAAGGGCAGTAGCTAGTATTTTAATGCATGAAATACACTTCTTTTGATTTATTCTGATTCTATTTTTATTGATTATTTTCAGTTTTAAACACTGCTTCTAATATTTAATAAGATCAATCTGGATTATAGAGGTTATACTAACAAACTTGAATCAACCTCATATAGTTTATAATCAGTTGGCAAAGCAACCTCAATTGCTAAGGTCTAGTGGACTGTTAAACAACGCATCGAAAAACATTGTGGGGATATAATGTAGCGATTTCATTTCTGGTTTGTTCTACATTTTGAAAAGCGGTAATTTATTTTGACATTTCTGCTGTTGAAAAAAGCATAAGTTTAAGTAAAATAGTTTGAATCTGACTTTTTATGTAATGTAATGTAATTTTACTAAACGTGAGCAAAGAGCAACATCGTGTATTGAAGTTTCTCGATTAAAGGACAATTAATTAATTTTGATTTGATTATAAACTACTCCAACTTTACTCCGTTAGGAGGACGGGTGAATTTTTAATGAAGCATTGGACTATTTCGTACAGGGTGTCCGTTCGTTTCTTTTTGTTTTTAATTCTGTTACAGCCTTCGAAAACGGCTTTAACCTCGTCCCAGTATTCGCTATTTTCGAACAGTCTCAACAGGTTGTTATTTAAGTGTCCATCCAAATTGCTGTAGTGTGCTTTACGGGTGACGCAACACAGGAAGTTCTTGCTGGTATCGTCCGGTTCGATCTGCAGGTTAAAGAACCCTTTGGCCACATCCCCTTGCGCTCCAGTCTCGTCCAGGCATTCCTGTGCCGCTTTTTGTATCTTTTCATTTTCTGCCGGCGGCAAGTGAACCACTGGCCTCTGCGAATTTTCTATAATTTAGTGACTTCTCATACTTACGCGAATGCTACAAATTGTTAAATAAAAGAAAAATATAATCCGTCAAGTATTATTAGGAACATCTTTATTTCACGTTTCGTTACTCATTTTCGTTTTAAGGCAACCTTGCTTAAAAAAAAACAGAAGCTAAGCAACATAATAACGAATGCTTTGAAAATAAATAGGTTAAAAAGTAGTTATATGTATTTAATTCTGTATGTAATCCACCTAAATTGTTTAACAAAGTTAAAAGATTGATTTATGTTCAGATCAGAAATATTTGGCTTAGCACCGACTCCAGAAATTGTTAAATTTTATTAGGGGTTAGGTTATATAATATGTTATATTTTCAAGACTTGATTATGTTACATTTAGTATTATTTTTAACTTTTTAGTGCTAATAGAGTTTTACTTCAATAAGATTTTTTGCGTAATTTTGGAAGGTATTTTAATTTCCCGGTAAAATGAAATGTATCCAAAATATATCCAAAAAATTTTTTTGCAAAAAGTGTCACTGTTAAACGAATAGATTTAAAAGTTATAGAATTAATTTAATGTGCAGAATAAAATGATCTAGGTGCAATAATGTTCCTATTTTCTATGACAGTTTGCGATAAGTGTGACAATTTTGCCCGTAAATAAAAAAAAACTTGAAATTTACAATAAATCTAATTTTCAGCTTTAATAAATTTTAAATAGGTAATTTATTGAAAAATTATATATCTTGTTTTTAATAAATATGAACAAACATTTGTGACACGCATCTTATTTTCATCTCCCCGCAATAATTTTGTAGGTTTTGAAAACACTCATATACAAAATTTAAACTTATAGTAATAATATGATAGAATAAAATGGTTTTAAAACATAAAATTTATTTTAAGATAACCTTACCATATCATAGTCAGCAATTGCTGCTGATAAGATTACGAATAATACGCATATCGAGTAAAACATCTTGCTATTAAGTATTAATGGATAAAATACTTGCCACTGCTACCACTTGCCTCAACAGAATGGATATAAACCCAATATCCATCATCTTTATACGCAGGAAATTATGCTTTGATTTCCCGCGCAAAACCTACGACCGCTTTAATGTTTTGAAACTTACGCAGCACAATGAATTAACACTGAAACTGCACACTGTTTCTTAAGAATTTTGTCGATTACTTTATTAATTTAACGTACTTACTCTATAAAAAAATTCTCAACATATTTTTAAGATATGATTTAATGAAGTAAAGTAATAAAAAATATATTGTACCACACGTGAAGCCGTAAAGAACACTAAAGTTTCTTTTACGTTTATACTTCCTTTCATATAGTTTAAGGCAGTTCAGTCACATTTCAAACATTGTTGTGAAAAGAAATAACCTATCTATATTCCACTACTGGGCAAAGGCCTCCTCTATACAAAGGGTAGGACATAGTCCACTACGCGACTGGCGGACTTCACACAATTATCTTAGATTTTTTTTGTTACTATTTCGAAAAAATGAAGGCCGCGATTTGAATACAGGTTGCTGGAGTATACTGAATTAAAAGATAGCACCCGGACAGAGAGCTATCACAGCTCTAAAACTAAAACGACTTTATCTATAACGCATCCATTACAAACCTTGCTCATTTGGCTGTGACATTTTCAAAAACCTAATAAAAACAAACATACTTTATTCGTACAAATGAAAGATTCTTCATAAAGTTGTATCTCCACCTGGTCCCCTGCGTGAAATACATTTTAAAAACAACAAGGTACACAAAGTCATTCTTTTTGATACAAACAAAGAAGTCTGGAGAAAAACAAATTGTAATCTTGCCTCTAGCAATAAATCTAATGTATTCAAATGACCACCACTACACTCAGTACTACTCTGTTTTGCGGATTAACGATCCTATAACCCATAAATATTTTCCCTCAGAAACGATGGTTATGGATGGTACAGAGCTGGCGGTTCACCTGATGTTTTGTAACAACCGCCGCCCAATGACGTTTGCAACACCCGTAGGGTTGCAGATGCGTTGCCACCTCTTAATAAAATGGGCCCCGGCCACCTCACTCACCAGATACAACGCAGAAGTATAACACTTCCAGTTCCACTTCACGCCGGTGTTCTGTGAGGTCATGGTATTTACCCGGACGTGCAACAAAAAGACGTGTTGCGTGGCCGTGGACTGTACAAAGATATTTTCTTTTGTATTTGATACTTTTCACATTATTGTGTTTCTAAAACATAATTTAGCGTTTATTCTTCTTCGCGCCTACATGGAAAATTGTTAGCGCCATCTATGGCGTCACAGGGACAACACGGGACAACGCGTGCGACGGTGGCGCATCCGAGATTAGTATGCGCTAACAAAAATAAAATATACTAATCAATTGATAATATAAAAGTATTATATTTTTACATATACAACATTATTTTATACCTACCTTTTCATATGTTCAAAAGTTCAAAAGTTCAGCAGCGAGAGGCTTGACCTGTGATTACCGCTGCCTAACACAACACCTGATGTGTATGCGGTGCCCATCATTAAAATATTTATTCCTCACTCACCAGACCAACCCTAAAAGTACAATACTTTCACTTCAAACCAGTCTTATGTGAGGCCATGTTATATTCCCGGATCATCCTGTACGTACCTGCAACATCAAAAGCTGATGTGTGGCTCTACCTTTTGTCATCGCACATTTCAGTAGCTAAGGCACTACTTTTATCAAACTTTTCATAAGAAGTTAGCTGATGCATCAATCACAATATCGTGTTTTGGATTAAAATATAATAAACATAAATAAATATATAATACATATAAATGACATAAATAAATTCATTAGAGAAGAGTTAAATCTGAATATTGACAATGGAAAATATTGAATACACAGGGATAGATAATTATTTTTACGTCATTTATAAACTTGTCTAGCGTCTTTGCACGACGAATTCGCTGAGGAAGTTCATTTCACAAGCCGATGGCCTTGACTGTAAAGAAGTTCTTGTAATATCAAGTTTTATATGTGTGTGATACTAAAATTAGTTCTCCAGCGGATCGCAGAACTCTTTCTGGTTTGTTATGGCCAAGAAATCCAGTGTCCCTTTAAATAACTTGGGCGTCCTAGGGTTAATAAAATACAGTACAGAAGAGAAACAGTGTGCAGATTCCGGCGAAAACGAATGGCTATCGACTTGAGCTTTGAAGGAAATTCGGAGACGTAACTAAATTTTGAATACGCTCAAGTTTATTTAGTTGTTCTTCAGTTAAATCAAAATATTTCCACATAATTGAGGATGAAGAGGAGTAAGGATTGTGCTAACATAATTTTAGTTGGAATGGGAAGACATGGACGTAAACGATGTAAAGAACCCAGTACCAACCAATACAGTATTATAACCTTATTTTATAAAATAATGTTATTGATTCAGCCTTGAATCGGCAAAAAATAATCAATGAAAGATATTAATCCTTTAGCAAACGTATTCCTCTAATAAGATAATCTCGGATGGCAAATATTGTTTATATAAATATTGTAAAACGACATCATTTTATCATCGTTAGAATGAAAAGACAAATGCGGTCTTAAACAGCATGATGTAGAAGTATTATTATCCTTCTGTGTTTGGTGTCAGACACTTTATATCAAGTGAACCGTCTACTTGCTTTACTTCGTTGTATTATTACTTCTTATAAGTGTCGGAACTTAATACCAATTATTATTATGTTATTGACAAAGTATTTGTAGAATAGTGACACTATTATTACCCGTCGTTACGACGAAATAACTACTATAATTACATAGAAAAATTATAAAAAACAACGTTTACTTGCTATTTACCATGAATTTTCTATTGGTTTAATAATATATTTCTATGACACATAGAAATATATTATATTATATTTAGTATAATTATATAATTGTTTAGAAAAGCACATTCTCATCGTTAAAGGCATTAAATAATTATGTTGTCATAATTTTCAATTTTTATGACTTTAAAGCAAATATTTTTCTAAATTTCTCACTCATGCGCACTCTCGATCAAATATGTACATATATATATACATATAGCCAAGCCAAAACGTGGACATAATTTACAAATTTCTGATCGTATTGCTAATGTTCATTGTGGGAACGGAAGCCACTCCGGGAAGTGTACATTTGAATAGACGTAATAATTTTTATGTATTTTATAACTCACTGGCTGGCGGTTATAGGCTATCGTAACGATGTTTATAAACTTCCTTGGCTTTGTGTCTACATATATGCGTATGAAAGAATTTATGTCTCACCTCCACTTGAATTAGGTAAACAGTTCGAGAATAATTTTGTTCCTATGAATGAATAAAATCAACCACATCTTTTGGCGACATTTGACGCCGACTTTATTTGTCGTATGTGACGTATAATTTTCACTTTAGTGTTACTCTAGTAATCTATGGTCTTTCGCAATCGTGTATGTAAAAGCATAGTATATCTAGACGGTTCGGTAAAATTAATATCTGTTGTGATCGGAAGAAAAGAAGAAACCGACGCGGTATATATAAATACAATAACAACGTAAATAAAAGTAAAGTAACAGCCTATAAATGGCCCAATGCCACCAACACACAGCACATATGGCGGACTTTACATATTATTCGACTTTTTTTCTTATTATCTCAAAATATGCAGCTAGTTTTACGATGTTTCCCTTCACCGCTGAGCACAAAAAAATAAATTTAAATTGCTGACGTTGGGAATCCCCTCCGACCGGGTTCCCGCCTTGACGTGGTGGAGGGGCTTACTAGCCTTGACTTGGTATCCCACGGCTAAGCTAAGAGGAACCCACATTGGGCCGGCCTGTGGCGTAAGGCCGGCCCGAGAGGGCCGCTCCGAGTGGGCTCATTAAGCCCAGCTGGATGCGTGCTGAAGGGTGCAGGGGACAGGTCGAGGGTGGTAGAGGAGGAGTCACTCTCCCTGTCTTCTGCCACCGAGGAGGAGTCGCGGGGGAAGAAGAGTGTCGGTATTACGTTGGCCGCGCTTTCTATTCTCCGTGACTGGGGCTGCACCGTTGATGTTGGTGTGGTGGTGGGGCCGCGGGTGTCGGTATTGCGATGCGCCGTTCTCCCTATCCTCCGCGGCCGAAACGTGGTGAGCGGCGGAGCCACAGACCAGGTCCGCTCCCGTGACTTCTGGTCAGCAAACGCGGGGCAAGTTTGTTGGCCGTGAAAAAAGGGCCTGAGTAGGTAGGCGCGCTGAATGTTCAAGCTCGCCTTACCGGGCGGAGAGAGGAGTTGATCCACGGGAGGGGGCTGTTGAGGCGGCCAGCGCTGGCAGGGTCCTGGAAGTGTGCGAAAGCTTTCCCGTGGCCCTGCCGATATGCCGATATGTTTTAGTCGGTGCGAGTCCGACATAACCCGCTTTTGCCCCCGCGAGGATGGGTATGCGTGAGCATTTCTTCCACGTAAAAAAATGGGTATCAAGCTCGACTAAATTTAATTAAAGGTGAAACACTCAGCTACCGCGCCTACCTAAATAATAACAAAATTTATATGTTTGTTCATTGTGAAACTTATAAATCATTACATCGTAACCATTGGTTGCAATCAGGCAAAATAACAATTCAAATATTAGGCACATTAGGTACATTAAACAATTACAACTTCTTAAATCACCATTTTAATACTTTTAATTATAGAATAGTACCCAGAATTAACAATTAAGAAAACGTTACCAAATTATTATCGGTACATTTTAAGGAATTACTGTAAAGCTAAAAACACGGGAGAATTTTTTTCAAAACAATGAGCGGTTCTATACATAGTGTAGTAACGGTTCTTGCCGTGTTGTTTATTGCAATTTTCCACAACCTTTCTCACATCTTCCTGCTTAGGTGAGCTCTTGAAAATTGCCGTAAAGTTTTCAACATCAAAATGACCTTCTTGGTTACAATATTCTACCTTCCTGCATAAGCAGTACAGAAATTTTCCATTCGCCTCACTTTCTTCGAGTGTCCATGGCAACATCTTTTGTAAGATTCCTGGGTCCACTCCCGCTTCTTCGGAGCACGTCATCGTTAATTCAAAAGCTTTTTCCATGACAGATGCAGGCAACGGGACGGCAGGCTGCAAACATTTTATCAGTTACTTGCATGATATGAAATGTTGGTAGATCTAGTAGTAGTAGTTATTTATTGTATTTACTTTTGTATAAAAACTACATGTGGGTTTGTAGCTATAATGTTGGTCAACTTCAAACGTCTTTTTTAAAATTATATGCAATTTATTCCACTAGTCTAACATGGATATAATAAATTTCTCTTCGAACGCGCAGGAAATTAAAATTTGTAACTGGAAGTACACCCAACATGGTGGATATAATATTTGCTTTTCAAAGGGCATTTTTATAATTTTCAAAACTTACCTTATTCTCTCCAACACAATTAGCAACTGCTACCGTACAAACTAGAAACAAAATACAAAACATTTTATCGCAATTTATAAATTAAATAACTAAGATAGAAATATCTAGTCTAGGAAACTGAATTACCTGTCAAAGCGAGAATCCTTTATATATTGTACTTCTGTTTGTATTTGTGCAATTAGATTGCACAATGTTTATACAATATCATTGTTATAGCAAGATTTAGGGACCAATATCAATACAATTAAAAACTTACCTCGATTTCCGTCTTTTATATAAGTCAACATACGAGTACGTGTTTAAGTTTTTGTGTACATTTAATTGTAATAACGATCTATCAAATGCGCGCGAAGTCGAGTGGTGCAGGTGGTTCAGGATCGTGCTTCGTGGCAGCCTGTGGGGAACTTGTATGTCCCGTGTACGATGTTACAATTAATACTCATTACAGCTAAAAATTACACGTACCGAATTTAGGTTATGTTTATGGAACTGAGGATGTAGTCACACATTAATATTTACGTAAGACGGCTGAACTCACGTAAACCCGCTGTATGTACCGACTAGTTTCGGATTCATCGGAGGTTCTTCATCAGGGTGAGTGAGATTAGTTCGCGGTCGCGCCCCGTCTCGCATTAAATAATAATTTTACATTAATATTTAGTAAAAAAACTAAATAACTGCAGATTTTGTTTGAGTTCCTTGGCACTAAATTAGTAAATTTAATGCCAAAAAATTAGGAGGATAAGCTACGGAACGCCAAGCATCTTAGTCAATCTTATTTCCCACAATAGGTAGTTGCATTATTCTTTCCAATACCGGTTTCTTAACAAAAGACAATTGATCATTAGCTGATTAAGTTATGGAGAATCTATCTATTAACAATTTTTTACCTTATTGTATTATTTTTTTTAAATAATTTTTTTATAACGTGAAAAGTCGCAAAGGGGAGCAGGCGGGTCATCTAACATTATATGATTACCGCCGCCTATGGATATCTAGAGCACCTACCGGATTACAGATACATTGCCAACCTTTTAAAAAAGTGGGCCCCACTTACCAGACGAAACGCGAAAATATAACACTTCCTCTTCACGCCGGTCTTTCTGCCTGCCTATTCAGGAAACAACAGAAGCTGCCGCGTGGTGCTTGTGTTAAACTTTTGGAGTCATATTAAAATCATATTAAAACCAATGTATATTCCCATTAACATGGGTTAACTCCCAGGCGATCAACCCTTAGCAATCTCATTCAAAGACGAACATTGGAAAACATAATATATACCGATAATTGACTCATCACGATATCTCTGGAACTAGAAGGCGTAGAGACTTTTTTTTCGGTTTCTACGAAATTCCACAAAACAACGTTTGTCGGGTCAGCTTGTAAATTATATAACTTTTTCAAAGCTCTTCTCGATGGACATATTCGTATTCCAAGAGAAATCCATACGCGGCCGGCCTGAGGTGTAAGGAGGCCGCTACGAGGGGGCTCATTGGCCACTCTACCTATCCTTCTTAACTCGTCGGCACTGTTGATGAAACAATGGTAGGGTCGCGGGGGTAATGGTACTGCGTTATGCGTTGTGGCGTTCTCTAACCTCCATGGCCGAGATGTTGCTAGCAGCGAAATCACAGACCAGGAACACCACTGAGGCTCGCTGCTTGTTAGGAGTGGCTCTCCTAGCTTCCAGGGCCTTTGGGCAACTTTATATTCCAGCGCGCCTTAGGAAGGGGCCGTGACCCTGCTAATATGCGCCCTGGGTGGAATATCGTGAGGGTTTTATTAGTAGTAGGTACGAGTTCTACAGTTCGCCCTTGCCCCCGCAGGTATGCCCAGGCAATTCTCCCACGTATAATAGGGCGTGTCCCGGTGTTCCTTTTTTTCCTTTGGGATCAAATCATCTTATAATATATAGTAAAAATTATTACAAAGCAGTATTTATAATCTTCAAAGCTCGTGTACGCGTAATGATATAAACCTTAATATATCTAAACGTGGTCATATACGATTTACTCGTTGACCTCCAAATATATTATGTACACGGTAAAAAATAAATAATTTCAACGTGAATATAATACATAAAATGTCTAAAAGTTTTGGAGCTGCCATAATTCGAACAAGGTCTTCTGTGTAACGCGTAAACGCTCCAGCCAACTGAGCTAAGCGCTCAATATCGTAACGGGAGGAAATCTCGGCAACTTTACAGTGTGCCGAAATTTTTAAATAACTATTTACAATAATTTCTTGAAGTACAAGGATTTTTTTTAATTTATATATGATCAATATGATATCATGGAGGGTATGGTTAATGATGGTTAATAAATAAAAAATAATAGAACAAAATTAGATATCAGGTACCCTTATACACAAAACAGACATTTTTTTATATTTATACGAATTCCTTTAATTCATGCCTAATCTTTTAGGAACACGAAGTGTCAGGTAATAGAAAAACGACGAAGTGACCTTTTTAGGGTTTTATTATTTATAACGATAAATACAATAAATTAAGACGGTATCAACTTTTACAATAAAATATGTTGTTTAGTGCCATAGTAGTAACATTTATATATCTCTAAAGCAACATCGGATGGATCTTTGCCATTTTTATTTCTGCATTCCTCTAGCAATTTTTGCGCAGATGCTTTGTCTATGCCTGTTGGTAATTTAGATAGTGCCACTTCTACGTTCAACTTTCCGTCAGCTGACAAAATACCCGACTTTTCGAAGAAACATAGCGTGAACTTTTTCAACTCTTCGTCTTCTGCGAAGATTCCTCTTTTAGCATCAGCTAACACTTCTGGTCTGACACCACTTTCCTTGATACATTCTCCCGTATAGATATGTGCTTTCTCTATTTGTGATGATGTCAAATGTAGAGCCTGCAAGAAACAACAAAATTGTGTTGTACTTAAAAACATTTACTATTAAATTCGCCCTTTTCCTAAGCTTACAGTGATAGTCTAGTAAGTAGTATATAAAAGATAAAATATATGTGAACAAAAAAGTAGCTGTAGTTTGTAGCTGTATAATGCGTTTCAAGTAAGAATAGGAACATCGACGACCTACGACGACCGTGATCTGTCACTTGTCATTTGTAAAGTACAGCTTACAAAGAAAATTAATTAATCACTTTTATAATTAAAAACTTTTTTAAAATATTTTTACAAAAAATATTATCAAATCTATTGAAGTATATATATATATATATATATATATATATACAGCGTGTCGTTACCATCGCGACAATAAATGAACACACATATAGGGGATAACGTTTTAAAGTTGTATTAAACATTTAAATTCTTTAAACATATTTACAGAGTTATAAAATTTTCCAAAACAAAGAATTTTAGAACACCCTTACCTATAAAAGCGTAACGTAAAGTTCATTTGTAAAGGTCACAAAGCATATGAATGGGTTGAATGAATTTAAAAGAGACAAAACATACTGTTAGAAGGAGAGGCTTGTAATACGACGCTGTGGCGCGAGTTGTATAGGATGTTACAAATTATGTTTCTTCTTTATATAAATTGTTTGTATGCTAGAAAGGATATAACAATAGATGGCGCCAAGCATTGCTTCAAATGCTAAGAAAACAATGTGGAAGAATGCGTTAAGATTTTCGTCGGTGTGGCAATCAGCCGTTTAGCTCAGTGGCTAGAGCGTCAGGCCGCCTTTGCCCAGCAGTGGGACAGGTACAGGCTGTTACTTTTTTTTTACTTTACTATACAAACTGTACCTGTCAACTATGTCTGTGTAATCACTTTATGCGTGCGTTCCGATTCCTCTAGAAATAATTTATATGGCAAAACAACGTTTGCCGAGTCAGCTGGTATATAATATATTTTTCTTCTATTCTAAAATCTATTAAGATTTCGCGATATCTTTACCTATATAAAAAAACGTTTCTAATTTTTTGTTCACAATCTAGAAAGCATTTCAATCTACATAGTATTTTACTTATAAGGTCAGATTCATTTATGGAAATTAAAAAAGCAAATAATTTTACCTTTATTATATGCTTTAAGTGGTATTGATCTTGTCTTAATAATCTAATTCCGTGGTGTATACCTATTTATGTCATGACGAAAATTAGCATTGAACTAAGTAAAGAAGCCCTTTCGAAGTTCAGGGGAGAGAAACATTTTCACTTTTCTAATATAAATTTCTAGCAAACCCCAGCCGGCTCCATTGTACACTTTTAATTGGTAGATTCTATTTTTAATTAAACTTTACGGGGTAGGAATGACGTCGTAGACGTCACCGCGTCGGCCGGCATAATGTAATATAATAAAAACTACTTATGACATGATTCGCATCGTGTGGCGACACACTTAGGTGGGATATGGACAAAAGGTTAATTATTTACCTCTCCCTTTTTGCCCTCTCAGTTACACTTTGCTTCTTGAAGGACACCGTATGCTGCACCTCTATCTAATAGATCTTGTCCTTTTCAAGGTACTTTAAGAAAGGATCCTTCTATAATTTTTTTATGTGAAAAAGTGGCAAATGAGCTGGCGGTTTACCTGATGTTAAGTAATAACCACCGCCATGGACATTTGCATCACCCGTAGGGTAGCAATTGCGTTGCCACCTTTAAATAATGTGGGCCCCGGCTACCTCACTCACCAGACGAAGACCAGAAGTGAAAAATTTCTACTTTACGCTGGTCTTCTATGAGGTCGTGGTACTTTCCCGGACGGACCTGCCCATTCCTGCAACAATGAAAACTGTTGCATGGCACTACCACAGTTAAAGTCAATAACTTTCAGCCCTAAATGTTATCCTCATTCATAAAATAATATGGTTTCGGAGGAAATACCGTTGAAGACCCTATTTCTTCAAACACTTGGCAGAAAAAACATGAGCAAAAAATCAAAATACATTTCTAATATTGTCATCATTAGAGAAAGACGTTACATGTATGATATAAAAAATAAATAAATCAGGAAAACGTTGGTAAGTTCTGAAGAACAATACAGATTAATGCTCTAAGGTTTCCTTTTACGAGCAATGCTTGATCTACTTAGTTTCCGTCATAGTCTACTAACACGCGTTTTGACGATCAGCATATCTTGTGTTATAACGTCATGAAAATTTATTTTTGAAACAATAGTGTTGTAAATATAATTCGCTGTAAGCATACATTTGGAACATTGTCAACTATCCAAGAAGAAAAGGGTAAGCAATTTGTTCATTAAACAAAAAGTTGTTTATTAGCTAATGCTGCGGTCACTATGCTTTGGTTTTGACTTCCTCTTTTTGTTATCATATTTATTCATAATACTATGTTAGTTTTGTGATTTGACATTACCCTCGTCTATGGTAGCAACAGCTGTTTGCTATTAATACAGAAGCCGAAGTACAATAAAGTTAAAAGAAACTAGTAAGTAAACCACTTTCATGTTAAATAACCCTTTGGCGTTTCCGCCGTTCCCTATTCAGTTCAAAAGGTCTTTTTAGAATAGGAAATATTCAAAAAAATAGAACATTTTCAAGAAGATGGATTTTATTTTAAGTATTTCAATTATCGATAATCATTTATGAATGTACAAATAATAAACTATTAATAGCATTATTGTAATTAATAAGTATTGTGGACAAGCAAAGGCGTTTTTACTTTCTTCTCTTAACTTTTAATTGGTCAATATTTCTGTCTATTCTTTAAAGTCCTCACGAACTCAGAAGAACAACTCATTATTTTCATAATAGGAATATAAATTTTCACATTTCTTAATCCTTAGTTAGCTTACTTATAGTAATAAGTCGTATAATGTGGACACAAAAGAGGCATATGTACAATACATAGGAGCATATGAGACACCGATTATTTGATTTTATAATTATAAAAGGGGATACTCATTGATACGCAGGCTGCTAAAGTTATTTATCAGCGTTTTACGTTGAGTGGTTACCGCACTTACGGTTACCGTGCTGCCCATTCATGCAACAGCCGAGGCTGCTGCATGGCCTGGTAAGGCCTACTGCCCTCAGTTAAATTTATTTCCTTTCTTTAGTGAAATTGCGATCATACTACCTGTTGCCACACCAGAAGGCATCTAAAATCGGCTACTTCGTTAGCCGATTTTAGATGCCTTCTCAGGTTTTTATTACCACATCCATATGTTACAACGTATGTATGTGCGTGCATGTCCATTTAGATGTACATTGATTTGTTTCATATTTTATGTGTAGATTAAAAATGGATGAAGCATCTGGATGCCAACTACGTAGACGACGGCTATCAAACAACCCGAACCTGGCGTTGAATTTTGAAATGGGATACCAGGTCAACGAGGGCAAAATAGATGACCCAACGCCCTCACCTAGCTCACAAAAATTCACTACTAAATCGAGGGAAAACTTGAACTCCGCTCTGCAAGAATTTAGGAATAAGCAGCAATCCTTCGACATACAGGTAGATATTGAAGTATACTTAAAAATGTATAGAAGCACTATAACTTATAATGACTCCTTTAAAATAATAAATGGCCGTCGTTTTATTAATACATGAAAATTTAAAAAATTTAAAATTTTGTTAGCTAAACCAATAAAATTTACTTAACTCTATTTCTAGACAGCTATCTGCTCTAAAAGCGACCTTGGAAATATTTTAAAAGAATAACATTGACTTGTTAGCGTGTAGAAGGTAAAGATACTATTACAGCGATGACTCACTTAAATAGTTAATTATTTAAAGACAAATATATTTTTATTAGAATTGGTATTATTTCTACCATCGTTACTTCTTAAGTGTTTGTAAATTATTCAAAGCGAATAGCTTTAGCCATCTATTGAAATATGTCAAATGCATAATACATTGAAGGTATAGTACCTGGAGGAGGTATTTTTTGGTAAATGATGTATTTTGGAAATAAAAAAAATAAAAAATAAAGAAAGTATAGAAAAAAAGTAAAAAAAATAAGTGTGATAAATCATCGTGATACGAACCGCGGCCGTCTGTTTTGGAGCCGCCCGATTACCGATATTATAACATTATAACATTTTTTTTTTGGCGGTGAAATTTACCGTCATATTCGAATGATATTTTTATTCCCTGAAAACAGGGATAAAAGGACATTTTCTAAAAATGAAACCTAGCTAGGTCGATTTTTCGCCCCCGAATCTACGCACATACTAAATTTCTTGAAAATCGCTGGAGCCATTTCCGAGATTGCGAATATATATATACAAGAATTGCTCGTTTAAAGGATAAGATGAAGGTGCATACATTTTTATAATAAATATTTATAAACACCCTTCAATTCCTTTTAGATAGAGGAATGTGAGGAGGAAGAGATAATAATCTACAGCGACGACGAGGCAGATCTCGAAGAAGCCGGCCCTTCAAACGCAGACCGTCCTATAACACCGATGCCTGTTCAAGACTTCGGCACTAACGTGGTGTATACAGAAGGTACATAACGTAGCGTTTCGTACAAGCGTACTGTTAGTTCGGGACGCGGAGCATGAGAGAAAAAGGCAGTTTACTTGTCGAGCGCTGTATTTGAAATTAACGTCCAATCGATTATTCACCAACAGACGAATCCGGCGACGCGCGGTGACGTCATTACCCACTTATAAACTAACACCTGCAAACCTTTATATGTTTTGCCCTTCTACAAAGGAAAACGACGTTGAAGTTAAGAAATTGTATTAAACAACGGTAAAGCAAAGGCGTCCTCTTTTTTACAGAGGATATCAGAGCATAGTCCACCACGCGGCCCCACTGCGGATTGGCGGACTTCACAATTCTTCGAAATATTTTTTTTTTATTTCGAAAATATGCACGTTTCCTCACGATGTTTTCCTTCACCGCGGAGCACGTGATAAGTCAGCACTTAAAGTTAAAAACTTCATTGGTACCGGCACCGGGGATCGAACTCAGGTTGCTCGAGTATATTGAATTAAAGGCGAGCGCTCGGACTCTGAGCTTTCACGGCTCAGACACTTAAACACATTGGGAAGAAAGTGCATAAAATCCAGGAAGTCTACGACGATTTTACGAATATCTCAAACAAGTTAACAAAAACATTCAAACAAGTTAAACTGTAAGTGGGTAATACAACGGTAGAGGTATAAAAATATATATTAAATTACTTTATGCTATTAAAGCAAAACATGCTGTCTCAACAATAATAATTACATGGATAGGATCACAGATTCCCTTACGCAACAAGTCGTTAAGCAAAATATTATAATTTATTCGTTACATTCCGTTGCTAAGATTGCGTAAACCATAATTAAAATAAATTTATTACCTAAGTCCTATTGTATAGTACCTAATGAAAGAAAAAACAATAATTATCTTCCATAATCTGCTCTACAGCTCGAGACAGTTTAATGTGAATATATAGATGTATACTGAAATTTTGCTTAATACCTAATCATCCAAATTGTCCTATTGAAAATTGATAGATGAATTCGTATGTTTTTGGACGGTTTGTCTGTGGTATTTACATTTCAGTACCTCTTGACAATGCAATCGCAGCATCATAGTCCATAGGAGCGGAGGCCCCAAATTATTTTCCAAATAAAAGGATTTTTTTCAGTTGAGTTTTCCTATAAATAATTTATTGTGAAACCAATTATAGACTCTTTTATTATTTAACGAACATATAAATATGATTGGAAACAGAGTTATCTAAAATTAAAAGTTGTTTACTAGTGTTTACTAGGCCGAATATGATTTTTTTTTTGGGAAGTCTCTATTGTGGGTCCCCGGTAGCCCTCCCCTAAATCCGGCCCTGATAGTCCATGTCCATAGGTGGCGGTAATCATTTATCACAATATAAATCATCTGCTCATTTGTTTTTGTTAGAAGGTAGCAAGCTAGCTGGCCGTTCACCTGATGTTAGTGATAACCTAAAGTTAGTGGGCCCGGTTGCCTTACTCACCAAACGTGCAAGAATGATACTGCCACACATGCAACAACCGAAGCTGCTGCGTGGCACTTCATAAAACACTGTGGTTATCTCTAGTGACATGAAAAAAATATATGACGTAAACGTTGTTCGGCCTTCGTGAGCGTGACGACATTAAGCAATTATTACGTTGAAATGCGGACGAATTGGCTCTTATATTATTTTACCTGAGTTAATTAGCGTACCTACGTAAGTTATTGATTAGTTTGAAAGCCGTGATATCTCAGTATCCGGGCGGTGGCTTTCAATTGATTATACTCGAGTTATTGAATAGAAAACCCGACGCCGGCAGAAACTATTACTTTTAAGTGCTGACTTATCACATGTTCAGCGGTGAAGGAAAACATCGTGAGGAAACCTGATTATTTTTACTTTACGTTTTATTATTATTACTTTACGTTTATTTTTAATAGTTGTATAACTCGTCGTTTATATTATAATTAAAATACACTTCTTTCTAGGTCCGCAAGCCTCAGATTTCCTAAAAGTGAAAGCAATTGAACATGACTGCTTCACGGACGTGTCCGATGCTGACTCCGAAGGTGACGAAGAATAAAAGATTATCAGTTAATGGACCTCAACATATAATAACACTATACAACTATACAAATAAAACATACAAAACTCGCTTATTTCTTATAAAAAATATAATAATATCATAGTAAATTAAACCGTATTTTTATTTATAGTCTAAAAAGTTTACTATGCGATATAGTATTTTTGATTTGATTCATTCTATATTGCAACAGCTTTCAAATAGAAATCAGACTGGAGAAAGACCGGCATAAAATGCGATCACGATATGTAATCTTTGTGATAATGTTTCATCATCAAATTTTTTGATGAAAGATTATCTTAGATGTAGCAGACGCGTCAGACACTCATCAGACGAAACGCATACGTGTAACAATTCCAGTTCACGATGTCGGTCGTCTTTGAGGTCGTGGTACTTCCCCGGATGGACCCGCCCATTCGTGCAACAGTGAACACTTGCTTGGCCCTACCACAGTTGTAACTATTTGAACTTGTTCAACCTATGTTCACTCCCGTCTAATTCCAACACTAAAGGGCACCACAGACATTTTATGATTCATTCAAACGACTATTTACAGCTTATATATACGGTCGAATTAAGAAACCTCCTCCGCTTAATGAAATGAAACAAATAGCTGACTGAAATGTATAATTCATAAATACACATATGTATACAGAGTACGCTTTACAATTTACTGGAACTATTTAGACTAGTTTAATTATAGGAAAATTCCTATGTACAGAGAAGTCGAATTCCGGTGGCGTTGTGGACTCCCGCTTATGTCCGCCTGCCAAAACTTTTAAAACTACAAAATTCGTTTTGGCCACTTTCAGGAGATCGGTCACCTGCAATAAAAAGAGTATAATATAGTATGGTTTAAAATAAATGACAAACTACTCATACTTTTTATAACATAAGTGTAAAGTAAAGTAAAGTAACAGCCTATACATGTCCCACTGCTGGGCAAAGGCTCCCTCTATACAGAGGGTATCAGGGCATAGTCCACCACGCGGCCCCACTGCGGATTGGCGGACTTCACATATTTTCGAAATATATTTTTTTTTGTTATTATTTCGAAAATATGCTGGTTTCCTCACGATGTTTTCCTTCACCGCGGAGCACGTGATAAGTCAGCACTTAAAGTTAAAAACTTCATTGGTGCCGGCACCGGGGATCGAACTCAGGTTGCTCGAGTATATTGAGTTAAAGGCGAGCGCCCGGACACTGAGCTATCACGGCTCCTAGTAACGCTCCGTAACTAACGTAGGCTCCTAACATAAGTGGTATAATTAAAATTGAAAGCATGCGCAACATTAAATTGTTAAGATAACGCGGGGTTTCTGAAACACTGACGCCCGGTTTCGGAAACATTTTAGGTCATTTGAGTTGCCAAAAGGATGGTTGAACTATTTGAATTGATCAATCTGATCAATTTAGAGAATTTGCCATCAAGCTATTTGGCAGCTTATTAGTTGACTTCTACGTTGATCAGTGTTTCCGAAACCGGGCGTTAGTTCGTTATATTTTAAATATTTACGTTAACTGGAATGTTACCTCCTGGTCGGGGGCTGTGATAGTTTCTAAAAGAGTTCGAGCCTGCTGAAAATGCTTGCAGCCGCCCAAATAATGCATCACAGGGTTCTCGTACCTGCAATATAAAAGTCATATATTGATTAGTATACAGCGAGTCGTTACAACCGCGACAATAAATGATAATATAATGTTTGAGTGGAAAACAGCTAATTATCTTTACACAGTCTCATATAATGTTAATATCTTTGTAAATTCTAGTTGGTCTGAAATCAAAACAATGTTCATAAACCGTGAAAGATTGATAGAAAAGTATACTTAATAACGTTCCTTTAATAAAGAAACTATTTTGCGAATTTTACTCTATTCATTTTTTCAAATCAACCACGAACACGGCCCATGGAACCGTGGTTACTACAAAATTAAACGTAATAATAATAAAATTCGTAAAACAGTCTTATGAATGCATCGAATTGTCCTAGGAGTTTATGAAGTTATACTTCTTTTGGCGCGTTTGGGAAAAATGATGAGAGTGAATTTTCACGACGCGCGACACCTAAAAATTACACCAACTTCATGGTGTTACCATGGCAGCTAAAACTTTTTGACATTTAGCTATAAATCAAGTAATGTCATTAAATCGTTATCAATCGCATTTAATGTTTTTTTCGCAAGCAAAAAGTACTGGCACAGGGGAAAGCATTTTTAGTTATCTTTCTTTTGTTACGCTAAAGAAGTGTAACTTCTTGCGTGCGTACACAAGTACACACATACGTCTTTTTAGTACAGCTCGAGACAATATTCGCACTAACTTCGCTGGCTGAGTCATCTCGCAGAACTCGTGGTAGTGAACTTGCGGGGGGGTGAGGACTGAGAGGGGGGCGAAGCGATACTTGTATCGCACCGCCTCGTTGTCGAACTCAGAGTCCGGCTGACGGATCTTTCCTTGCAGTTTGAACGCCACCATAGCCTGTGGAGATAAGACATAGACATAATTTTAAACAAAAAAAAATCGACTTCAAACTGTTCAACGCTATAGGCGTTGATAATGTTTTATTAGTTTCCTTTTTTTACATTTGAGGATTGCCCTCGATTTCTCTGGCATGCCATCATCAGATCTGGGTTTCCTTATCATGGTACCACCCTTGGGACATCTCCTTTCCAAAAAAAAAGAATCATCAAAATCGGTTCATAAATGACGAAGTTATCCCCGAATACACATAAAAAAAAATAAAAATATATACATACGGTCGAATTAAGAAACCTCCTCCTTTTTGAAGTCGGTTAAAAACTACGATACAATCGCTTTCATAGTGCACTTATTAAAGGTTATTATAATGCTTTATGATGAATTGATTCTCAGTTTCGTCTCGAAGATTGGCCAGCAAGAATTTATCTTGCCACGAGACCAAAAGCGAATACACAAATAATAGTATGATCAATTGATGTGCTAAGTCAGTGCTTATACCCACCTGAATTGACTTAACATAGAAATTTCGTTTTTCAACATTGATTTGACTAAATAGCGACAGCTGCACTGACCAAACGAGAAGTCTGACCGAGTTCATCTCACAAATGTTTTCTGCGGTATAATCGACTAAATACTAAGGTTATTCAATTGCGCGCTGTGTTGTGAGTACTGTTTCCACAAATAACAAAATTATTTTTTGAATCGGAGGGAAATTTGTACCGCGGTTTAATGTTAGTAAAATTGTCGCCGGGAAGTTTTAAGATATTGTAGGGAAGACTTTAAGATATACGTTTACTACTATTAGAGCGGGATACGTTTTAAAAGATCGATTATACCACTAATAATGATGAATATTATCGTCTAAACTCTAAAGGAAACAAGTTTTGATGAACGTCTGCGTTCTGTGGGACAAACATAATATATGTTTATACTTTTTTCTTATTGCGTTTTTTTAAGTGATAAGGTGGTAAGCGAGATGATGTTAAGATTGTGATTATCTTCGCTATCGATTATCTTAAAATTGTGGGCCCCGGTGACCTTACTCACCAGGCGAATATAAAGTACATATTTAAAATAGTTCTTCTATGAGGCCGTGGAACAGAGTAAGACACAAGAAAGTACAGTGCAATTGGTATGGAAAGCCAAGCCTTGAATGATCCACATGTTTACGAGTAACTAGAGCCCCTAGTAGTCTATTGACGCGTTCGCACACTTAGCACATTGACGTCTAGGGAATTCTAACTTAGGGTTCATAAGTTTAAAGTTCTCCTTGTGGCCACAATGACCTTGAAGTAAGGTAAGTTCAATTAAAGTGCGCGCTGTGTGACCTTGAAGTGCGTGCAACGATAACGCATAGAAAGCCTAACCAGTGGCTAAACGCCCTAATCTAATATCGGCGTCGCCTCGTGGCCGCAATGACCTTGAACTGCGCAGAACGACCTCAACTTCCATTGAGGTGCGGGCGCTGTGACCTCGGATCTTGTGCCCACAACCGCCCACCGACCTTCAGGCCGCTGAAGGGCACGCGTGACTTTTTTAATGTGATAAATTGCCATACGAGCCGGCGGCTCACATGATGTTAAGTGATAACCGCCGCCCATGGACATCCGCAACACCCGTAGGGTTGCGAATGCGTTGCCACCTTCTTGAACGCGTGCACTAATGCCCGGTTCCTGTATTCAACGAACGGCCGTTAGTTACATAGCTTCGTAACTTCCATAACGAGCTGTAGATAAAAGGCACGCCCGGTTCGTGTATTAACGGAGTTTTCCTTGCGAACCGTTGCATCACCTGCTGAAAGTGAGTTACTAGCGTTCCTTTAATCCACAAGTATTTATGAAAGTTACGAAGCCGTGCAACTAACGGCCGTCCGTTGAATACAGGAATACGCTCGGGCGTAGACCGACCTTGTTCGTTGAATACAGGAAAACGCTCAGGCTAGACCGACCTTGTTCATTGACTACAGGAATACGCTCGGGCGTAGACCGACCTTGTTCGTTAAATACAGGAACACGCTCGGGCGTAGACCGACCTTGTAGTATCCGCCGCACATGTTCTGCAGCACCTGGCACATGAGCGCCTCGCGCGCGTACGGCCGCGTGCGCCTCTTCTGCTTCCGCGCGGCGCTGCGCCTGGAGTCGCGGCGCGCCGCCTCGCCGGCGAGGCCCTCCGCGCGGCCCAACGCCGACAGCAGCCAGCCGTACAGAAACTCGTACAGATACCTGCGGAACGCATTTATTTATTTATTTATTTAAAAAGGTACACCAACAGTACATGTATACATAATATAAAAGTTACATTTTTAAAGCACAATTTCTTATACATATACCTATTATAGGCGTACACAACATTGACAGGAGATATTATATAACAACACAATATTAATCTAAAAAACTGAAAACAATAAAATAATAAAATTCACCAAAGTAAAATTAAAAACTTAACTGAAAACAAATGCCTGTTCACAAAAGGCCGGCAAGTTTTCGTTTAAATTTAAACAACGAGTCATGGAAAATGTCTAATGTTTCTATATTCATCTCGTTGTACTGTGCACAACATCTGACAAGAGGAGAATGGCATCCAAGATTAGTCCTTACAGAAGGCAAGGCAAAAGATTTTTTGATAGGATGTCGGGGTATTCGAGCTGGCACTGTCAATTTAACACGTTCCAGGAGTTCACTACATTTTATTTTACCGTTGACAAGCCCGTGCAAAAACACCAAATCATGGTCTCTACGACGGCAACGCAACGAGTTCATTTTAAAAAAGGCAAGACGATGCTCGTATGGTGACCGGTGTGACACGCCCTGCGAAATAAATGCCATATGCCTAGTGAACGCACGCTGAATACCCTCCAAGCGTTGGGAGTGAACAGCATATACAGGGCTCCATGCCACGCTAGCGTACTCTAAGTTACTTCGGACCAAAGCATTATATAATATTTTATGGGTGCGATTTAAACGGAAACCCGCAGTACTTCGCCTAAGAAAACCTAGCATTTTCGAGGATTTATTTACAATATTATTAATATGTGAAGTGAATTTAAGGTGCTTGTCCACTGTTACACCTAAGTCCCTTATTTCTTCTACTTCAGTTAATGTTGAACCGTTTATTTCATAAGTGGATGGGAAATAATTTTTCTTTTTAGTAAATTTGATATGGTAGCATTTATCAACGTTGAAGGTCATAACGTTTGATTCACACCATGTGTGAATACTGTTTAAGTCCTCCTGGATAAGTTTCATGTCATGGTAAGAATTGACTGCCCTGTAAATTTTTAAATCATCCGCAAATAGGCTGAATTTACAATTTTTTATGTGCTTCGCTATATCATCGATAAATATAAGAAACAGTACTGGGCCTAAGTGAGAGCCCTGTGGGACTCCTGACGATGCAAATTATATGTCTGACTCAAAACCCCCAACAGGAACAACCTGGGGTCTCATACTGAGGTAAGACCTAAACCAGTGAAGCAAATTACCATGTATCCCTTTCATTCGCAATTTCATTAAAAGTAGTGCGTGATCTACTTTATCAAAAGCACTGGTAAAATCTGTATATACAGCATCAATTTGACTTCCACTATCCACCCCCAGTGCAATTTCAGAAATAAATGAGATCAAATTAGTCTGTGTTGAGCGACCCCTGCGGAACCCATGCTGGTCCGAGTACCAGCATGGGTTCCGCAGGGGTCGCTCGTTGTTTTCGTTCTCAGACCACGCACGTTTTGATAGTATATTCCAAAGGGGCCTCATACATGTGTTATCAGGATCTTTGTTGAGTGGAGGTTATCGAATCAAGATTCTCAATACTTCGAATGATGGCGAAGGATGGCTGGGCTGTACTCATTTCTGCGTAAGAAGATGCGTCCATTACGAACCCATACGAATTTGAAATCTTCCTTCTTGGCCTTGAGGCGAGCTGCTGCGTGCAGGGACTTGATAGCTGGTGGTAAGTGCTCAGAGACAAACACGGGCTTTGACGGACCCGCCATACCGAGATGTTGGGTTGACAGCTTTTCCTTTGGGTTACTTTTGTTGAATTTGGCAACAGCAGCCAACATGGCGTCTCGATGTCGGGGGCTGCGGAGTGACCGGCCTCGGATGGTTATTGCTAAATAACCATCCGAGGCCGGTCACTGTCGTTGTTTAGCTTAGCAACTCGTGTTACATGATGAATATCTTCATCTCCAATATGACAGTCAACGGTTTTTGCTATTTGGGTTAAAATGGTTGACAGATTTTCCGTCTTATGTTCTGGAACGCCATTTATTTCCAAGTTCGAGTCTCTCATATTCTGCTCCGCCAGACTGAGTCTTTGGGACAGAGCTTTGACACTTAATTGCAACGTTTGGTTGTCTTTTTGCAGCCCTGTTATGATAGCTGACTTTTCCTGCAGTTCAGCCTTCATTTCCTCATATTGCCTGTTAAAGTAAGCAATGGACTCACTAAATTCCGTTATGCGTTCATTTATCGTTCGAAGTTGTACAGTTACCAACTTTTTTATCTTTTCTTCGATCATGCATGACAATTCCTCACTAAGTATTCGCCGCAATGAATCCTCCGTCACATAACGGTCTTCTACTGGAACAGCCTGTGATTGCTGGCGAGCTCTAAAGGTAACGTTGCTGGCTTCACATGATGTTTCATCAAGTACGCTGACGTTACTGGGGCCCGGTTGAGTGGATTGGAGTGTTTGGCGCAACGGTGAGTTCGTGTTATTATGACACTCAGGACATTTCCAGCTGTGTCTTATTTCTTGGTTCATCAGATTAAATCTTTTCAAACCAACATTAGCGCATAAAAGGTCGTATTTAGATGAGCAAGTGGAGCACACCAGAAACTCCCTAGTAGTAATGTTGTGGCGGCATCCAGAGCATTTATTTCCAACCATTGTAAGCAAGGTTTCAAGTTGCGCTTGAAAGTTGTGGATGAATAAAGCGTCACTGTGCGATGCGTATGTGTGCGCAGATGCGAGCCGGCCGCGAGTTGCCCTAGGTCAGTGACGGCAATTAGCAAACAATTATTTTGAAAATGTTTATCGCTATTACTCACAATCTAGGTGGAATTTCAGTTGTCGGATGGTACTATCACAAAGCTTGCACTTTATGCTATCCAAACGTATATAGCATCAGGGTAAAACTTTAATCCTTACACTGATTTTGAATAAAAAATTGAGGAGCAGATTAAATACGTGTTGTTACTAAACTGACCGCGCGGGTGTTCATTAAATAGTGAAGCCACAGACTATACACTTAGAAACTCGTGCAGCTACCTGCGGAACGCATTAAATAGTGAAGCCACAGACTATACACTTAGAAACTCGTGCAGATACCTGCGGAACGCATTAAATAGTGAAGCCACAGACTATACACTTAGAAACTCGTGCAGATACCTGCGGAACGCATTAAATAGTGAAGCCACAGACTATACACTTATAAACTCGTGCAGATACCTGCGGAACGCATTAAATAGTGAAGCCACAGACTATACACTTAGATACTCGTGCAGATACCTGCGGAACGCATTAAATAGTGAAGCCACAGACTATACACTTAGAAACTCGTGCAGATACCTGCGGAACGCATTAAATAGTGAAGCCACAGACTATACACTTATAAACTCGTGCAGATACCTGCGGAACGCATTCAAAAGTGACGCCACAGACTGTGTATGCCCACACCTTCGGCCGCAACCGTGGGACCGATTTTGCGAAGTGACTTTTTACGAACATTAATAATGAAACCACTAAATAATTCTAACCAATTTTTAAATCGAGAAAATATTCGATTGAAAAAAATCGCAAGCGGTGCCGTAATATTTACCTGTATCTGCATGCAAGGTATATGGGTCAACCTTGCTTACTCCAGAGATGTACTTCATTCTTCAGGCTTCATGTCAGCGCTATTAATTTTTTTGTTAAAACAACCAAACTCTGTCATTTGTGCATGCGATTGCCTCATACGATACGTTATAGTATAGTAATGATCGGAACCGATTTTGAGCCAAAAAAGGACAGTTTAAAATCCAAGTCTCTGTCTTCGAAAGACGACACCGCCGTACCAGACACACAGACAACGCTATTCTACTAAAGTAAAGACAATGCTTTTTTTTTTTTTAAACTGATATAAAAAGTATTCTGGTTCTAAGCGGGCTGCACCTTCGGCCGCACCCGTCGTACCGATTCCGACGTGGCCGTACCAGAATATGTAGTGGTACTCGTGCACGCTGTACAGCTCGAGCTCCAGGCCGGCGAGGAGGTAGGCGATCATGACCCTCAGCACGTGGTACAGCACCCACGTGCCGAAGCACGCCCGCGGCGCCCCCCCGCCGCACCCGCCCCCCACTAAAGCGTCCACGCTCTCCGCCTGCGATAAGGATAACAAAGTTTAAAAACTTCTTTATTCAATATTTTACTTCATGTGAGACGGCGGCAAGCAAGCTGGAGATTCACTGGACGTTAAGTGATAACCTCCGCCCAAGGATATTAGCAACACCCGTAGGGTTGCAAATGCGTTGCCATCTCATAATTAAGTGGGCCCCGGCTAACTCACTCAAGACGAAACGCAGAAGTATGACACCTGCACTTCACGCTGGTCTTCTGTGAGGTTGTGATACTTACCCGGACGGACCTTCCCATTAGTGCAACAACCAAAGTTGTTGCGTGACCCTACCACAGTAAGTAATATAGGCAAATTTAAGCTCTTATTAAACGCAAAACTAGACCTGTCCAGAAAACAATTGGCAAGAAACTGTGCAGTTTAGTTATCTTTTTGAACTAATACCCCTTTTGGCATGTTCGTTTCGAGTTGCCAACTCCAACCAATTCCACTGTATTACCGTGGCAATCCATATTTTTTTTACTTTAACCTATAATTCTATGTTATTTAATTTATTAATCGCATTTAATGTCTTTTCCACAAACTAAGAGTACTGGCAAAGGTGATAAAATGTTTAGTTATTTTTCTTTTGTTACGCTAAAGCAATATAACTTCTTACGTGCGTACATAAATTACTGAATGTAATCTGTGACTGATGTAAAGATTTTGATTGTGACAATAGGGCTGGTTCTATTCTCAATCAGAGGCTAAGCATAGCTATTCAGTGGGGAAATGCATCTAGTTTTCTAGGCACCATGACGCTTGGTTTATTAGATAACATATTATACGTAACAGTTAGATTTAATATTGTAAGTATGTTTTTTTTAATGTACTTATATTCCGCGGGCGTTCATAGCCACGCATATATACTGCGATAGACTCAATATCATTGTTGAATAGTAACAAGATGACAGAGGGAGAATAAAAAAGAGTAAATAATTACTACCACTCCTATGCGAATACATTCACTTTAAAATAAATCCACTCTTATAAAGGATGTCAACGCAATTGCAAACCCTCGGGTGTTGCAAAGTTCATAGGCGGCGGTTAACGAGGCTCACCTGATTGTAAGTTAACACTTACAATCAGGTGAGCCTCGTGCCCGTTTGCATTTTTTCCATAATTACCCACAGTAAACAATTGTTTGTAGAGCCGTGATAGCTCAAGAGCCGTGATAGCTCAGTGTCCAGCTCGCTTTTAATTCAATATACTCGAGCAACCTGAGTCTGATCCCCGGTGCCGGCACCAATGAAGTTTTTAACTCTAAGTGCTGTCTTATCACGTGCTCCGCGGTGAAGGAAAACATCGTGAGGAAACCAGCATATTTTCGAAATAATAAAAAAAAATATTTCGAAGATATGTGAAGTCCGCCAATCTTTAGTGGGGCCGCGTGGTGGACTATGCCCTGATACCCTCTATATAGAGTAGGCCTTTGCCCAGCAGTGGGACATGTATAGGCTGTTACTTTACTACTTTAAACAATTTTTATCCCTCTTCCCCCTTGAAGGGTGTTCAAACCCTACCTCCTCCTGTAGTGCTGCGAACTCGTCCAACAACAAGGCGAGCTTGTCACGTTGCCGCGCCCGATTGTACCCGCACACCTGCACCAGCACCGCGAACGGACGGACGCAGCGCAACAGGAAATTCTCCACGAACTCGCGAGCCTGCAACGTTTAATGCAGCTCTATATAAAAGTAAAAACTAACAGTGTAAAAGTAAAAGTAACAAAATATGTATTTTTAGTCCCAACTAATTTATCTTCAACATGTCCGTTAAAAATTGAAAATACTACTTAAATAATGTAAATCCGTTTTTGGCTATAATTTAGATCATAAGATGTACGTACGATGTAACAAAGAGCTGTGGATTTTGTGTGAAATAAAAATAAAAATAAAATAAACAGCCCATACATGCCCCACAGCTGGGCAAAGGACTCCTCAGTACAGAGGGTATCCTAATATGCCCTGGATAGATAGATATGACCTGGCATAGTCCACTGCGCGGCCATTGCGTATTGGCGGACTTGACACATCTTCGAATTATTTCTCTTTGTTATTATTTCGAAAATAAGCAGGTTTCCTCACCACAAAGCATGTTATAAGTCGGCACTTAAAATCAACAATTGCATTAGTGCCGGCACCGGGAATCGAACTCAGGTTGCTCGAGTACATTGAATTAAAGGCGAGCGCCTGGATATTGAGCTATCACGGCAGCTCTATATAGTAACAATTTAACTAACTTTAAATCTAACTGTGGTAGGACCACGCAACAGTTTTCGCTGTTGCACTAATGGGCAGGTCCGTCCGGGTTAGTAACACGACCTCACAGAAGACCGGCGTAAAGTAGAAGTGTTACACATCTGCGTTTCGTCTGGTGATTGAGGAGGTAGCCGGGCCCACATTATTAAAAGGTGGCAACACATCTGCAATCGCTTAACATCAGGTGAACCGCTAGCTCGTTTGCTACTTCGCTAAAAGATAGATCGATTCCATGGAACATTATTTCTTTTTTATGTTTGTGGTCTACGTCGATTACAAGGCAATGTTTTTAAATATGTTAGTGCTGGTTGCAGCACTCTTTACTCGACAGGCACACGGTTAAGTATGTAATGTACGTGTCTCTGTGTGTGTGTGTGCGTGTCTCTCTCTCTCTCTCTCTCTCTCTCTCTCTCTCTCTCTGTGTGTGTGTGTCTGTGTGTGTGTGTGTGTGTGTGTGTGTGTGTGTGTGTGTGTGTGTGTGTGTGTGTGTGTGTGTGTGTGTGTGTGTGTGCGTGCGTGCGTGCGTGCGTGCGTGCGTGCGTGCGTGCGTGCGTGCGTGCGTGCGTGCGTGCGTGCGTGCGTGCGTGCGTGCGTGCGTGCGTGCGTGCGTGCGTGCGTGCGTGCGTGCGTGCGTGCGTGCGTGCGTGCGTGCGTGCGTGCGTGCGTGCGTGCGTGCGTGCGTGCGTGCGTGCGTGCGTGCGTGCGTGCGTGCGTGCGTGCGTGCGTGCGTGCGTGCGTGCGTGCGTGCGTGCGTGCGTGCGTGCGTGCGTGCGTGCGTGCGTGCGTGCGTGCGTGCGTGCGTGCGTGCGTGCGTGCGTGCGTGCGTGCGTGCGTGCGTGCGTGCGTGCGTGCGTGCGTGCGTGCGTGCGTGCGTGCGTGCGTGCGTGCGTGCGTGCGTGCGTGCGTGCGTGCGTGCGTGCGTGCGTGCGTGCGTGCGTGCGTGCGTGCGTGTGTGTGTGTGTGTGTGTGTGTGTGTGTGTGTGTGTGTGTGTGTGTGTCTGTGTGTATGTGTGTCTGTGTGTGTGTGCGGATCTTTTTAAGGAAATTTTTCAATCATCATGTGATTATCATGTGGTTATGATGATGATGCTTCATGTTAATGATGATGCTTAGTACACAAGCACATGGTAGGGTGCTATTAGGGTGGGAAGAAGCAGGTGTTTATTCATGTTGAATGTTTTTCGTTGCCCATAGATGTAAAAAAAAACACCCGTGCGCTTACGATGTCAAACTTCGAGAGTGTGCCAGTATATTTTTTCGTTTAACCTTATTCATTCTTTTTTCATTAGTTCATTTGGTGTCATAAAACGCAAGGCAACTTTGAAATTTAAACCTGTAAGACGGATACCTGTGGAGATGACGCCGCCGGGGACTTTGGGGTGAGTGCGGGTGGGTTGACGAAGCTTCTGATCGACTCCCTTAGTATCTCCACGAAGGGGTGAGCGGGCCGAGTCTGTCCGGGGGGCATGTTTATAGCGCTCTGTGCCAAAGACGCCGTGGTGGCCGGCGACGGGCTCAAATAGAGCAACTGTAGGGCCGATCTCGACAGAATGCAGGCCCGCTGACGACTAAACTCCATGAAGAAGTCCTGGAAAACCGACAAAAGATCACATATTTTCTTAACCTTTTCATGTAACAATTGCAATCGTTACACTATCAAGTGCATACGATGGCTCCGTGGCGCAGTTGTCAGGGTATTAGCTACGGCGCTAGGGGTCATGGGTTCGAATTCTACACAGGAAACCTATTTGCGTGTTCCAAAGATAATTGTTTCGCATCTCGGTGGTTTGCTGCGTGAAATGTACATACATACATATGTCCAACGACCTTAGAACACAGGATAATGTGGTCCTACAGTAAGGGGCTATGTTTTCGAAGGGAAGACTGCATTAAATCTTCTAGGTCGCAGTGGTCAATGGAACTTTTTTTGATGATTGTTGACTGTTGGCCTCTAGGAGGCCTTTACAGTTTCACCGGACTTGAAGTATCCGGGCGATGAGAGCGCCTAGTCTGTACCTCGTTTATAACTGAATTACCCAACCCCTTCCACACAAAAAAATCAAGAACATGTATATCTAAACATGCTTTACGATTGTAAATATATACATATTATAAATATATAAACACCAAGACACTGGAACACTATCTTCATCACACAATTTCCAGTAGGAGGGACCGAACCCACCAAGATCCATAAAGATTTACCAAGATAAAAAAAGAAACGTGCGTGGAGTCCCTCCGCGTGGAAGAAGTGAAACTTCGAGTGCCACGCATTCGCTCTCGCTCTGTCTCTTTCTACTCCCCCTCCCCAGGAGCGTTTAACGTTTAACGCAACAGTGATTTCTACCCGCTCCATGGTGGCGTTGAACGTTTAACGCGACCTTGTTGCAAGTCGCATTGGAAGTTCCACTTCAAATGCACAACTCCCCACGCCAATCGGTTCGCCATACAAACGGAGGGCACACCGCTCACCAGCGCTACGTGGAAGTTGGTGCAGGATGTGATCTTCCACGCGTGCCTCAGCCTGGCGACCAGCTCGTCGAAGTACTGCAGCGCCTCGTGGCGGGGCTTGATCCGCGTGTAGCGGGGGAACGTGGGCGGCAGCAGCCGCTGGTTGATCATCGGCTCGAAGCCCATCGGGTTAGGGGAATCCGCTGTGGAGAACACGTTCACAACTTGACAACTTGTTGGACGCGATGATATCTTAATCTATATCGCGTCCATACTGCGACGCGCTTGCTTGGACGCGATATTTTAATCTATAGATGACGCGTGTCTATACGTTATATGTAAGTGAATGTGACAGATGATATAGTACGTCTGATACGGAAAGGGATAGCAGGCTACATAGTTGCAGTCTAATTATACCAATTGGCTTAATTCGCGTGCCTCAGTTTCGGTGAGCTAGTGTCATATCTGCCTCGTTATTTGTATATAATATCATTGGTTGGCCATCGACGATAGGCGGTGATGATTTGACAACTGGATACGAATAGTGCCGAGGATAGGCGCTGTAGATTTTTCGTCGTGAAAAAAATTAAAGTATAGTAACTTGACTGTGGTACTGCCACGCACGGTCTCCTCTGTTGCACGAATGACAGGTCCGTCCGGATAAGAAGACCGATGTGAATTGGAATTGTTTTACTTCTGCGTTTCGTCTGGTGAGTGAGGTACCCGGGGTAGACTTTGTTAAAACGTGGTAGCGCGTCTGCAACCCTATGGGTGAAAATGTCTATGGGCGCCAATTATCACTTAACATCAGTAAAACCGCCATCTCGTTTTCCGCCTTCTCATATAAAAAAACAATCTATAAGAGTCCCACTGCTAGGCAAAAACCTCATTTGTACATGGTATTAGGGCATAATCCACACAATCGAATCCACGAACCCCGACGCTGAAGCCTATACCTTGGCAATTGCGCCACCGAATCATAACACTGTACAGTTAACATTCGTTCACACAAAAATATATGTAATAAGAAATGTTTAATACAGGAGTACACAAAACTTACAGTTCTCCACTGGTTGTGTGCCTTTCCCTGAGGTCTTGATAATAACCTTCATCATTTCAGAGCAACCGTTTAGTAAAGCCACACAATCTGCGCTGGATTGTGAATCTCTTTTTGTTATTAGCAAGAGAGCTTGATAGAACATCCGTGTGAAGCGAATCCTAGCTGCCAATGCTGTCCATAGATTGTTTGTCTGAAACGAGAGAATTAGCTTTGTTAAAAAGGTAATTTAAATTTTACAGTTGTGGTTGTACACAGTTGTTATGATAATAATGATTTTCAGGATTTTTTTTTACTTCATCATTGCTATGGTTGTGATAAGTTTTAAAACTTTAATTGTTTTAACAATTAGGTCTCAGTTCATTGGTATAAATGTAACTGTTGAATTATATATTTAATTGACGAGGACAGAATTTATTTTTAATTTTGTAAGTGTATCTAGTTCTTATTGATGAACATGCAAAAACTATTACTAACTTCGTCATCAAAACTTTTGGCTTTCTTGTTGAGTTCCTCTTCTTGTTCCCTTAGCAATGCAACACATTTTTGTTCGCTAACCTCCAAACTAGCGTCATATGTATTTCCTGATTGTGGATTTGAGCCAAGGCGATATCCATATCCCATCGGCAAAAAATCTTCTTCTTCAAAAACTTGAGCTCTTTAAAGAAAAGAAAAAGTTTTATCAAAAAAATCATTTGGGCTTTAAAATATACAATATCCAAGATGAACATATTTTTTATATAACAGAAAATGACAGAACAGCAGTTTAGTTCCATTTTTTTAATAATTCATATTATAGTTTGCTTAAAAACATGATTTCGTTACACAAGTGAAAATGTAAAGAAAAAGCTCTAATAACCAAGCACAATATGAATTTTGAGGACAGCTGAATCACCAATTGATCTTAATTCATGTTGTTGAGGATGTTCGTAATAAATAAAAAATGGAACAAGTAGTAATAAATAAACAAACAACTTACTTATTGATGCATTCTCTTATGCAGTCCAAAAGCTTATAGACTGCAATACAGTATGCTTTAAGAGTTTTGTTTATTACTGAATGAGGTTGGTGCAAGTATAGATTGGTAAAAACAGTCTGTGCAAGCGAGTGACCTTCCAACCAAGAGACAATGCAAGCCATTGTTGCATCTATGATGCCTATAAGTTCATGGGGCTCAAGTTCATCTATTTTTAATTTACCACACTGCAAATATAAAACAAAACACATATCAAAGAAATGTCATACATAAAAGTACAGTCACATTTGATATTTGCGATTTGTCACAAAATTATAAATATGCAAATATAAGTGTTTCACCCTCTATAGGCGACAAAATACATGTTTATTACATGTATTATGTCCCCCGTAAATTATATAAATTTGAAAGACATGTTAACTTGTGCTATCTAGACATCCCCCAGCTGTATTCTTTAAAGTCTTTAAGAGAATATTGATTTAATTTAATAAAAGGAGCAGAAATTGTTTTTACCAACCCAAACTTAATTAAACATATTATGTTGATGCTAAAAATATAGACCCATTACTAATATAAATTCACATCTCAGGCAATGATTTGTCACACCAAAGATTTTTAAATGTTTAGTGTACATTAGGCATCACATATCAACAGTAAAAATTGCACTCGTTTATATTACATACAGCGACCGCTTGTTGAAAATTTAATGGTTTTGGATTTCCTCGATTGCAGAGCATTCCAGCATCCATTTTCGGATCCATCATCTCAATAGCAGACATGGCTTCAAACAACCCAAAAAGATGGCCATCGTGTAATAGTTCTCCTAATTTAAGGTCTGAAAAAAAACGTATAGTCATTCGAAATGGCTAACAGGACACAAACAAATAAAAAAAAAGGTATTCAAAACATTGAACAAATTTTTATGAATTTTGGAATGCTTAAAATTTTGAAAATACCTTGGATATAATTAAAAAAGTCTGATGTTATGTCAACCCAATTGTATGTAACTTCGGGAGAGGCAGGTAAAGAATCCATTGCCCTGAAAATAGTGTAACTTTTAAATACATTATAAAATATGCCCATGAGAGTTCATTATTAGTACAATATTTACATTGAATAAGCACCTAATTACATATCTTAAATATTAACAATGCTTAATTTATAATAATTAATTCAATTTTTTTGTTTTAAAAACATGTTACTAGTAATAAACACTTTATATCTTTCTAGCTTAATTACTATTAGTTGAAATATTTTCATTTAATTGAGATACTGTCAATTAAGATGACTATTCAAGAAATCTTTCAAACTAATTTCTATCAAAAAACCTTGAATAATTTGCCAAATAATATAAAATAACCCAGATTGGTGACAGGTTCATAATAATACAAAATAATACTTTAAAATAGGATTTATAGAATATCCTTAACATTTTCCATCACATGCAAACCTCTTGACTGATTGCAGTTTTTAAAACTTTAATTTGCCAATTTGGTGACAGGTAAAATAATATATGATTTATAGAATATCCTTTTTTCTCATTATATTTTATACTAATATATGAAGTATTTTTATTATATTTGACTTTATAGTATACGAATCTTTATTATATGATAAAGATTCGTTTACTATATATTTCTATATTTAAGTTATAATTCAACAATGTTAATTAAACAACAAAATGATAAAAGAGATATCTAGTAAATATTCAAATAACTGTAACATACATTTTATTTAACTACTTATATACTGTATATTTGTTGTAATTAAAATTTGTAATGTTATATTTTACAATAGAGAAATAAAGTTTTGTTGTTGCGTATATAGAAAAATGGATATAAAAGCATATTACAACATATAAGATAAAAATAAAGTTGGGGCGATTAAAACACCATTACAAAGATGTCAAAATTTCATATACAAGCGAAATCACGACACAATATAACACAAAAACTTTAATAAATAAATAGGCCCGAATAAAGTGTTGTACATGCTGATCTGTACTAACCCGTCACCATCGTAATAGTCATAATTTTCACCCATTTTAAATTTCAAGATATAATGTAGAGTTAGGGAATATGTAAAGAATATAATTTACCATTTAATTCAAACACAGTTTAGAGAAAAATAATGAAATACATTGAGTACGACCGCTTTTACGTTATTTGACAGTCATTAGTAGCTGACAGCTGTATTCATCTACAGATAAAAACTAAACAAATACAAAGTTACAATTACAAACAATAACTTTTAAATGACTACTGAATTTTTTTATCCAAGTCATGTAAGTTTTCAATCACTTCAAGCGATTTCAAGCGATTAGCGGTGATATTCGTGAAACAAATACATGTAATATTTTTTTTATATGAAAAGTTGCCATGGACCGCCCCCCCATGGACTTCTGCGACACCCGAGGGTCACAGATGCGTTGACAACCTTTTGAAAATTGGGCTCCGGCTACCTCACTCACCAGACGAAACGCTAAAGTATTTGTCATACTTCAACATTATTCTGGTCTTATGTGAGATCGTGGTACTTGTCCGGACGGGCCTGCCCATTCGTCCAACAGCCGAGGCTGCTGCGTGGCTCTACCACCGTAAAAATATGGAACATATACCGGATTTGTATAAATTAAAGTTGCGTTTTTCATCTTACTAGTTGCTCGCGTATCAGTGTCAGGACTGTCAGGCCAGATATTACGTACTTAATCTTATTGGCTTTTTTAAATTCCAGCGTAACATTTATTTATGGCCGTGCTTTCCCATAGAATGGGTTGGCAGAATTTTCCTTTTAGTATTCGGTATTTAGGTCGGAGTTCTTCGAGAGTTCTGTCGAGAGCGGCGACAATCTTTTCGTACTTTTTCTACAAATTATAATGTTTAATCTTAATGAATACACATATTTTCGATTTTTTTTTTGTATTATTATTTCGAAAATATGCAGGTTTCCTTGCGAATTTTTATCTTTCACAGCCAAGCACCAGCATAAATCAGCACTTAAAAGTAACAATTTCATTGGTGCTGGCACCGAGGATCAAATTCAGATTGCTCGAGTGAATTGAATTAGAGATGCGCAAAACAGTGCTTCAAAAAGTAATGTGATGTTTATCACATCACTCATCGAAATAATATCACTCAAAAGCATTACGCATTACAATTACTTTACTTATTACATCACGCAGTAGTTCTATGTAGGTCTATACTGTGATGATGATGTTGCAATGGCATTACAGTAACATACTGGACTAAAGCATATTATGATTTTAATTTCATTACTATTACGTACTTAAGGATTAAAGCGTATTGTGACATTATTTAAGTGTAATAAGTATATGATATTCTAAATGTAAATATTAAAAATAGAGGTAATTTCGAAACTTATTATTTAATATAAGTTATATATAGGAGTTAGGTAACGGCACAGTAATATAAACTTATTTGCATCTGCACAAATCAAAAAGTAGATCCTACTACTTGTTTTTGTCGTAACGGGCACCAGGGCACAAAGTTATCAGAATAGACAATGTTATTCACGTCACACTGAGATAATATCTAACACAGGCCCAAACGAAACCGATGATGTCAGTTTATACCTCGTTAAATTTGATGACGAATTTTTTTTAGTAAAGGAATTAGGAAGCGACAATGAAAAAACTTAATCCAAGCCGTTGAAATACTAAACCCGCGACGCTTGAAAGGTTCATCTTAAGGAATTCCAAACATCAGTTCATCATTGACATAATAATCATTTTCTAATGATCAATAATTGAGACTAAAAAACTGTATTGTATTTTAAGGTTTTTGTGCACTAGGTGTAGTTATTACGCATGTTATTCAGTAGTTGATAATAAATGTCTTGCAATTATTAATTTGCCTAAATACAGCTTAGTTGAAGAGGAAATTATAAAGAATAACGTTAAATGATTTATTAAATGTATCTAATGCTGTTTCTGAACAAAGGTTTTGACGTTGATACATAATTCGGATTCTCGGTGACGGGGTCATACACATCACTGTTTACTTGAGTTGGTTCTGCGTCACTTGCGGTATCCATATTAGAAACTGTATTAATAGGGGTACTGCCACCTCCTGGTTTTGAGAAACTAACACCATCTATGCCCATATCCATGCAATCAAAGTGTAATATCTGAAATATGACGTGGTAAACATAAAATAACTTTATTAATTTATTCCGTGGACATGATTGTTCATGGACATGAACAATTAGGTAACTAATTGAAATATATCAAAATAATTTTGACATTTAATAATGTTAACCAATTTAGTATTTTTGATTAGACAGCAACAGTCAACTCTGTTGCACGAATGGGCGGGTCCATCCGGAGAAGTTCCACGACCTCGCAGAAGAGCGGCATGAAGTGGAAGTTTTATACTTCTGCGCTTCGCGTGAGCGAGTGTGGTGTGTGGGGCCTACTTTACTAAAAGCTGGCAACGCATCTGGTACCCTACGGGTGTTACAAATGTCAATGGGCGGTGGTTATCACTTAACGTCAGGTGAACCGCTTGCTAGCAAGCCACCTTCTAATATAAAAAAAATTCAAACACATAATACGTACCAAGATTGGAGCCTTATCGATTCTTGTGTCCATGTCCATGCAAATATGTAACTTCTGTTGGACAATTGAGACATCGAACAATCTGACGCACATGTCAACAAGTCCGGGAGGAATGTATGGTATAGGTATCGGAACACAAAATGGTGGTGGATTACTAGCTGTACATAAAATGACGCAAAATTATTTTACAAAATGAAAACTATGAATCAAGTGACAATTATAAATAATTGCATATGCTTAATGTTCATTATAAACTTAAGTTCTTACATAAATTTACGACGATCACCTGATTTTTTAATTTTTTTATGCGGATGAGGACCCATAGTTCACATAAATTAAATAAGCAAACTATTGATTAAATGAGCAAATGATATAAAATGAAATATTATTTTGGCATAAGACTTGATTTACCGGTTAAACGTTTAACAATCGAAGAAATGAGTATCGCTAATTATTGATACGGCCTCCTCTTCAGTATCGTGCGTGAATGATAATATGTATTAATAATTAAGCTTTTACGTTTAATCGGTCCAATCAAATTGTTGCTATAATGGGTAGGCTGGCAGCAATGTACGATAAACACAGTTTTAAAATTGATCTCCTTGGGCCTTTTAGTTATATTTAAAACATAAAGTATATGTTTTGTAGTTCAATTTAACATCGCTTTAATATCATAAAGATAATCACCTGAAAACATTTGAACCAATACACTCTTGTTGCTCATTTTAACTTCCAAATTAATCGTGGATTCCTCGGGTTCAAATTTCAATATTGCGCAAGCTGTAATCAATTTATTAATTCAGTCATTTATGGTTGTGAGATTCAATGCATATCTAATATATAAAATTCTCGTGTCACGGTGTTTGTAGTTGAACTCCTCCGAAACGGCTCGACCGATTTTCGTGAAATTTTGTGTGCATATCGACCAGGGTAGAGCATTTGACAACATCAATTTTTCATCCCCCTAAATGTTAAGGGTGGTCCACCCCAAACATTTTTTACTACCGTACAAATAATTTATATGGCAAAATTACGTTTGCCGATTCAGCTTGTATTTTATAAAGATAAACGTAAAAAAATATAAATATCCTTTGTTATATTACGCAACCATTTGAAAAACTTTACAACACTTACTGCGCCTATCAAAGCCGATAGCTTCAATTCTGATACCGGTGCAACAAGTGCATTTGAGGCTTTCGCATTCACAAGGCCCTCCAGTAAAAGGAAGCCGGAGTCTCCAACCAGGTCTATACCATGGTCTAGGCATGATTTTCCTTATGGTCTACGGAAAAGAAAAAAAAGTAAAGTTAAAATGGAAAGATATGTAATGCTGTTTGTTGATAATTAATGATATGAATAGTATTTTTGTTAAGAATCAAAAATATTATAATAATTATTTCAATAGATACAAGTTGCTTTTTAGTATCTCTGTTGCTTTTTTTTATTTTATGAAATTATTTTTACGTAACTAAACAATTATTTTGTTTCTATTATATTGTTAAGGAACTTTTACGTATAGCGTATGCCGGTCCTGTAGTTACTTTGACATAAATATTACCTCATTTGTATGTAAATCATAATAAACTGAAAAATCAGACACATCCATTGCAACGTCACCTTTATTTACTACGTCTATAAAATTTGAACTGTATGCTGAAACTGAAATAAAAAAAACATATTAATATTTGTAATACACCACTTATAACACACCACAGTAACTGAATTATTTAGTGGTATCATATTATGACATGCTAAAAACAGATTCAAATAGAAGGATGTTATCAACTAAGATTTAATAATTAGGTTTCGAAATAGTTCCCTATTATTGTACCTACACTGTAACCATAATCTTTTACGAGAGATTTTTTGTTATCTTAGATTTTGTTTAAAAAAAAGATTTAATTATTAACTTTAGATAATATTGAGCGTCTATACACCTCACCTAATTTAACCGTCGCGATAATAAAATAGAGGAACACCGTACACACTTTTGTTTTCATTTTGCTTAACTGTTATTCGAAACTAAATATTCAATTGTTTCTATCACAAGGGACAACATTCAAATGACAACACGTTAGTTACGTTAACACTAAGCTGTTAAAGGTTTGACTTAAACAATTTGTATGCAAGATATGTTACGCGAGATCGTTGCTTACTTGCGGTACTTTCTAAAGAAACTCCTGAGCGACGCCATCGGGCGAGAACAGCGTAGGCTGAACATCATTAAGTATCCAACTTTGTATTTGGGTCAGTTTATGCTGCAATGTGCAATGAAATGCAATTCGTATCATGTTTATATTTAATTTTAAATAATTCGCGGGTACAGTCATTCGTTCATATTTACAAACATGCAGAGAATACTTAAAATAATTTATTTGTCATATGTTTTGAATGGCTTATGTAAATAAATATAAATACATGAATAAACTGATGACGATTAAGGGCACAAATTCAGCATTCAACGATGTGAAATTGCCCTTTAGTTCTTTAAAGATCCTAGTTTTCCAATATCTCAAACAGTGATCGTACTAAATTGTCGTCATACTCCTCGATATCATCTTCACCAGCGTCGATGACAGCATCAACGCCGCCTTGTGGATTGGGAATCGGGAGGCCTCCGCTCTCCTCCGGCTTCACCATGGCCAAACCATTTGCACCCATCCTGATAAAAATTAAAAAAACATTAATTATCTTATACCGTTTCTTATATACAATTATTCTAGATTCTAGTAGATTATACAATTATTCGGATCCATATTACCTTAGACAATCGAAAGTTAGATGGAAAAGTTCCACCGATCGCCACTGTCCGTTCATTGACAGGCAAAAATGAAAGTTCCTCCCCGGAAAGAAAACGTTATAAAATCTTGCACACACTCTCAAATTAGGCATTCTCGGCGGACTTATACAAATCGGCCTAGGATTTTTTCCTAAAATAAAATAATGAAACATCATTAGCTAATGCAATATCGGTACTGGTGAAATGTTAGAACGAAAGCATTACCTGACATGGAGTTTTCATAGAGAATTCTGTCGTTCATTGACATGGCCACATCAAACGCAAAGTCTCCCGGATGGTAGGTTACTTTCATACAGGCTTTCTGCTTGAACAAATCTAAAATTAAACCAGTGCAACATCTGCATACTCCTAGAGCGCACGAACAGGGTCTTGAAAGTGGGTTATTTTGTTCCGAGGTCTCTTGAGTTTGTCTCGAAAGATGCCCCACCGCGATCGGCAACTTTCTTAAGTGAAACTGATCAATTAAAAGTAGGGCACTATCCGGTACTTCCAATCCTTTCAATTTATGAAAGTAGGTTTTATTTCTTTTCATATTCACTGAAAATATAAATATTACATCCTATTCTATTTATCTGAATTCCAGTTTCAGTATTATGTTTCATGCAAAGAAGCAAAGGAACACAACTCTTTAGGAGTTATTGAATGTAACTTACCCGTTTCACTGTCTCCATATACGAAATGGAAGCAAAGAAAGCATATTATTGTCAAATATATAAAATGCTTCATGATGTTGAAAGCTTCTTGCTTAACGATAGCTGTGCGTATGTCAGTTACGGGAATGATACAAAGGCTCTCTAATACACACTAATAGTTTCAAACCGGTTTGAAAATTATTTTTTCTAGATATAATTAGAACAATCTCATTTATTTCAGAAGTTCATTGAAAAGAAATTTTATTTATTTTTTTCTGTATTTTCTTTTGGGTTTCTTTTTTTTTTTTTGACAAAATGAAAGCGCTCGGTGTGATGCTAGCGATATGCATGTTGAGTTGCTCCTACCACTCCTTTTTATAGGCTTTAACCGCTTTAAATACACCGTTCCAAGATTCTTATACCCAAAGAGACGATGCCGGAAAAGGTATAAATTCAATTATAATGATGATATTAATATCACCCTAACATTTCTCTGGAATAATTTATTTCAGAATATCAAACTTTAATGGCAGAAAGTAAGCAAAACACACATTGGATTCACAAAATTATTTTATATAAATAAATATTTACAATGTTATTATATCTACGGCTTGTGCACATTTTAATCAAACGGCGTTTACAAATAACTAATCTGTCAAACAAATAGTTCTCCAAGTGCATCACCAATACCACCGAGAGGCCCATTGTTAGGTCTACCTCCGAAAAGCCCGCCACTTGGCCGACCAAAAATACCACCGCCGCTGCCTCCACCCAGAATAGTTCCTGCAGCATTTTCCAAAAATCCTCCACTGCTCTCACTGTTACCACTGCCAAATAAATTTACCGGCTTTGGTCCTGAAGAAATTGGTTGAGGTTTTAACCCAGTTTGAACGCCCGAGGAGCCAAATCTAAAAAACGAGATTAGTGATAAGACTTTTTTTGTCATATTTTATTCATTTTTATTTTTCATCATAGAGACCACCTTTACCTTTTTAACGATTAATTATTCCAATTCGAACAATTACTTAACAACAATTGATTATTCGGAAAAATCTATCAGTAACTATATTAAAAATAAGTGTTTAGTTCTTACCCAAAACATCTGAAAGGCGCCGAATAAATAGGAAAACCAGCAATGTCCGCATTCATATCTAAGCATGCAAATGTGTTTCCATTTCGAATGCGAATGTCAGAGATTTCTGCGCAAACACGAACGAAAGGCGCCCTCCTAGGATTGAAGCAAATCGGTGGAGGATCACTTGCTGGAAAAGTTGTGTTTTCAGATAATTACAGCTAAACACAAATTACGGCTACAGAGAAATAGAAACAAACATCAATGATCAATTTTGAGCTTACCTGATACTCTACGCCGTACAACTGTATTGTTATTAACGCTTAATTTAACGTCAAAAATAAAGTCTTCTGGTACAAATGTGATATTTCCGCATGCTTTCATTCTGAACCTTTCTAGCATTGATCCCGTGCAGCACCCACATTGTCTTTTAACACAGGTACAGGGGAATCTAATAACTTGACCTTCAATTTCTTCAACTGGTGTATCATTAACATCATCCTCTTCAACTGGACCTTGAGCTACAGTGGCAATAGTAGTAAGAGGACTCTGTGTTATAACTGGCGTAACTACTTCATCATTTACTTCAGTTGGGTTACTTTCCAAAATTGGTACAGGTGTTTCTTCTTCAACCACTTCGTCTTCTACGACTTCGTTTTCTAAAATATCGTTTTCCTCGTCTTGAGGGACTTGTACGGGCACAACTACAGTGAGTGGAGATTTCAACAGTGGTGTTTGATGCAATGCTTGTTCCCAAATAGACTGAGGAATTGTGAAATTAATCACTTCGTATTCCTTATCCTTTGTGAACTTAGTTTTTTCTAAAACATTTTAATTATTGAAATAAATTTAAACATTTCAGGTTACCGTAAACTTCATATACTTACCAATACCAGCTGAACACAGATGAAAAAAATATATTACACATAATAGTTTACAAGCAAAAACGTTTGTAGACATTATCCCTTCAATTATTTGTAATAGTATTGACAACAACAGTTTCGCTTGACTTTCCAGTTGAAATTGCAGGCATAGTAAGTTACCTCCCACTATTTAACGGCTGGCCAGTAAAAAGTTTTGATACTTATTTTACCGTGGATGATGAGCACAACAAACAAGTTTTAAATTTTAATGCATGGACTGATGAGGTGAAAGTTTTATTTTTCTACTAAAGATGAGACCTGAATGTAATTATCCTTAAGGGACAGTTGGTTTTTGGTCAGCCATTTCACATGAGTATTTTTAAGCCATCTACAGGCAACGAAAGGAACTTCATTCTGAATATATTTTTGAAAAAAGAAATTATTTTCTCAAGCATCGCTATAAGCCTATATATTATATAGCCTATATAATATATACATATTACTATACATTTTTTATTAATGTTTATAAATTGTAATGAGAAATTATGATGACTTAAAAAGTGGTACCTATAAAGGAGCTTTCTACAACAAACATCTATTACAAAATGGAAGATATTTTTATAACATTACAATTCAATAATTTAAAGAAATTTGTGTTATACTTTCATGCATTATCAATATTATGTATTATTAATTTTTATATCTACTTACTTTTCGTTTTAATTTTACGAAAATCAATTTTGTTAGTGCCTGATGCAGATAATATTTTTTTTATTCAAGACATACAGCTAAATTTTTCATCTTTTCCTATTTTAGTTTTAATTTTTAACATTTTATTTTTTCCTAAATTGCAACATTTTTGAGTAGAAATAAAAAAATAACAATTTTATTATTTTATAACAAAAGGGAAAGTAATTTAAAGAATAATAAACCAGTTTACATACTTATATCATTTAATATAATATGTAAAAACAAAATTAGACTATTAACAAGATAATAGCATAGATGCATGTAACGATTACACCTAGTCTTGTTGAATAAATAAGAGCACAAGTTTAAATATTACATTTCTTTATCTGTAAAATAAATAATATTTACTTAAATTAACTATTTACAAAGTTTTAAGTAAGGAAATAAATAATGACTGTCCCTAATTAGATCTAAATATTTTTGCATCATACTTGAGACCATTCCCCACGCATCATTTTATTCTGTCTTCTTCTATTTCTTTTGTTCTTTTTATTATCAACGCGATCAGTCAACCCTATAGTTTCAGATAAATCTCCAATTATATCATCGTAATCGTTATTATTTCGATTCCCATTTGCATGTTTTATATCTTTATTTTTATTTTCCCTTTTATTTTTTCCAAAAAATCCTAACTGCTGTCCGACACTTTCACCAATTTTAGTTAAATCTAAAACATCCAAATCAGCTAATTGAAAATCATCACCTCCTTGGTTCTTTTTGGGTAACGTAAGACCTTCGTAATCATTATTTGGGAAAGAATTGTCGTGATTTATATTATGAGACCGAATTTGACCCGGAGAATAAGATCCTTTATCGGGCACCAATTCTTCAGATTGAGAATCAAGGTTTTGAACTATTTGAATCATATCATCTTGATTATGTTCAGTTGGTTCAAAGGGAATTGTAGATGGGTTTTTTGGAGTAACAGTTTCAATTTTTTCATATTGTACCTCTTGGCTCGTAGTTTTCTTATTTGGTTCCTCCATATCATTTACAACTGAAGTAATTGGCATAACGGAGAGCTGGCCAGTAATGTGGGCTAAAGACATTTCAAGACTAGGATCTTCGAAGTTGGTTTCAGGTTTTGTGGTAGTAAGAAATGGAACCGATGAAAGTTTTTCGGTGGTTGTCTTTTGATTCATTGAATCAGTAAATGTTACTAGTTTATTTGCTACGTCATTTTGAGAAAAACTGTCTAAGGTTGAAGTTGTAGGTGTTGTAGTTGAAATTGATGAAGTTGAAGTAGTTGATGCTTCTGCAGAAGTTACTGGTCTTCTTGATGGACGTCCATTCGGTCGTCTTGTTGGTCGACGAGTGGGACGCCGAGATATGGGACGAACTTTAACCGTAGTAGTTCTAGTGACGAAAGGTCGCAGAGTTGTAACTCGGGATGCTGGTCTTCGGGTTGGACGACGGGATGGCCGCGGTCGCCTTGTAGTAGTTGAAGGAGGTAAAGTTGGAGCTTGCTTCTTTTTAATCTTATTCGACTTTTTACCACCGGATCCAAATAGATCTCCTAACAAGTCTTCTCCCAAAAGACTGAAACCTGTATAGTCAGCACTCTCGACGTCGTTAACAGCGTCAAGTTCACCTGAAAAAGTTTTCATTAAACAATGCAGGTTTTTTAAATTTTTAGATTATTAGATTTTAACTATTTTCTAACTAATCTTTAATCAGATTTTAACTTTTTCATTGCTTAATAGGAAAAAATTCTAACCTACTGCCAGCTTTTTTACTAATATTTACACCTATAATCATTTCTGTAATGACAAATATTTTTGCTTTGCTAAACAATTAAAACCCACGCTGTACATACCACCGTCATCGTCATCGTCTTCAGCCTCTTCGTACTCATCACCACTTAACCCAAAATCATCATCGTCGTCGTCATCATCTTCGTAATCCTCATCATCTTCGTCAGGATTTTCATTTTGAGGTACTAACGGCAGGGGATCTGCTGATTCAGACGTAACACCACGTGGACCGAACTTGAAGCAGGATACTCTAACAGCTGCCTCTACAGTACTCTTAGACTGAAGTTCTAAACCTAAACAAGCTCGAAATTCTTCTCCAGATCGCGCAATGTTATAAACTCGTCCGCAAAATTTGGATATTCCTCCAGGTAGAGGCATACAAACTGGACTTGGTTTGCGACCTGGAAACATAATTTTACCATATTCTTTAGATAACATAATTTTAATATGAAAAATAGAATAAAGTATTGAATGATGTTTTAATTAAAACTTATTTTTAAATTAAGTAGGTTAAGTAACTTTTGATCAAAAACTTTCAGAAAATTTTATTGTAGTTTAGGTCCATATTTACTGTTTTAAGTTTTAAATGATTGTTTCTATAAAAATAAAAACCATCTATGGATAATAATACCCACTGGATAATGTACGATTCGTGATTACTTTTCTCCCAAAGCTTAAAGACACGGACATCTTATCGTCATTCAGGTACATTAGCGTTGCACAACCTGAAATAAAAAAAAACATTCAACTGTGAAATCTTTTAAGCGTAAAAAAAAATAAAAATGTGATAAATAAATATTTTGAAAACAGAGATAATTTGACAAAGTCCACCCATGAAAAAAAGAACTCTACCTGCACCACTTAAATTCACAAGTGGTACTTGGAAGTCCCGGCAGCAGTTGCAAAATAATTCAGAGCATTTGCAATACCTATTGATACTGTTGTCCTCTACCTTAAGATCATTATTTTTATTTTCAATTCCAGTCTTGTTATGCTTCTTTCTCCCTAAAATAAAAAAAGGAAAAAACATCATCATATATTTTTAAAAATACTTCATAGAAATAAACTGAAAATAGATATCATGAAAAACATTTGACACCTTCAGTCCATAAATATCCCCTCCAAATAATTTGGATTCGTATCACTTTCCACAGTACGCTGATTACAAAAAAAAGTTGTTTTAACGTATCAGCTGTACTGTAGTTTTGTAATTTATTTATTAATGTTTTTACAGTAATGTAACTTAAATTACAAACCTTTAAAAATACATTTACTTTAACTTACCTATGCTTTTTGAGGCGGCGAAAGCCAAAAGAACGAATATAAGGAGAAGCTCAAACACCAACGAGAGCTTCATCCTGAAGCTCTTCTCCTCACCTACAAAATGCCAGAAATTGATATAAAATAACTAATAAAAAAGTTCCTGTTCCTGTTCGAGAGCTGGAACTATTCATTTGTTTTTATTCATTTTATTGTGCGTATATCGAGCTTCTTAATTCCCATAATTGATTCTTATAAGTCTAAAATTATACAATATTGATGAGAGATAAACTTTGGATGCGAAAAGTATATATCTAAAATATATAATTAAATACACTACATCCGAGTTTTAACTGTCTGTTTACAATATGGGAAAATTAAGCAAGCGCGTTGAAATCTTTTTGGCGTGTTAATGAATCATGTACACAAATTCCACATATGTCTTTAAAATTACAAAAGTGATAATTTGTAGTTCAATCGATTTTATAAGATTGAAAATTATATTAAGATAAGCATAAAACAATAACAATTTCCCACTTACCCCTGTAAGTAAATTGCTATATCAAATAGATACACAAGTCTTGAAAGTATCTATCGCGTCGCAGTCACACCGGTCCGAAAGTTGACGTTCGATTAAATTACAATGATTAGAAACTACGACAAGTAGCCCTAAAACGTATTCAACAACGGCCTTACTGCGGCACTGATACTACATAACCAACGCCTCGCACTCAGAGAAATGTGAAATGACAGCCCACCGTTGGTGAGAAAGGAAAACTATCGATCTATCCTCTCTGTCGCTCGTAGTGGACTTTACAAGGGAGAAACGAAAGGGGGCACGCCTTCAATTGTTTATGTAGAATTCAGTGTCAATCGCTAACGCTGCCTACTTTGAATTGTATATACGAGCAAAACACAAAATCAAGGTGCTGTGATGCAATTAATATAACAATATACAATCAAACATCTACATGTTTTGTTGGTCTGTAAATAACTAACTGGCCACAAAACCAAAAAAAGAAAAAAGTTTATCAGAAGTATTAAATTTAAATTTTTTTCGTCTGCAATATGAGACACTATTAAAATCTGTAGTGAAACCAAGTAATCATAAAAATATTATAGTATCACTGTATTTATACTAAAAGACGTATAGGTACTTAGCACTAATGAAATGAAATAGAAACCTATTCCATGCGGAAATACTTAGAAATATATACATATCTACTTCGAAAATAAATAGACACGATTAGTGAACAAATTGAAGTGCTTTCACATTAGATTGAAGTGATTGGTAATAATAAAATAACGAAGTAGGTTTTAAGGAAAAAAGAAAATAATTTAAAACGATGCTTTGATTCTATGTTTAAATAACATTTTCTTGGAAGACCGGAACCCATAATACGTAAAGATAAATTTCTTTTTGTGGTATATTCTAGAATCTACGAACAACGTGCAATGATCTCGGATGTAGTGTTTCTATAGCGCTTTGGTGCTTTCATTTATATTGATAGCATAAAAATTTCCAAATGCTGTTGTCCAAATAAAACTTATGTCGATGCATAAAACTCACCTCAAACAATTTTAAAGCCTCGATGAATTTAATGAAGGAATATTGTAAAGTCTGACAGTTTCTATGATTATGAACATTATTTCAACTTCTTAATATCGCATGAAAAAGTGAGAAAATTTAAATATTTAAAACAAGATAACGTTAATTTTTTTTTATATTAAGTTTTTATTGGACTATACTATGCATTTAAGATGAAACATTAAATATTTGAAAAAGTTATTTCGAAGTCGCGGGAATCGAAACCGCATCTTCAATAATTGCGCCCTGACGCTTTAACAACTAAGCTAAACGATTTATTGTCACGCTGACGAAATTTTTCATCTATTTTTCTACAAATTATAAACTTTTCAATACTTGTTCCAATTTATACTACTTATCACTTTAACATACATTATTACTTCTTATTGCTCATTTTGATTTCTCAATATAATTACTTTCTTAAGGTATACGCTTTATTAAAAACATTTGAACAACTGATATGCAGCAGGCTTTCAAAGATTAATGAAAATGGATTTCTCTATACATCCATTATCATCCAAATAATGCATCAGCGATTACAAACTGGTGAACAATTCAAAATAATATTTGGTTGTTAGTAGCCGATACGGAGTGGCGGCATTACATAAAGGTCGGCACTGCTCGAGCGCCCAACCGCCTTGCTATAAGCCACTAGTGGTTTGGTCACTTTCTACACGGTGAAAGTTGAACGCCGCCTCCGGACATGTTTGTTTTTTAAAACTCATTCACACCGCAACACGTAATTGTTAGTGTCTGGGTCAATGTTCTAAACGATGACAAAACTGTTTATGATGTTTTATGTACGTAATAAATGCATTATCACAGATGTATTGTTTTAATGTACAAAAGTCTTATATAATATGCATAGCAAATAAGGACTTTGTAGTAAGTAATCTATGATTCCAATCTACGACACAAATTTGGCATGAAATCGGGTTACGAAAACTAATTATAATGATAACTACAGGAACTTTACTTTTATTTTATTGAAATTATAAATCCAAGGGCTCACATATCTTAACCTATAGACAGTAGACAGGGATATGGAACTTTGTACAGATTTCCTAATTTTAAATACCATGTCATCATTACTTTCAATGGTTATAGACTTGTAGTAACTTAATATTAGAATATTGAAGATCGAAATAAAGTAAAAACTTTTGTAAGAATTGCTGTAAATATTACACAGAATGCTCGCTGTTTACTTACAAAGCATAATGTTAATTTCATATTAATGGGAATCAGTACGCGTGCAAGCATCCACGTTACGTTGAAAAACAACAGGGAATTAATAATTTCATGTTCCGGTATGATTATTTATTCCTTATTGATTTGTTTTAAATATTAGCAACTATTTTTTTATGTGTTGCCACTTTGTTGCTGTTATTCTTCCACTTCACGCTAGACTCTGTGAGGTTGTGGTACTGACCCGGACGGTCCTGCCCATTCTTGCAACAGCGAAGACTGTTGCGTGGCCCTACCAAAGCAGCTCAGTTGTTTTATTGTGATATCCTTCCGTATAATACGCAATTTGACATACTCAAAATATTTTTAGCAATACCGAGAGTATTAACGTACCGAGAGTATATTGAATTATTGTTTTATGGGCGCGCTTTTCACGTATAAAGATGTAAAAATTCTCTGAGACGTGAATGTTAAATCCATTCACGTACTTTTTGCGTATTACTTTTATCGGTGGCCATGCCACATGCCACGTGCATTACCAGCCACTGGTACAACCATGGTAAAATTTGCGATAAGAATTACTCTTCAGTAGTTTCAGTAGTCGATGTTCGGAGGGCCCATAAAAGACTTGAATGCACATACAAGGAAACTTTCCCCTTTTACTTTTCTTAATGATACAATGGAATTACTTTTTAACAGTGGTTTTTAATAATAACTAATACCACAGGGGATTAGAAGACAGCTTCCTAGAGTATTATAAATATAATAGGCTTATTATTATAGAAAGGTGATGTCAGCGTGTTCTTGCTTTCTTAGAACGTACGGGTGAACTGTTTGGTAATTTGTCCTTTTAGCTACATGGCTACTGTTGATATCAACTCAAACTGAAGATAAACACAGTTACAAAAACACATTTTGTATTCTATACGAACATTTGCCGGGCATCTAGTGAAAACGAAGTCTTTTTTTTTAAATGTATCACGATGAACTTTAATTGGAGTATGTTACTCATGATCCATAGCTAGCAGCGTTCATTGACCGTAGTGAGAATTAGTGGACCGTAATTCTAGGTGCATTGCACATCTTAACGATGGAAACACCTACTTAATGATTGGAACAAATTGTTTACCTATTTGCTATTGCTCTAAATCAATTTGATAGAATTTATGATGGACTAATTTTAACGATCAATAATAGACGAAACAAAAAACCCAAACACAATTTATTTTAAGCATATTCAATTACTTTAGGAGGAAGCAACCATTAAAATAATTCATTTTAATGCAACAAACATCCTTACTTCCTTACTATCCTTACTAATATTATAAACGCGAAAGTTTTTATGTATGGATGGATGTTTGTTACTCTTTCACGCAAATACTACTGTATGGGTTTTAATGAAATTTTACAATAACGTATTATTATAACTGTTACTATATATCTTATAACGGTTATTTATAACTGTAAAAACCTCATAAGCCAAAATTACTTCGTATTCGTGCTGCAGGCGTCGCTCCGCGCATCTCAGCGATGCATGTCATATCATCATTACTATAAACCGCGTTATGCTTTATTTAAAATTTCACCTTCTATTGTGAGGGAAGTGAAACGGGCCCCGAGCGAGATCCGTGGAAAGGAGCAGTATTGAGTTGCGACTGGCGTGGTGCGACGCCTCTTACAAAGAAAACGGCCGCCGCGGATGCGTCACCTGTTTCTGTAAATTGCGCGCGAGATAAAAGGAAAAATTATTAATTAGTATTGCGCTCTTATACCATCTGCGACATTACTGTGACAGCATGCAGGCCAAACTTACACTTTCGTTGCTGATCGCGTTGCTTGCTGTGGCAAACAGCACAAGCATTTTAGGTGAGTGTCACACTATCATTACTAATACCTATACCTATGCATACAAAGTACTCATCTGATCTAGTCTTAGTATTTTATAGGATAATTAGAATTATTTAGATTTTTATATTCATTTATTATCATCTTATAGTCCGCCTCTAAGAGTGAGATAAATTTGTTTTTTAATACAAATTTATACGAGCACCGGAAATTGACCTTTGATATTAACAACTTTAACTTACTGTCTGTTTTATACACTTTCTTAGGGATACATTTGAATTAACTTTAATATACCTTTATGTTTAATATACAATTAATTTAGTATTCTGTGGGACTAAAGCGAAAGGAAAATAAATCATAAAATGAAAACACCTAACAATTTCCTAGATAAATTGGTCAGTTTATAGTAAAAAACATATTGCCATCGATAGATTATAAGTATATATTTTTTTATTATATTACTATGCAAAGCTGTATCTGCGTAGATTTACGAATTAGAAATAGTTTTCACTTACATAACACATTTGACACATTGAATTGAAGTTGCCGTAACAGTCAAAAGCGACCCTAACAAATTACATTAGCACGTTCCAGCGTTGGCGAAAGTGGGAAGCTCATATGAAAATAAAAATAAAAACTATTTCGCGCAAACGATTTGCTCAAGTAGAAATTTTAAAAAATATCCATTACTAATATATTCGATATAGAATAAATAAGCATTTATTTCAATTTCCACTGGTCTTATTACAATATATTATTGCAGCCCTTGTTTGTATTATAATACTGACGTTAATAAATCAGATTAGAATATTATGAAAAATGCGTGCTAAATGAAAGTATATTTTTTGCAGACTACCTTGATTGGGACGGCGGAAAACTTATCGATGTCCCAGAACAACGAAACTCTCAACCAAATAGAAATTGCATGTGTAAAGGGCCTGCGTGCATTTGCTGTGTGGACTTTAATATAACCTTCGTTGACCTTGGTGGCCCAGGTGAAAATTTTATATACATATATTATACAGGGAGATTTTTCGAGAAGTGCCCAAATTTACACAGGAGGTTCAGACTCGGTATTATAATCGTTTATTGTAATAAAAAACAGTTTTTTTTTTTCAAAAAGACAATGCCATTCTATTCCCTAAAAATCAGAACGTGTTGACTATGCGGTAGTCATACCTAAATATTATTGTGCACGAAATTGTGTGCGTGTTAGTTATGAATAATCTCGCGTAAAATAATGAGTTGCGTATAAATCACGCACTTTTTGAGATAAGTTCAAATGAATGTAATTAATTAATTACGAGTGATTTTAAATATTTATCATTTTTTATATAACATTATTTATGTCTAGAATTTAATTAAAAAAATGGATACACTTTGAAAAGCCACCCTGTATAATAAAAATGAGATATGAAATACAAGCTCGCACTCGTTAAGCACTTGGAAGTTCTTGTACTTGACTATGTATCATGACATTCACTATTTATATCTTTATATGATCTTAGAATTTACATAAGTAAAATTTAAATTTAATTTTTTTATATTAATTTATAATTTTTAAAGCCTTTTAATTTTTTTATGCCAGGATGTGTTCATATGAAATACCTATCACCTGATGATGGATTTTCTGTTAACGTTTCGTACGGAAAAAATCTAATTCATACTTCAAAGATTCAAGGTAAATTTACAAGTTATTATTATTTCAAATTAAAATTATTAACATAAAAATTTAGCATTATACTACACTTAATGATAACAACGATATAAATTTTCGATATAAACTACATACACTTCATATAGAAAACATAATTTTGTCACTTCGCTAATTGGCTATATTGCAATAGAAAGTTTATTATTGAAATCTCTTGTGTATATGACTCAAGAGGCAAATTGAAAATGAAGAAAGTGTTCACATAAAGATTACATTAATGTCCATTAAGATTTTATTTCCTTTACTCAAGAGAGATTTTACAAAGATTTATTTAGAGCTTAAAAATAATCTTAATTTAAAAATTTCCGAAACTGGTCCAATAATGTGTAATGCGACACATACGGTTATATATTCGTAGTATTCTTTATTTCTAGTAATTTATTAATTTACTGTACTCATTTAGTTACTTTTACGATTTTAGGAGCAAACCCACCTCCTATCTGTCTTCAAGTGTTCGGAAAGTTCGCACAAGTTTGTGCGAAATTTAATGACCTGGCTCCAACTGCGGATGGTCTACGTGGGTGTCTTGAGTTAGGACCAAAATTGTTCGGGGAAACTCAACTCGAGTTCCCTATCGGGTGCTTTAAATCTACTGCTGGTGGAATGGAGATGGAGGATCCACCAGCCGAGACAGAGGAGTTAGTTTCAATTTATTGTTTGAAATTTTGGCACATTTAATCAATTTTAACAAATTATTTTAAAAACATTACAAACTTCTTGACATATATTTTGGGAACAAAATCTGATTTACTCGTAAACTTATGAAAACATATTTTTCTTAATCTCTATACATTGTTTATCAATTCTTCATCAAGCTTTAAAATGGTGTTTGAATCATTGAAGATTCAAACACCATTTTAAAACTTAAGTTTGCCGCAATTGACAAAATCAAACAAATAGATTAAAGTCAATGAAAACAAATGTCTTCATATTAAATATAATTAAAATGTCCAACAAACTTTCGTTTAAACACTTCTTATAAAGAATGTGTCATTATGCCATCTATTATTTTTTTTTAATAAAACATAGCGAAGTAGACTGAAAAGGCATTATTTTTGGTATAATTATGATCACGATATTGAAAAAATTTCGCAGGGGTCAACTATAATATAACTGTGTATGTATTAATACATTTAACAATATTTATATATTTCACAAAGTAACATTTGTTTCGCCCTTTAATATATTGTTGCGAAATTTTTATAAATTTACTCATATTTGTTTTAAGTTTATATAATCTTTATATGATAGTATCATTTGAAGAATTTTGCTTCTCGCCCCCGGCTTCGCTCGCGTTGATGCCCTTAAATAAATATCTACTCATTTTAAGAACCCTTCATAACCCTTTTTCCAATTAAAAATAGCCTATGTCTTTTCTAAGGCTCTAGTCTATCCGTGTACCAAATTTCGTTTAAATCGCTTTAGTATTTTTGGCGTGAAAACGAGACAGGGAGCAGACAGACAGAGCTACTTTCGCATTTATATATTTGTATGGATGATATGATATGTACCATATAGGTAATTAAAACTTTGTAATTTGATTTCACGTTATTACAGAACCCCAACAGAAGAAAGCAACACAGAAGACTCTAGTGATTCCACCGACTTTGATGCGGAGTCTTTCCTTCTGGGCGTTTATCAAACTGCAGAGCAGGGCATGGCTTTTCTTAGCAGTCTCCTCGACATTCCTCGGCAAAACGCAACAAAACCAGCGGTGGAAACTCAAACACCTGAACCACAGAGAAGAGCACCGAAGAATCTAAAACATCCTAATTTACTGTGATATAATTTTGTACTTACGTCAGTCTAAAAGCACAGTCGTCATGAATCACTTGCCCTTGAAAACTTCCTAAAATTTAGTTTTTAAGTACAAATGGCATTTTTTAGGTTTAAGTTGTTGCTGTTGATCGGGCATTGCTATCCGGATAATATAATGCGCCTGTGGTGATTCAAATGTTTCTAATAATCTTATTCATTGCTTTAATAATACATTTTAAGACTAGGATTTTTATTTAAATATAGTAAAGATTGTTCTATTTTAATATTGTTCCCATTTTATTCGCTAGCTGACTAGCTCTCCTTTCCTTAATACCGGAGAATTGTAATAATTTTAAATAGTTCTATTGTTGCAGAGCTTCGAATAAGGGCGCATTCCACGTATTGGTCTCGTAGTCTCACAAAAGATCAGCTTGATGTAAGAGCATTAATTTAGAAGTATTGCATATCTTTATTATAATAAAATATTTTATCAACTCGCAATCTACAGAGAAAATTTAATAGATCAAACAAATTTGGCACGTTGTGTCAGAACAAAAATAAAAACATTTCACACATTACCTTGTGTTTGTACAGTCAGGGGTTAAAAATTATTTTACGCTGTTCGACTCATTTATTTTTATCATCAAATCTTTTATAAATCACAGGAATTAGATGTTGAGGTTGACTAGTATTATCTATAAAAGTAATTACTACATTGTTTAAAACCTTTTTATTGTCACGAATGTCTTCTTACATTAGCCCCTGGCGAAAGGTGGCACGAAGTTAGTCAAGAATGTGTAGATACCAGAAACGCTGAAAAAATTAAAAAAAATGTGGGTGCATTTTGCAACTTTTGAGTTTATCATAAATATAAATATTAATCATAATATGTTACAGTGTATATAATAAATAACAGCCAATACGTGTCCTTCGTGACTTATATTACATCTCACTCCGGAACATGAAGCTCTCATTCTATGTTAAATAGAAAATACTCTATCATTACTGATAATTATTTTGGTGAATCAATTTTGCGTGCACTCTGATGATTCTCTGTCTGCGGTGGTAGGGCTGCGTAGCAGCCTCGGCTGTTGCACGAATGGGCAGGCCCATCCGGGTAAGTACCACGACCTCACAGAAGACCAGATAAGGTGGAAGTATGACAAATACTTTCGCGTTTCGTCTGGGGAGTGAGGTAGCCGAAACCCAATTTTCAAAAGGTTGTCAACGCATTTGTAACCCTTGGTTGTGGTAGATGCGGCCACGGGTTGCGGTATTCAGTTAACATCAGGTGAACAGTCAGCTCGTTTGACAACTTTTCGCATAAAAAAAAGCTCAAGTGGGATAGAAAAGCTTTAGATAGTTTATAGAAAAAAGCTTTAGAAACATACCCAGTCTTAACTGCTGATCCACCGAAAATCGCGTCTCTAGGTCCTGTACAACGTAGATTAAGAGCGCTTTCGTAATCAACGCAGGCTGTACCCACGAATTTATTACCGTTAGTAACTTCGGTTGATATAGATTCAGCATAGAAGGCGTAAGCATAGATGTGAGAGCAAGAGACATCAGAGCCGCAACCACTCTGATATTGTCCACCGTTCGCGTAGAAGTCAACATCTCCTAATGGCTTATCGTAGCCATAAAGGCCAGCAGTGGTGTGTAAAACTTCAACAGTTGATGCATCATCAGCATTTAGGATTTCCGGATGATGGGTCCAACCAGGCAGGGATGGATCCAACGCTGTAATTTAATGAATATTCACGAAAATCTAAACATATTTATAGTTTTAAACTTTGGAATTAAGATTTACAATAATTTGTAAAATTTTTAACGAAAAGCTTTTCGCCGCTAGTTGAGATGCGAAAAAACAATGTAGATAAAAGACGTTGAGATTTGTGCCGGCGTGGCTATCAGCCGTTTAGCTTAGTGATTAAAGGTCTGGGCGCGAATCCCGTAGCAGTTCTTTTACTTTTTGCAAGTACAATTTTTTAACATATTACTTTTGCACATTCGGATTGCATTCCCATATAAAAACAAAGAAATAGTAAGTTTTTCATAAATGTACTAACATTCGTTAGCTAACTCTCTATTTTGAAAATCAAATCTATTATCATACCAATGATATGAGGGACGATTCCATTGATGTGCCTCGCTGCAATGCCTGCAGCGTGGCCTCCGAGGCCGACTCCAACAATTCGAACTCGGTTAGCGTTATAGCCGAAGTTATTGATAAGAATGTTGAAGAATTGAGCTATAACCCGACCAACTTGGGGTGTGTTACCGAGCCCCTGAGTGAACATCGACGAGCCAGCGCTCCAGTCTACAGCTATGATGTTTACGTCCTCTGCTGATAGGTGCGCTGGAAATTTTTGAATAAATAGCTAATTAACCTTGCCACTTAACACTTTCAAGACAAGCCTTGGTTCTACAACATTAGACTTAGCACACTCAGCTCAATAGCTCTCACTTATTAAAAAATGATAAAAATAGAGTAATAAAAATTACAAGTAATAAAAATGCACTGATTAAGATACTTTAAGGGAAATAACTTGTTAGAAAAACGACTGCTAACAAGCATTAGAACGTCATCAAACATTTGATGTGACTAAAAATTCAGTCTCATATATCTTACATTAAAATATTGCAAATTTACACTATACTATAATTATAAAAATATTTTACCAGGTACAACAAAAGCGTTGAAGTTTCCTGAAACTCCTTCGCCATAGCTATGTATAGTGACGATTGTGCGACGTTCAAGGGAGAAAGACGATGTCATTATGGATGCAACTGATGGCAGCAATGGCTGGCTTACAGCAGGGTTAGATCTACAAATAAGTGATGAATTAAAAATCTTCTCAGATGCATGTAAAATCATTCCTTATAGGATTTATAATCATCCTTATTTATACTACGTGATTTTGTAAATTTTATGAACTACGCTTTTTTTATGTTAAAAGTAGGAAACGAGGTTCAGCTGAAGTTATATTTATATATATATATATATATATATATATATACAATCTCATATATATTTATATATATACAAGAATTGCTCGTTTAAAGGTATTAGATATGCGAATGACAATAAACTGATATTTATTTGATGAATTTTTTTTGTTATCTCGGAGACCGATAACGCTTGTACGCCTAATTACAATATTATAAGCCATTCTTTTGGAAAATATTCATTGATCAATTATTATACTGACCTTGTAAATAAGTGAAATATTACATCCATGTCCCCCAAACTGAAGCCGGATGCTGAAATTAAAGGACGTTGATTGTTATCCTATTGCCCATAAAATTATTACGCTATTACTAACAAAATTATTACATTTTATCTTGAGGCCACCGCTTGAATATATAGTTATAATCATCTAATATAAGTTGGATTTATTTCCGAATCCTTTTTTTGGTAAAAATATTTTTTTCTACTAATATAGAGCCTAAAAAAACTCATTCGTAATTAAATAATTGCTTCGAAACCGGTTTCGAGTTCAATTAATATTGCAACTCGTATGTGAATGTCTATTTATTTTTACATACAAAACCACATTTGAATTGTTTTTTATTTAGGTCAACATTGAAAAATACCTATACTTCAATTGAATAATTAGGCTCGTGAATTTTACATAAAATACTTTTCGATTTTTAAGAACTACGTCAAACCAACCTTAAACAAAAGATTCACTTTTAACTATTCGATTTAGCTCTTGGTAGGTCAACTGATTTGATGGCAACCTTTTGAAATCCTCTGTCGCAAAGGCATCTTATCTTAACCATAAATCCAAATATTATTTTGATATAGACTTGCGGTGGTAGGGCCACGCAGCAGCCTCGGCTGTTGCACGAATGGGCAGGTCCGTCCGGGTAAGTACCACGACCTCACAGAAGACCGGCGTAAAGTGGAAGTATAATGCTTTCGCGTTTCGTCTGATAAGTGAGATGGCCAGAGCCGAATTTTCAAAAGGTTGTTAACGCATCTGCACCCCTCGGGCTTAGCAGATGTCTATGGGCGGCGGTATTCACTTAACATCAGGTGAACCGTCTGCTTGCTTTGCAACTCTTCACGTAAAAAAAAGACTAAATTGGAAAATTTTTATCAAAAAATTTGATGCAGAGAAATACATATTACTCCGATGCACTACTGCAATGCGAGACCTGATTTTAAATCATAATAAAATAAGATAAATTGATTACAAAGAATAAATTAATATTCAAAGAAGATAAGAAGGAAATTCAGACATAGGGAAATAGTTAAAATTAAATGCTGTATTTGAGCGTCTCGTATGTAGTTCCTGTATCGTTTACATTTATGTAGCTGTTGTTGTAACGATGTTTATTTAAAATCTTGTTATATCTATTTGAAATATCGTATTTTTGTGGGACTATTATCTATTTTTCTTATCTAATGATAAAGATACTAAGCGATAAGCTACCGAAATTACCAAATGGTTTCGGAGACGATTATGAAATGTAAATTATTCGTTTATCGTCTGATATGATGAATCGATTCATAAATTATAATGGCACTTCACATTTCCTACTTATTTATTCTTTGACGCGAGATTATGTGCAAGTTAGGTTCCTTTATGTATAAAGAAAAAACTGAAGTATTGTACTCAGTATATTTACACGTCTCAGTGCACAAAAGGTTACAGAAATTCGCCCTTAAATAATATAGTTAAATATAATTGAGGGAGATAACTGTGACCAGACAAGATCTAGGTTGAATAAAATAAGCCCACTTATTTATCGATTAAATGGACGGTAATAAACCAAACACAATCTTCCAAGTACATAGATAAAATAAAATAGATAATTTAAAGCGAAATCATTTTATACCTGATATTTAAAGTAAGAATACCTTTAAGGACTTTATTATTTCTTATTTTAATTTTTTTCTAAATTAAAACGAAGAATAATTTCCACGAGATAGCATATAGAACACTCACATCTTTGCTTTTTAGGGTTCCATACTCAAAGGGTAAAACTGGTCCTTATAACTAAGACTCCGCCGTCTGTCTGTCTGTACGTTTGTCACCAGGTTGTAAGTAATGTATGTAATGAACCGTAATATTGAGACAATTGAAATTTTTACAGATAATGTATTTCTTTTGCCGCTATAACAATAAACAATAAAATCCACTGGTATTTTTTTTTACATGTTGCATTGTGTAGCTAATAATAGAGGACGTAATAGTACCGTGATAAAAAAACGACGTAATAGAATGGTGACAGCTTGCGAAAAGGATAATGAAAGTGTGTAACGACTAACGATCTGAATTAAAAATTAAAAGCTTGTTTATAATCACAAATACGTATCCGCGCTTAATAATAGATTCACTGTACACTATCTTATGGTTTCTGTATTAAATTAATATACATTTATTGCAGGTCCACGAAGTACCTACACATTCAATTTTTACCACGAATAAACTGAACAAGTTTGGTTAGACCTAAAGGGAACTGCAAATGGATATAATATGTATAGTAGTTACCTGCCGCAGCAGCACATAGCACTAAGAGAACCCTAATGATCGCAATCATTTTGTTTAACTTGACTAAACAGTAGATGTTTAAACAACGGTTTTATATAAAGTTTATTTATCATATAATAAAATTTCATTCGTAGAATTATTAATCCTTATAAGCGATTATCTTACCTTGGACCATAAAACTGTCAATTTTATTACAATCGTGTTTTAATACAGACCGTACACGTATATCTGGCTCCGGATACTTCTAGAAATTAATTTATATTGAATCCATCTGGGAAAAATGTATGATTTACGAGTAGACTCACTACCCTTTTGCATAGTCACAAACCGTGTAGTCATGCGATATTCTAAAATAAAATAAAAGATAAAAGGAGAAGTTTCTCATTTTGACTGTATTTTTTTTATGTTTGTTACCTCAGAACTTTCGACAGAGTGAACCGACTTTGATGATTATTTTTTTATTTGAAAGCTGGTGCTTCCTATGTTGTTCCATATTAATTTCATTGGTATTGGATTTTGGACTCCGGAAATCAATTATAAAATGAAAACAGAGCGAGATATTTGATGTCTGTTTTTTTTTCGTTAGTATAAATATGGACTTTTTTATAAAATGGAAATATGTATTTAACAAATAAAAAAAATTTTTTTTCTTCTTCTTTTTCGCCACTGCGTAATTCGATCTTGCGTCTTCTAGGCAGGTTATATTCCATAAGATATGGAATTTATATCGGAATATCTTATAAAGAATTTATAATAATGCCATCTATTGAAAATTTATTTAATTGCAGGGCAACGAAATAGACTTGCAAACGTTTTTCTTCAAAAAAGGTATCTATAAAGGTTTATATATAAAAGTTATATATATATATTATAGCGGACCCTTCTATTTATTTATTCTTCTATTTCTTTTACGATTATATTGGATTTATAACAAGTGCGACCCCGAAAAAGATATTATTGTAAAGCCAACACCTACCAAGGACAAATAATCGAGAAATGCATGGCAGATTTTGATCGCAATCTTTTCACTATGACTGAAAAATGAAAAACCGTGGAATTGAGATTAGTTCAGATGTATGAAAATCAGTATTGTATGTATAGTATAATGAGTCTATACAGTGTACATCCTGTTTAACTCCACGAGCAAATTCTATTCTTTAAACATATTCAATAATGAAACCAATTATATTTTTAATTACATTTTACTACAACGAATAAATGTTTTGCGTTGATCTGGCAGGTTTTGTTTATTAAATATTATGTATTAATCACAAGTGGATATCGTTAAGATTTTTTTTTCTATTTTTGATTACAAACCAATTAAAACCAACGTACTAAGTTCACTAAATGCACTTTCTGTGAATTTTGACTCATTACGCCAAAATATAACAATATTTAAGTAGAATAAATTGAAGTAGACCCTTACAATTACAAAAAAGATCTACCGCAAGGTATTACGCATTCAAATGTGTTCTATAAAGCATAATTTTAAATATAAATTATAGCGCAGTAAAATAGTTCTTATAGTGGCAGTGTAGCATAAAATTCTATTCTGCCTCACATAACTTATGGAATATGTTACTTATTGCAAATTCTTTTAATCAAACAATAAAATCGCAGTTGTTCAAAAAGGGGAAAGGGCAGAAATCAGTAATAGGTCTGAAATATATAAATACGTATTATTAGAAACAAAATAAATAAATAAATAAAATAGCGCATCAGCTTCACCCACCCGACCTTCGCTCCACTTGGTCTGAATTTGGCTTGCTCCATTAAGAATCTCCGATGCGAGCTTCTGGCTCCGCATCTTTTCATTCACTCTAGGGGTAGGCATCCACAAGGCATTGGATTTGTGTCTGATACAACTTGAACTTAGGTTCAAGTTGTATCACAGAATTATATTAGGTTAGCCTAATCCACTATAAATATCCACAGAATACCATTATTTCTTTTTCAGTTTATTGCGGTAGAATAACGTTATATCTTTATCAAAAGGCATTGGTGTCAGACGAGACTCTTCCTCCATTAATCGTAATTTACGGTCCTTACTATAATTGTTATCTCAAATCATATATCTATTGGATTATAAATTCGTTTATCATCTTAAATTATTTAATATATTTCGGAATTAAAAAAAATGTATGATGTAAAACCTGATAAACCAATATAAACACTGTTAACTATGAGCGCCTACAAAAATAAGATTGCTAACTGCAATTATAATATCCGAAGAATCCGATCTTAGGCAATCGCAATAAGTAATATTTTTGTGTCAAAGTACAAGCGACCATGACGTTTTGGTTTAAGGGACTACCGCCGTCCATAGACATGTAAAACATTTTTGCCAACCTTTAAAATATTTGGCTCTAGCTTACTCAGCACTAAATCCACAGGGGTTTTATCGATTTTAGTAACTACTGCAAGGAGATTAGACATGAGATATTTGATGAGTACCAGGAGTCACATTATCAGTGATACAATTATACATCAGACACATTAACAAAAACATAACATTGTTTATATTTGTTACCGAATATTACATAAAAATTTCATTTTAAATAAAAATAATAAAACTTTTCCCGCAAACATTCTCCAAGAAGGTATTGCTAAAGTATATATGAAGAATTTCTAATAAATTCATTTTCACGGGCAGGCTGGAATAATTGACGTCTAATTATTGTAGTATACCCATGCCCCTTACTAGTTTTATACGAAAAATATATTACAATGGATTTGGACCATTCGGTGATTTACTGACAGATATTACATGACTGTTGACTATCTGCGAAAGGAATGTTAACATTTTAATCAAGAAAATATGTGTTTCTTATTCCACCACTAGATTCTGAGGATAATTGCTTAAAACACTCACCAAGATACAAATACAATATACAACCTGTGACGTCTTTCAGGATATCTCACCAATAGAATAACTATATCATGATCCTGTTAATAAACTAATCCTGTATTACATAGACAAAACACTCAGTTTCTTCAAAAAGGTCACCAGCACGCTGCCAGTTATGAGGAAGGTTCGACAAGGCTTTTCATTGATACCACTATTTGAGTAGATATATATCAATTGACAGCCTTGTCGAACCTCCCGCGGAGCATTATTTTCATCTTTACATAGAACCTTGGTAACACCTAAACTGAAGTTATTACAAGATTAGTTATATTTGCTTAAGACTCAGCCCTAGTGGGTGTATAACTATTGTCTAAAGTAATAGCCAATCATAAATTCACACGTCGTTGCTTACAGAAAACCTTTTAAATTAGTCCTAACCTTAAAACACTTTATCAAGAGACCTTTCCAGTGATAAAAAGGTTGGCTCTTAATGGTCTTAAATATTTTGACATGTAGGTAAAAACACTTCATGTTACATTTTAACTGCTTATCTATTCATTCGAACGTATCACGATATTAAATGTTGATTTAATTTTGCCGCCTTAGGATCAAAGGCGCACTGAAGGAGTAAAATTCTCAATTCAGTGAGTCTGGATGGAAATTTAGTGATACTTTCTAACTAATACATTATACTTTTTTTTTATTTTTTTATTTATGTTTTGTTAGTATATGTATAGTAATATTTTACATTTTAGGTTGGCAACAACTCTACCATCTTAATTGTTATACAGTTGGTAACATTGAGTGAAATGAGTTTGAATTTGATATTATTAATTAAAGAAACCGATATCTTTAAAACGGTTTTTTTATCATTACGATAGGATTGAAATAGTGGTACCACTGAAAATACTTATAAAATTATAAAACGGCTCAATGTAAAATATCGATGGAGCCACCGAGAAAAGCAGTGGGTCCATTCTTCCTGAGGGGTTTCTTCTACTTCTACTTTATTTTCGAACGTACTTATCTCTCTCTTAAAGTGAATACCTCGTAGTTTAGATTAAGTCGCAAGGTGGCAGGTTGGGATTATATGGCGGATGACTCTTATCTCGACACTTGCCATAGTCAAATATTCAATTGTTCGTTGCGCGTTGTCATGGTGAGGGCGGATCCTACTTCGAGGACTATGCTGTCGAACATTTTTCGCATTATGCAAAAACGAACGGACTGCACAGACGTCCTGAATGATCGCTACTTGGACGAGGCCGAATCGGTGAAATACTAAGAGAATAGACAAATACTAAAACGGGCCGAGTGCCAGTAGCGCTTGGTTAAAGCCCGTGTTTTAGTGATTTCGGGCCTTTGGGCAGAAGTCGTGGCGATTCAACCTACAAATATCACATCCAAGGACTGCATAATCATAATATCAGACGACCTATTTAAAGTTATCTCTAGAGCCCCAAACTGGTGGCCCCCGAGACTCGTTTAAAGCAGGCCTCGCGCCAGCTTCGTACATCATCATCCCAAACTGGTGAAGACCGTGACTCGACGGGCTACATCTCGGGGAGTATTCGATCAACAGTATTAAACGTTCTCGATCAAAAGTTGCTCGGAGATATTGGCATAGCGAGATAGTAATACCAGTGCATAAAAGACAGTAAAGAACAACTTCCCCTATTGATCCTTCTCCTTCGAAAGATTAACGTCTTGGCTATGTCAGCAGTAAATTTATACTGACTTACACCATCACACAGCGTGACGAAACCTAAAATATGGCTTCGATATATTTTTGTATGCAAGAAGGTAGCAAGCATTCTAGCGCTTCACCTAATGTTAAGTGAAAACCACCGTCCATGTACATTTGCAACGCCCGTAGGGTTGCAGATGCTTACCTTTTTAATAAAGAACCTTAATAAAGTGAGCTCTGCTTATCTCACTCAGTAGGCAAAACACATAAGTACTCGTATAACACTTCCATTTCACGTTGGCTGTGACACCGTGGTACTTACCCTCAGTAATAATAACTATAAATCTAAGGTTTGTCAGTTACCTCAACGTTTATCAGTCTGGAACAAATAAATAAGATAATTTTTTGATATGAAGATGTATAAAAACAGTTTAAATTAAAATTAATCTAGTTCCCTCATAAGAAATATATCTCTTATCGTCATAATGAGAGTCCTCGTAGTTCTTATTGTAACTGTAGGAAGTATGTATTCTCGATTTTAAATAGTCTTCATTCTTTCATCTTTTATATTTTAATTTATGAGCTTTATTTTATACAGTGTGCTTCGGTATTGCAATTCCCTTGGTGCCCGGGGACAACAGCCATTACATCGACGGTGAAAGCCGTTACATATGGATGCCCGATGGCGAAGGCGTACCTCACCTGGTAGATCTACACGAGGAACCTGATGAAGACGTTTTAAGAAAGCCAACTGGCGTTAATAACCAATACTGGCTCTACACCAGGTTAATTTTTAGGGTATATAACAACTAGGATCAGTAGCCTAATGTTTAACATAAGAATTGATTCGTAATGGAGATTTTTAAAAACATTAATATTACACCAATAGGTCGAATCCTGACACTGCACAAAATATCACCCATGGTGACGAAGACTCAATCCGGAACTCATTTTACAACGGCAGCAAGGCATTGGCAGTTACTGTACATGGCTGGATCAGCAACGGAAACTCCGACATGAATACGCTCATTACGTCTGCCTTTCTTGATGTGCTGGATACTAACGTCATCGTAGTCGATTGGAGTAATCTTGCAAGCTCTAACTATATTTCAGCCACTTACGGCGTTCCTAGCGTGGGCGAATATCTGGGCAATTTCTTAGTATGGCTCATTGATACAGCAGGCGGAGACTGGAACAGGGTTCATTTAGTGGGTTTCAGTTTGGGCGCTCACGTTGTTGGTGCGGCGGGGCGAACTGCTCGTGGACTGGCTGCAAGGGTTACAGGTAAATCACTAACCGTTTCCAATCACACCATTCCCATTTAAGTCGACACGTTAATTATATTCATTTAATTTTCAAGATTTATTAAAAATAAAAGTCCTTTTCTGTTGCCGAGCTAAATTATCTTTCTTAAGCGTAGTTTTTACTATAATTATAATCATAAAAACGTATTCCAGTTACATCCCAAAATAACCAATTTTACTAACCTTCATATTGTGACACTAATTCCTCAAAATATTATTTCACAGGCCTGGACCCAGCTGGCCCACTATGGGAAGAAAACGAAAACGCATTAAACGCAAGCTCAGGACTGTATGTGGAGTCAATTCATACTGATGCGGGTATTTTGGGCACTTCTAATGCGATTTCCCACGTGGACTTCTTTCCAAATGGTGGTGACCACCCACAGCCTGGCTGCTGGTTAAGCACTTGTTCCCATAGTCGCTCAACCCAAATATTCGCTTCAAGCATTCGGACAGATCATTTCGTAGGAAAACTCTGCACCGACAAAGTACAAGCAAAGAACGTTCGATGTTCAGGCAGGACGCTAAAAATGGGAAATAGCAATAGAACAAAGCGAGGGTAACAACTTAACGTTTATTTATCAATGATTATATTTTGTGCTCAAATATTAAACATTATTGCATGATATTTAATATAAAAATTGTTAATATTTGTAGAAAAAGTGCGAAAAGATTGTCGCCACTGTGGGAATCGAACCCATGTCTTCAGATTTCGCGGTCTGACGCTTTAGCCACTAAAGTAAACGGCTGATTGCCACACCGACGAAAATCTTAACATCTTTTATCTACATTGTTTTTTGCTATTTGAAGCAATGCTTGGCGCATCCATTGTTGTATCCCTTCCAGCCAAAAAAATTGTGTCAAATTTTTATGATTTTTAGTGCTAGTCATTACACACTTGTGCTAGTCCGACACTTAAGATGACTGTTAACGCACCCACAAATGCAGAAATTAGCACTAAGATAAAAAATGGGAAATCAAATCAAAGGCTTAATGTCTTGTTTCAAAAAACGATAAAGTAAAGTAAAGTTAAATATAAAAATATTCACATTAACATATTCTACTTTCAGGTCCGGCATTTATGGCTTGACCACAGAAGGAGAGTGGCCGTTCTAAAAAAATTGCAAACAGAAAATATAAAAATAACAAAATCCAGAACAATTTTTAATTAACATATCACAGAACAGCTTTTTCTTAAAATCTAAATACCGACGATAATTTTTACTTCATATTTATTGTTTCGGTTATGTTTTTCTATCTATTAGAAATATTTGTATGCTCAAAGCGTGCCGCTACTGTAAATGATTACACAAGCACAAGCATTTGTCACACACAAGTCTTCCACTTCTCGACCTTCTTTTACTTTCTCTTTACTTTTTCTCACTTTTACTATGTCTTCACTTTCTTCTTCTTTTCATTGAGACTCGCCGTTCAACTCCCTTCTGGCGTGCTCGGCGTTCCTAATTTCGATCGTCTTTACAAGGAGAATTTTCCGGAATAAGGACGTTCTTCAATTAAAAAAAAATTAAATCCGTGGTGGCCCTCATTCATAAATCTAGCTTAAGAGAAGAGTTGCGGGCTGCGACTGGACTTGAAGTTAGATCATTCGGAATAGCGTACAGAATTCCTGGGGGTCCTTTTGGGGTGGAGTAATAATGGGGATGATGTGATGGAGGTAGAACGCCTATGATCCTTTATCAAAGCTCCAAAACTGCAGTTATGTACAAAGCAGTTGCAATGGAAGGATCATCAGGACATTAAAAATAAACCATGGGCATCAATTCCTACTGGTCAGTGATAATACGATAGAGCACGCGTGGGGTGCTGTTAAGCAAGCTGCTTTGAAATAAAAGCCATGTCCTGATATATCCCATAGGTTTTATTAAGGCTTCTTTTTTTTTTCATTAAATTTCAGTTTACACACTTAAGGATAGGCTTAATAATTAACATTGGAATTTATTCAATCTTTGTTATTAAAATCTAAAACATTCATTGCGTACCGGCAATTATAGCTTACTTATTCCTATAATAAAACATGTTTATTACATGGTTAATTTAAATACACAAAAAGGGAATAATCCTTTACTTGATCCCTTTGAAGCTTTTTTTCATTATAAATTGACAAATGTCCCCAAAAAGATTGAACTTTATTTAACTGCTTAGGCAAATCAACCTTTGATAAAGTTATAATCTTCTACAATATCAAAAATCTCAGCTGCAGTAATACCACGGCGCCATATAAGTCCAAACGCAATTTAATTATTCAAAATTAATCACAGTAATACATCGCGTAGATACGTACAATTATCGATATTTTCTATCAAGCTGTAATGGAATAATACTTATTAACACTCAATTCCCTAAAAAAGTTATCATTCACGATCGAATTCCGGTCGGCTTTGATTAAGTTATAATCTTCAATCATCCAAAATCTCATTCCCCTTCATACTAGGTTCCATATAAGGCTAAAAGCAATCTAATCGTTAAAAAATACTCATGTAGATACATCGTGTCGATAAGTACAATTATTAATATTTTCTATTCAAGCCGTAAAGAAATATTACTTACTAATACTCCACTTTCCTAAACGTAGGCCACACCTACTAAATTATCATTCACAATCGAATTCCGGTAAGCTTTGGTTAAATTATAATCTTCTCCCATCCAAAAATCCAAAAAAAGAGTCAATTGAATTAAAACAATTTGTAACTATTAATTTAATTAATTAAAATATACTCGTACGCCACAATCAAAACCAGTGTTGCCAATCTGTAGCGAATTCACCGAACTGCGGATATTATCAATCTGATTGGATAATTAATGGGGAGAGCGTTTATCTGAGGAATACGAGGGAAATTTGGACATTTAAGCCCGGTTTCTGAAACATCGTAGGTCAACTAATCAGCTGTCAAATGGCTCCTTAAATGTTATTTGAGTTGCCAAAAGGATTGTTAAATTCTTTGAATTGATCATTCTGATCATTAAAAAGATCATTCTGATAAATTCAGCACTTAAATTTGACTATTTCTCAGATTGCTCAGATTAATTGGATTAAAGGCGAGCACCAGGACACTTAGCTTTCACGGCTATTAGTCAGAGCATCGTGATCGGAAAAATACCTTGGAAATTAAGGATGTTAATAAAAATGCTAAATACTACCCATAAATCTAAAGAAAAATAATAGAAGAGTCGAGTTGAGACATAAACACTTCATGCCCTGAATGCAAAATTTAATTCTTCAAATCATTTGTAAAGTAATTTCGTTGCGAAGCGCTGAAAAAAATTTGCGCGTGTTTTTCATACTCTTCGACAGCCTCTTCTGCTGATGAAGATCTTTGACCGCGTAATTGGTTGTTAGTTTTTGGGAACAGAAAAAAATCACAAGATGCCAGATCGGGACTATTTGCAGGACGACACATAAGATCTATGTTTTTATCGCAAAAAGCAGATTGAAGCCGGGCAAGGCTCGGTTAAACTGTCAAATTACACTTAAAATCGTAGAAAATCATACTACAATTAAATCCATGTTAATGTAGACACAATTTAAATAAAAAAGTTTAAAAACTTTTAAGTTAAACGGTTTTATTTTATGTGCACTGAAAACTACAATATTGTATTGTCATCTAAATTAAATGTGTGTACCAGTTTAGATCAATCTGACAACGGGAAGGTGCTTAAATTTCAATTTCTAATTTTGACCCAAATAAATAAACAAATAAATTCCGTACGGATCGAGCTAAATATAACCATTTAAAAACACAACAAAATAAAACTGCATTCCATAGCCAGAGTTTAGTTTTTCTAATGTCGTAATTACTTTTTAAATATATTTTGTAAGTAGCCAGTTCCGGAAACTTATAGTGTAACCCATGTAGCTTCGTTGTTAAACTATCTGAGTGTAGGAAACTTTTCGCTTTTCATTCACATTTTAAGTTTCATTCTGAATTCAGAGAGTATTACTAGATATAAAAAATAATCCTAAAATAAAGATTGTATTAACCTTTGATATTTTATCGTTCAAAAGATTTAATTGTTCGATCTAATCACCAGTCCCCAGTGACCTTTACGTAAAAATCTCCTATCTATTTGTTATCGCGTGAAGTATACTCGTATTATTAACGTGTCAGGCATTAGCCGTGCAGATAATGACGTCAGCAAACCTAAATCTATTCTTAGGGTTTGTAATGATAATGACTAATTACTTTTGTTTCGTTATTGTCCAAGAAAAAGCTTTTACTTTTTTATAATTATTCATGTAACTATATTAGGGTAACGTTCTAGTTAACAGTGAGCACAACTTATCAAGATTTCTGATATTCTAATTAGAATCTTGATAAGTTCTTTCATCTTGCTAACTTTTATAATAAACTAGCTGAACCGGCAAACGTTGTTTTGCCATATAAATTATTTCTAGGGAATTTGTGAATCTGAACACATAGAAAAAGAATTTTCGGAAAGCACGCATAAAACACAGGTTTCTGGCAGGTTACACAAACACAGTTGACAGGTTGACAGGTACAGCTTGTATGGGAAAATTGCAGCTACAAAATTTTAGATTTTCCATGAATTTTTTTCATAATTTCTCCCTAGACTACCAAAAATATTTCTAAACCAATATTAGCCAAATTGGTAAAGCCGTTCTCTAGTTTTAGCGAGACTATCGAACAGCAATGCATTTTTATATATATACGATTGCCATAGTAGACTTCATACCGTGACGTGTCAAACTTGATAAAAATAAAAAAATAAAAACTTTCTATAATTAGAAGAAAAATAAGAAATTATTCTGACTTTTATATTAGAACTTCAGGGTTCAGATATTAGGTATCGATTTTACATGGAACTGTGACAAATAGTTACTGGTCATGTTGCTGTAATAAATAATATTCCATAGGATAACAAAGTTCTAACTATTTAAAAATCATTAAGCGCTTCCAAAAAAAGAGATACTTTTATATTTTTTTCTAGTAATCAAAATAGTAGTAAAATAGCGTAAATTTTAAAGTAAAATAATATATTTGTTTAATTTTAACGTAAATGAACGTTTTCCAATCCTTACAAGTATTAGGTCAACCATATAAAAATCACCAGGAATAGTAACCATATAAAAATCACAGGATAGTGAAAGCTCGCCATGTTTATTTAGTCAGGTCATTCATTATATTATTAATACATGTATTGTTTTTAATAGGCCCTCAATATTTACACATTTTTACATAATCATCATCATTTCAGCCTGTTCTGGTCCACTGCTGAACATATGTCACATCTTAAATGTATCTTTGTTCTACTTTGGATATCTGAGAATAGCCTCCATAGCCCCGCAGTTGGCGGCAGACCTTCAAGTATCTATAGAGTACCTATGTAGACGCCATTGGGTGCGTAATGACGGGTATTCGGCGTGCTATGGTGTAAATGTGTGCATATGGCATGTATGTTCAAGCATAACCGACTTAATTACTATACTTCTCTTCCGCGAGCACGGAGTCCTGTTATTTTTCCAGTCCGTGGCGGTACAGTAGAAAAATAATTAGGTTGATTCCAAAAATGAAAGATTCCAAAAATGAAAGAAAAGATGTCTAATTTCAATACGGTGTCAAAATTGAAACATTTCGGATGTCCAATAATTTTATAAAATCAAGTTGATTAGTTGATTAGATTCAAGATAAGCGATAAAATTACAATCCATGACGAGTTTGATTGATGGTAACAATATTTATTTATGTATGCATTATTAAAATTAAGGCACAGCGGCTTAATTTCAAATTTTATTTTTGTATTTGCGAATAAGCGAAGGACGGGGGGTCCCGCTTGTTGCGGGTCACCGTGCGAAATTAACCAAAGCGACCCATGACGGTCATTATTATCTATTAGTGATAGGTTGTAGGATTCAATCAATAGCGAGGGCTGTCGAAAAATACACACAGATGTTCAGTATATCTTTTCTACGATGATTTTTTGATCATGATAGTGGCATCTTACTTTGGGGGCATCCATTAATTACGTGAGGCGTTTAGGGGGGGGGAGGGGAATCAAGCCTAACCTCACCCAATGTCACGTGGAGGAGAGGGTGGTCTCGGAAAATATCACGTATTTTTTTTCCAGAAGAAACAGTGTAAAATTGCAAGAAAATTGGATTAAATTAAGTAAAAAATGTTTCTCCACTAAAATATGACTAAATCATGCATAATAATATTTGTTTCGGTTTGATTATACACTAACAGAAGAATTTTTTTAAGAAACTAAAAAATGAAGAACTAAAATTTTTTATTATTATTTTAGGTTGTGAAATGCGATGATCGGGACTGCTACCGCCCACGCCGGAGTGCTCTACATACGATTCTTCATGACCATTTTCTGTCACCTCCATACCCTGGCACTCAGGTTGATGGGCATCCGACACCCGGACCCTGAAAAGCATGACGGAAAGTTATTTGCTCGCTCCTTGATTCGCCATTGCCTACCAATTCAACCTTTGCACGCCTTCATCAGCATGCCCTATGATCTCTATTACCCAAGTGTACGTGGTGATCTAGGAAAGGGATGCTGCAGTACATGCGGTATCTACTTTTCGTCTATCACAAGACTCGCAGAGCATCGGCGTGCGGTTCATAGTGCACCAGCTGCACCAGCGCACAAAGTGCGACCCTCACGGATTGTCACACGTCGAGCTACTGAGCTTTTGTGTGCAAGCGATAGCGGATTAGAATGGCTAAATCAGAGCGAGGTTGAAGGAGCAGATGATCTTACTGAAAATTACGTGGACATGTTGGTTCCAGTAGTCACTCTTATAACATACATGAGTCGAGAAAAAAGAAATTATACGCAAATTGTTTTTTTTTTTGATGAGATTGGGGGACGGGGAGAAGGGGTCGAGTAAAGTCTCACGACAACTCACCAAAGGGAGAGGGAGGTTCAAAAAATCGCCAAATTACCTCACGTAATTAATGGATGCCCCCTTTTGTGTTTTTATGGCTATAATAATAAACGATCACGCGGTAGTGCCGTTGCTAAGCTATTGCTTCAGCGTAGTGGGTCGTGAGTTCGACTCCCAAAACGGGATAAGTGATTGCATGACCAACAGATAACTGTTCCGGATCTGGTTGTTAGCCAAGGATGACAGAGGGCCGGTCGTAAATAGCCAAACAAATGCGTAGTGCTAGGCAGCAAATGACACTTTGAAAACAACAACTTAACAGGCTATTTAATTAGCAGTTAGGATTAAAATTAATTAAAAAATATATCATAAAGTCAAACTAATAAGGGCAAAGGACATTGCTTACACAAAATCAATAAGCAATCGAAGAAGGATTAATTCTGATTTAAAAAAAATGTCATAAAATTTTCCATTGTAGTCATCGAGTTCAAACCCGTATATTGAAATGTTTTACATAACATCATTTTATTAATATTTATTTATTTATAATGTCAACAAGAAATAAATATTACATATTTTTTCCCTTTGAACTTCTAAAGGTCACTTCATTATTTTTTTGTATCGAGAATATTTTTTGTATAGAGAAAATATTTTGTATAAAGAAAATAGTTTCTTTCAGCCTAAAAAAGTATAAATTTTGTTAAAATCACATTTGATAAATGTGCAAAAAATCATATAAAAAATATGTAACTGAGAAAAAGGAAATATAAACAACTTAGTAATAATAATAATATTATATCATCATATCACTTACTAAAGATTATGTTCAAATAGTTGTTGTTAAAAGTTTACTTGGAATGGGTGAGAAATGTTTTATACCCCTGTTTGATTTAGAGACTAGAATAAGAACTTAAACATTTTGCAATGCTTTTGCAACAACATGCGTGCTAATTTACTTAAAACATATTGACTTACTGTCAATTGGATCACTTTCTAGTTCACTAATTATAAAAAAATATGGAATCGGAAAAGTCCATCTGACACTTCATCACTTTATATTTTTTTATGTTCCCAAAAATATCATTCCGTTATCTAGATGTACAATTATACCCAACAACCGAATTTCTAAAATTACTAAAATCGCTATAAATATCTTTAGTAAATAATTTTTTTAAATATGTAACAAGAAAGCTAGTGTTTTAATTGTTAAGCCCTCTGATTACACACCAGACAAAACGAAATTAAGTTGAAATAACTCACTCATTACACTCAATAAAACACACTGGCCTTGGGTGATTCTATGATAATTACCCAGTTGAGCTGGCCCATGTAACAATATAAGTCGTTAACTTACTTTATCTTAAGAGCTGTTGAAGAGCTCGCGCGCTAGCTCACAGAAGACCGACGTGAAGTAGAAGTGTTAGACTTCTGCGTTTCGTCTGGTTAGTGAGGTAGCCGGGGCCCACTGTATTAAAGGTGGCAACGCATTTGCAACCCTACAGGTGTTGCAAATGTCCATGGGTGGCGGTTTTCACTTAACATCAGGTGAACCGCCAGCTCGTTTGGCACTTTCTCAAATAAAAAAAAATACCACAGAAAAAGATCACCACCCTCTTAGTTGGGATTGGTTTCGTAGAATTTGATTTAAATCGTACACCAGCGCTTTATCTAATTACACGTAGTGTGGTTGATATTTTTGCGATGATAATGTAAACATCCATTTAATTAGGGTTACCATTTCGTAATTTAAAAAGAAAGGAAATTTCGGTGATTTAAATATCGAACATTTTTAAAAAGAAATTAAAATTGTGTTATAAACACAAATCACACTTATTATAAAGATAGTGGACGCAAGGACACTTAATTGTATGCTTGCTACAATTTTCTCGGTCCAGAACAGATTTTAAAATAACTTTAGGACTTCGAGTTTAGTTTTAATTTTAACTCCCAACGTTAGAAGGACAGGGTTATGTGACATACCTAGCCACTAACTTTTTTATGGACACTCTCTGCCTTGAGCATAACATCTCATACCTCAAAGACTGAAAAAAGAAAAATCTACATGACTCATATCCACAGTAACAAAGATAGCTACGATGCTATGGCGTTTTGTATAGCCTATTTTTCGGTCGAAATACGTGCTTTATTCCTAAACATTCAATAAAAATATGCAGTTACTTTTTTCTTAATTTCCCTTACTTTGGGATAACATTATCCTGTGTTGTAAGGATGTTTTTACAAACAAAAATTTCACTCGGAAACCTTAAAAACGTGGAGACAATATTTGGTCGGAAGTAAATGAAAGATGACCTTGAATATTAAATCTGATTTTAAGAATTAAAATGTGTTTACCTCATTATCGTGGAATAATCCCTTATTATGTGATAATGTTTAAATAATTCTGAAATTATTTCTAGATTAAAAATGATTTAATGGATAAGATAACATGAAAAGTAGTTTTAAAGATAAAAAAAATCAATAAATACGAAAGTTGCGAATTCGCTAAGGTTGTGGCTGCCACCAGCTTTTACCATGAAACTCTTAACAGTTTTCATTTCTACTGTAGCCTGTTAGTACAGAATTAAAATAAAATTTTCAATATTCTATAAAAAGTTCTCTTATCTGATATGTACATATTTTTTTCTTTTTAGTGTGCGCTGGCAGTGCTATACCTCTAATTCCTGGGGACAATAGCCATTATGTAGAAGGTGTTAGCCGCTATATTTGGATGCCTGATGGCGAGGGCGTACCGCAACTGGTAGATTTACATGAGCCTGTGGATGAGGAGTTACTGAAGACAAGAAATGGTGCCAACAACCAGTACTGGTTGTTTACCAGGTCAGCTTTTTTTTTGATAATTTTGGAATTTGACTTTTAAAACTATGGCCTTCTTAGGCCTTCTCTTCTCCGGTGCTAGAACACCCAGTGCGGCTAAATGGGGCTGTGGCGGTGCAACTAGCACCGGCCGCCTCGGCAGCCCCTTCTCGAAGAGCAACTCGCCTCTCCACCCTCTACCACCCTCGATCTATCCCCTGCACCCACCCTCTCAGCTCCAATTTGAGGTGGGCTCAACGAAGGGCTCTTGGTGTGACCCTCTGGGGCCTGCCTTACACCAAAGGCCAGCCCAGTGTGGATTTCTTTGGGCTTCACCGTGTTTGATCAAGCCACGGCTTCCAAGTTATAGTTATATTGTTATAGTTATTTGGTTATATTTATTATCCACTAATTTAATTTTTATAATAAGTAAACGTCACTTTCAGGCAGAACCCCAACAACCGTCAGGTGATCACCCACGGCAACGCGAACACTATTAGGAACTCGAACTACAATAGGAACCGGCCCCTCAAAGTAATTGTTCACGGATGGAATAACAATGGCAACACCCAGATGAACCCCCTCATCACATCCGCTTTCCTCGCCGTGCAAGATGCGAACGTCATCGTAGTAGACTGGAACCGTCTCGCCAATTCTAATTACAACACGGCCGCTGCCGGCGTTCCTAATGTAGGTCAACACCTTGGCAACTTCCTGGTATGGCTCATCAACACTGGCGGTGGTAATTGGAACAACGTTCATTTGGTGGGCTTCAGCCTTGGCGCCCACGTCGTCGGTAACGCCGGCCGCACTGCCGGTGGCCGCGCATCTCGTGTTACTGGTTTGTAACATTGAAGTTAATTAGATTTAGTTTTTTATTTTTGTAATTTGAAAGCACTTCAATTCCGCAACCACCAAGTTTTATTGTTTTTACTTGTTTAAAAGTGTCTGACCTATATGACCTTGCAAGAACGGTGGTTGTACAATACATTTCATCTTTTTATAAGTAAAACCTGAAAATGTAAAAGCGCAGTGTCAGCAGGAGCTTTTCCGTCCTATATTGACAGGCAAGCTTTTCCAATGCGTGCCGATAGACGTTCAAATTATACATACGCAATTTTAAAGATTGTACTTACTACAAATTCTTCACTTTTTTTTTTGAAGTAAGTATCATGGGTAAATCTACAACAGGCGTTATGAGTGTTCTAATCTATCAAATATCCTGTACATAGAGTCAATATTTATAATATAAAAAATCGGATTTTCATTTAAAAATAACGTAATTAGCTATTAGTGTTGACAAATCTTTTTGCAGGATTGGACCCGGCTGGCCCGCTATGGAGTGGTAACGGGAACGCGCTGGGCCGCAACGCCGGACAATATGTCGAATCTATCCACACTGACGGTCACATCCTCGGTATTATGAACGCTATCTCGCACGCCGACTTCTATCCGAACGGTGGTAAGAACCCGCAGCCCGGCTGTTGGGTAAGCACCTGCTCTCATGGACGCGCAACTGAGTTGTTCGCCGCCAGCGTCCGCTTCAACCGTTTCGTCGGCAGACGGTGTGCGAATATTTGGGAGGCTGAACTATCAACTTGCGGCGGAGCAAACTTCAACATGGGCAACGCAATCATTAACAAACGAGGGTAAATTTTCTTTATCCAATCATTGATTCATTCCGCTATATACAACAGTTCAGTATTTCTATAACCCAAAGGACAGTAAGTGCTTTTACAAAAAGTAAATCTGGGTAAACATAGCGGCAGCTCCATTGGTGCTTGAATTCCTCGAAGCCGAGGAGTGATGCGATAAATTTTGTTGTTCCTAATATCTGGGACTTGTTCTTTTGCAACTTGTTCTTTTGCAAGCACGCACAATTAACATGCTTGAAGATTTTCTAACAATAAGGGCTATACAGTGAAAGAGCAGAGTCTTCACTTTTCACTTAAAATCCAAGTATATTCCAGACATTTTAAATTTTAGTTTGTGGCTCTTAACAGTTAAATCATATAAATTATAATGTTATTATTATCAATTTGATTTTAACAAGCCATCGATTACTTATTAACATAACTGTATTATTTTTATTTTCAGAAACGGAATATACGGATTACGAACCGGATCGTCGTGGCCTTTCTAAAAAAACTTGGCATTAAACAACATATTGCATAAATCTTGGTTTTATTTTTCTTTTCCCTTTATTATATATGTACTTATGTCTTCTGAATCAGGAAGTAACAAGTCAGCCGTTTAGGTTTAAATATAACTTACTCAGTAACTCCGTATATTACAATTCTAAAGTGTTGTATTCGGAAAGTCTCCCGAGTAACCTCGATGTTCCAGTGTATCTTCAAGTGAGCTGTGAGTCTTCCAGAGTTACCAAAATTACCACGGCGCGGCGCTACGCTATATATATATGCATAAATAAATAAAAAATATTAATATATATACATATACATAATTAAATGCCGAATTTTACATGCAATACATTGTCTTAATACTATAGGTTATTTAGCCATCTCAGCAACTTAGTACCCTACATTTAGCAAGGTTACATTGCTATTACTTGCGATATTTTATAATACTGTAATTCACAATGGTCTTATATTATACTAAAATAATTATATCGCTTTTCATTGACCCATTATCTATGACAAAACAATGTAAAGCATATTCGTAGTCGACATGCCATCGCACCTATACCTTTATAATTACTATACCGGACGGTCACTACCAGGTTACAATAGTATTACTACTACTACTTTCCAGTGTACAATAGTGGTCTTTGGTCACTACGCTCTAGTCTGTTCAACTCGCTAGACTGTAAACCGTACTAGTGTATTGATAACATGGCCACTGCGCGTGGTTCTCGGTCGTAGAACTTTGCTGGGAGTGAACTTTTTATATAAACTAGCTGGCAAAATTTTATAAAACTGACCATTTTGTCATTTTTCAGAAGCTTAACGACATCTAGCGTCAAACGGACTAGCGGAGTAGTGAAGTTCGCGCGGGTTTGGACCGACAGCGACCCCACCCACGGACTAGCGGCAGGAGCGAACTTCGCGCGGGCCCTCCGGCACCGCAGCGGCACACATTAGTTCATAGATAAGATATATATACTGAAAACTACTGCATTGATTTTAATCAAAGACAATAATCAACCTCCGTTCAACTGGAGGTTGGGACGAATAATTCACCTATATCCGGGAAAAGATGAAATCTCCCGGGACATTATCACATCTTCGGGCATCATTCAGCGGGCTGTCTCAAAAAACTGCCCCGTTTCCTATTCAACCAGCAAACGCGTAATTCGTTGGAAGAGAGGTCTTCCCGCTGCCCGGCGCCTTGGAAATGTTCAGACGCTTAACGACCTCTAGCGTCAAATGAAACTTTATTTTTTTCAAAGTCATACAATAAAGAACTCATTCTTGCATTGTTCATCCTAATATTCGCACATCACCCAAACAGACACCGTTTTGGATTTTGACATCCTCCAACAGACGGATGAAATATATGGTCTTTTACAAAGCTCTTTGTATTCCAGTCACAGTCTGCAAGATACTTGCCATGTGACGTAACTTTTGTTAGTAGGCGAATCGATTTGACTCGCAATGAAACGTAAAGGCAAATTCTGTTTGTGTATTTTTGGCAGTCCATATGCTTTAGGAGGTGTTGGTTAAAGGACGCAACCGTTTCATCTCACAGCGTGGATAGAATCTTTATATCTCTTTATAAATGTCGGTATCACTAACCTGTTTTGTAGATTCCTACTCATACTCCATCGTATCTCTTTTGACAGTTGCAATAACCTTATTTGCCGGAAACACGAGGATTTCTGAGTAAAGAGATCAGTGCCTGGAACTCTTGTTTGTAATGTTCAGTTTAGGAATCTAGTATCTGAGTATGATAACAAATATATCCTGTCTAGTACCTTTCGGCCCAGGGACTAAGATGCACATGAGACAGTTCTCGATGCTTGTAATTACTTAGACTAAGATTTTTAGGAATTAAAGTTTAAAACTTGTAAAAAAGTTTATTCACATTTTTGAAAAAAGTAAAACTACACAAAACGAAAAAGAAAATATAATTTAATAGTGCTGTGCTTGGTGGACGTCAGGCCAAGGCTTATGTGTCTTGTGTTTTGTATATTATAAATTCTTCCCCCTAAACTATAATATTGAATTATTTCTTACACAAAATATAAAAATATTGTCACTCATGATTGCGTGTTCTGGGGTGTTAATAATACATAATTGAATTATGTATTAGGTTTTATCGTTATGATTCCAAACTTTGCAATAAAATGAAAAAAAAAGCTTAAAAAATTTTACACGTACGCCGGTCCTTGTAGGACTCACTGCGTCTTAACAAACCAAAATCTGATATTTGAAATCTAAATCTGATTCAGATAAGGTTCTTGAAAAAGCGATACGACCCATCTCTACACCTGAGCTCACAGGGCGCCGGTTGCGCGATGATAACAAATCTGGTGTGATCGATATAATGTCTCGGTCTTTAGACGCGAGAAATATTAAAAATGTGACGTTGATTCAAGACACATCTATATCTTAACTCAAAGCGAAATAATTACATACTTTTTTAACACTAACTAGGTAATAATTGTAACACATTATTTTACCAACGCATGAAGTGAGTAACAAGGATGTTTTATGCTATAAACTTAATTTAATAAATTAAAACAAGCGTTCGTATATATTTAAATGCACGTTAATTTTGATTACTATTTCAATTTAAAAAAAATGATGAATTGAAAGAGAAAACACATTAGTTAGAAGGAAACTGAAAATGAAATTGGACATTTGCTATAAGAAAATATATCCTTCTAGATCCTAGCCCTCATATCTGCTAACGTACAGGTTTTGTACATGCCAATGGGCGGTGGCTATCATTTAATATCAGATGAATCGCCTGAATATTAAGTATGATTTGTTGCTTAGTATTCAGTTAAGGTGGCCTATAGCTACGGCTTCTGTCACTTTGCCAACAGCAAGAGATTATGACCCTCCTAGTCGGTTTTAATCAAGATAGAATATGATTAAAATTGCACACCAGTGATTTATCTAATCACATGTAATGTTGATTGATATTTGGGATGATAACATAAAGGTCTTCTTGAGTAGGGTTACCATTTCTAAATTAAGTAATAAATCCACACCGTACACGGTATATTTACTATAGGCGTACTATGTTATACTAAAGTATTACATTAGAGATAATGGAAAAAAAGACACTTATTGCGGTCTTGCTACAATTTTCTCGAACAATACCAAATACAATGTTTGACTGCCAATAAATGGTGAACGCTGAAATGTCCATTAGTTCGATCTTTAAAGTACTAATGTACTATATAAATCTATAAATCTAGTATCTATATATATCATATATATATGTACTATGTAAATCTATAAAGTCAAGCAAAGCCTCCTCTACACATGGCATTAGGGCAAAATCTGTTTTAATAATTTGTGTAATAATTTTCTTATTATTAAGATTATTACTTCCAAAATACGCAGGTTTTCGCACGACGTTTTCCTTTACCGCTGAACACGTGATATATCGCACTTTAACTACTTCGTTCGTCCGGCCCCGGGATTTGAACCCAAGTGCTCAAAATCATATTCGGGTCATTGAAGATATAAACTTAATGTTCTCAAGAAAGACAGATGCTGAAAAAATGGTCATTCTTTTGCCGTAGTCTACGACAAACCACTTGGCTATATCTTGCGAATATAACACACTAGCGACCCGCCCTGGCATTCATTGCCAGCATACATGGGGACACAGACAGCAGGACGACCTTGTTTTATACTATGATTAATTAACGAGTTTAGTCTCGGTGCATTAGGATTCCAAGAACTTTTTTTTGTTAGCTATACATGAAATATGCCAAATGATCGAGCAAATAACAGTATAGGAGAAGCTGAAAATGTGGTGCTGGCCTTTTAGTTGCTGGTCTTATTCATGCCCTGGACATTTCATAACTCATGAGATGAACATATCTGCATAACTTATTATGCCCGGAATAATAAAGGTGACTAACGATCTTATGGCGTATTATAGATATTACGTATTTTCGGTCTTAACAAGTTCCTAAACAAATTTTTATTTATTTGTAGTGTTTTGGGTAATTTTATAACAACTAACAATTATAAAACAAAAATAACCAAAAATGTTTTGGTTATTTTATTTGTGTTCTTATCGTGTAGACACCTTAAACACGCGATGAGATCATTATTAGTGGGAGGTTAATAATGGATCCTCATGCAAGAATTAATATATATTTTTGCCTCATTATCATAAAATAATCCCTTATTATGTGATAATGTTTAAAATGTTCTGGAATTATTTCTAGATTAAAAATGATTTAATGGATAAGATAACAAAAAATTGTTGATTTTTTTTATCTTTAAAATTACTTTAAAGATAAAAAAATCAAGAAATACGAAAAGTCGCTAATTCGATATGGTTGTGGCTACTCAATTGCAGAAGATGGGAGAGTGGCTCCTCCTCTACCACCATACGATGAATGCACTCGGACCTACCCTCTTGAGCTGACCTTACACCACAAGTTTGCCTAGTGTGATATCCCCTTGGTTTCGCCATGGGGAACCAATCCACAAATTATATAAATTCCGCCAACTCGATTGGTCGGTTACCAGATTACCCTTATTTACTTTTGCGTATATCTACAATTTGGGACAAAACCCTAACAACCTTAGTTAACGTAATCGTCCACGGCAACGCGAACACAGGAAACAGCCCCTCAAATTAATTGTTCACCCCCTCATCACATCCGCTTTCCTCGCCGTGCAAGATGCGAACGTCATCGTAGTAGACTGGAACCGTCTCGCCAATTCTAATTACAACACGGCCGCTGCCGGCGTTCCTAAGGTCCTAGGTCAACACCTTGGCAACTTCCTGGTATGGCTCATCAACACCGCTGGTGGTAATTGGAACAACGTTCACTTGGTGGGCTTCAGCCTTGGCGTCCACGTTGTTGGTAACGCCGACGGCACTGCCGGTGGCCGCTCATCTCGTGTTATAACAATCAACGTGTTCATAACATTCCACGAAATTAATTACATTCAGAGATTTTTTTGTAATTTTAATGCAATTTAAATTTTTAAAGTGCTTATCTCTGCATTTAAGATGAAATATTGAAATTTTCAGAAAAAGGCATGAAAAATGTTTCTTCCGGATTCGCGCACAGACGCTTAAACCACTTATGTAAACGACTAATTACCACACCGAAGAAAATCTCAACGTCTTTTATACACATTATTTTTCGTATTTCAAGCATCTATTGTTATATTTATAGTTTAGAGCATACAGTTTTACTGACTTTTATACATTTTTTCTGATCTATACCACCTTACAAGAACGGAGAAAGGGATAATAATGTATTTCATCAATTCATAACTCAAACCTGAGAATGTTAATGCTCAGTATCAACAGTAGCTTGCCTTCCAACGCACCGTATGGCGTATATTGGATGGGAATTTTTACCAATTCGTGCCGATACAGATTTTAAATTATACAGACAGAAATTTAAAGTTCGTGAATCGTGGGGTAAAGTACGAAACCACACTTTTTATTTTTTGCTCTCATGGACGCGCAACTGAGTTGATCGCCGCCAGCGTCCGCTACAACCGCTTCGTCGGCAGGCAGTGCCCGAATATTTCGGAAGCTGAACTGTCAACGTGCGGCGGGGCTGCGTTCAACATGGACACGCAATCATTAACAAGCGAGGGTAAATTAAAATTTTATTGTTCTGTTATCATTATAAGTGTTTTTTTTTTATTTCTATAAGATCTTGAACCACGACTAGATTAGAAGCAAGAAATTTTAGTTTCGTACTATGACTGCAAAATTTTAAATAAAATGTCTGGACATAAACCCTCATAAAGAGAATATGGGTAAACCACTATGTTTTTTTTTTATGTGAAAGGTTTCCAAGCGAGCAGACTATTCACCTGATGTTAAGTGAATACCGCCGCCCATGGGTCGCACATCTGCTACACCCGAGGGTTCCAGATGCATTTTTTCGCATTGCTTAAATGACAATGTTAATAAAATACGTTGAGATTTTCGTTGGTGTGGAATTCAGCTTTTGATTAAAGCGTCTGGATGAGAATCCGGAAGACGTGGGTTCGATTCCCGCAGCGGCGGTGTTTTCTACAAATTTTACTGTTTCATCTTACATGCAAAGATTAGAACGATAACTTAAAATGTAAATATTTTTTTAAACTTTACTATAATAAAACTATTACTGAGATGATAATGTCGGTTCTAATTTAATCGCAGATTCCCTTTCTATTGCGCTCTTTAGTTAATCTATAAATTGTGTTATCTAATCGAAGACTTTATCTCAGTTTCATGTAGTACATAGAATTTTAGTTTTGTGTTTCCACAAGCGTTTTTCTCTTGAACGGATTTAACTAAAATTTACTGTGTTAACTGCACTTTTAACGTTGCTAGTATGTTTCAGTTATCGTTTGAGTGATTTTAGTTTCTAGTAAGTCACAAAGTGGCAGTGAAGTGTTTTGTTATTAATGCTCAGCGGTGGTAGAAACTGTCATTTGCACCCGACGGCTTTTTTTGCAACAAAAATTCGCTCCTATATTTATTGATTGTTCCCATGCAGGAAAGCGTTGCCTTAACATTTGATTACCACTCACCACGTCATTATTTTTCATTTTCGAAACTGTGAATTCAATAGTAACACGCTGGCATAACACTATGCCGCCATATGAGCATAGAACCTAATAAGCATATGAGACTTGTATTTTTTGGAGACTAATAACTATCTATAAACAAAAAATATCTAAGCAAGTATAGCGTAGAAAGTTATTTTATATACATAAAATGTCTATCATATGATGTATGTACATACATCATGAAAGATCTTTGTTATTTATTTAACCAAGCAATGAATTAGAAATACGCTTCACCTAATAGATTATCTTGGCTCTATTGGTTCAAAACTTGTTAAATAGATTTTACGATAAGTAATACAGCTTATTGCACAAATGTTTTGTAAATGTTATCATAAACAAATGTGTTATCACGCACTTCATAAGATACTACACAGACTTCATTCAAATGTTAAGTTAAACAATTAGAAAGTCGTTCTGTGTGCGTCAACAATATGAATTTAATTATATTAACATCCATCACGTTAACAGGTAATATTTATATTCTACTTATGAATTATTGTTATTATTTTTTTAATGGTACACTGTTTTTTTTACTAATAACATGTCATAATTTAATACATCAAGCATATATATGAAACATTTACGAAATAGAACGTCGTTTTGTTCAATTATGTTTTTGTAACATTATTATTCAATTTTATTATTAGAAAAAAATGCGTCATTTCTTATGAAAGTAGTGACGAAACGATGTATTATTATAAAGTTAGTGATGAACAAAATCAATATTTTTAAGTCAAATTATGTTTACTTAAGACGTGTTGAATAGACGTCAATAACAAATAAGACAAAATTTTATTTTCATTCATTTTCTATGACAGTTGGCAGTGAGATCGATATTTATATTTGTATAATATTTCATTTCTTTATTAGTGGTTTCTGCTAACAATATAAAACAATTTGAGTCACGTTATTTTAAAAACGAAGGATATTACCCTAGTGGTGATGAAGAGAGGATGCAATTAATTTTTGATTTACTCCAACCAGAGGACGAATTCTTCGTAAGAGATTACACCATAAATCCCAATGATGTTTACTTATTATTTACAAGGTTAGTTGCAATAATTCAACATGATTATTATCAGAGTTTTAAAATAATAATGTTTAAATCAAATCGGAGCCGTGATAGCTCAGTGTCCGGGGAGCCGTGATAGCTCAGTGTCCGGGCGCTCGCCTTTAACTCAATATACTCGAGCAACCTGAGTTCGATCCCCGGTGCCGGCACCAATGAAGTTTTTAACTTTAAGTGCTGACTTATCACGTGCTCCGCGGTGAAGGAAAACATCGTGAGGAAACCTGCATATTTTCGAAATAATAACGAAAAAAAATATATTTCGAAAATATGTGAAGTCCGCCAATCCGCAGTGGGGCCGCGTGGTGGACTATGCCCTGATACCCTCTGTATAGAGGAGGCCTTTGCCCAGCAGTGAGACATGTATAGGCTGTTACTTTACTTTTTTTTTTTTAAATCAATTAAACTGTAAACGATTTTATATGTAACTATCTAGGCCTGCAAAATCTTCATAATACGGACTGTTGATAAAAAACAGTGACTCTTACTCTTATTGCTACTTGTGATACGGATTTTTAGGAGGACTTTTCAGAAACAACCCGTACACTGCTCAAAATCTTGTAATGGGCGATAATTCTTCAGTCAGCAATTCAAATTTTGATGGGACTGCGGTTACTGTATTTCTGGTTCATGGTTGGAACGGTCACGGAAGGAATTCGATGAATTTATTGTTAACTAAAGGTAACTTGGTAACATAACGTAACATAAAGTAAATGAATTTACCGATTATGATGTCCATTTTTCTTTTGAGAGCTCGAGATGGTTCTGGACTAAAATTGTAGTTTTTTTTTGTGTCAAGGGGTTTCAATTAAAATGTGTCAAGGGGTTTCAATTAAAATGTGTTCAAATATCCCTATTTCAATCATTTTTTAATTACCTATTCAAGGTGTACTTTTGTACTTCTTTTGGCACCCAAAGAAAAAAAAATGTGAGAGTAATATTTAAACGATACGCGTGCACATCTACAGACGAAAGGCGACCAACATCATGGTATTATCATGGCAACCAACAACTTTTTGATATTAACCTATAATTACAAGTTATTCACAACAAAGAGTACTAGCACAGGCAACAAGCGATAAAATTTTAAGTTATTTTTCAGCGTTCCTTGAAGATGGTGACGTAAACGTGATAGTTGTCGATTGGAGCGATCTTGCTACCAAAAGCTATATAACAGCGAAAGCAGGCGTTCCCAAGGTTGGAAGAGACCTTGGTATATTCGTCAATTGGTTGGTGTCATCAGAGACGTCGTATGACAAAATACATTTGGTCGGATTCAGCCTCGGTGCTCATATAGTCGGTAATGCGGGAAGGACCACAGCAGCACGAATCCAACGAATCACAGGTGCCATTAAATAAACTAAATAATACATTGTATCCAATTATGAGTTATGACTTATATACGATAAAATCAAATTTTTGTAGAATAATGTTTGGAAACTTTTCGCCGCTTTAAGGATTTGAACCTACGTCCTCCGGGATACGCGCCCGACGCTCTACCCCCTGAGCTAAACGGGTTATCTTCACACCGACGAAAATGTCAACGTATTTTATCAACTTTATTTTTAATACTTTTTAAGCAATTTTGATGTCATCTAGCGTGCTTCCTTTACAGCAAACGAACTCCTTTCCGTATGCCATTGAACAACATTTCGTCCATTTTCAAATTCAATATTGAGTGCAAAGAACAGCTCTATAAAAATTAATATCATTTATATTTAAATAGGAAATACCTTTCCAATCAATACATCTCTAGTTTTCAAATATAAAATTTAAAAATTAATATTCCTAAAATTTTTCGAAACATTTTCAGCTCGCTTATGCTTCGAATCTGCTTCTTTTGAATAACGACATAGCGAGCTATTTTTTATACGTAACTTTTAGCATAGATTGGCGCCACCTATTGAATAACTTTACAGTATACCGATACTTGCAAATACTATTTAACAATGAATATTTGACCAAGACGATGTTGCCTTTGATAATGATATTTAGGATTATATTATGTTATTTATATCGCCAAATATTTTAACGATTTACGTTAAACTTGAACTTGACTTCAGATGACGACGGTCTTGTAGCCAAAAACTAAAATGAATGACGACCCAGGAACAGTAATTTTGAACATACGACGGCGAGAATACTTTACTAGTTCCCCCACGGCCTCTATACTCTACTTGTATATCTTTAAAGTTATAATCTAAGCTGAAGTAAATATTAGAATTATATATTCTGGGGCCCACGTCTCGCGTTATTACGTATTCCTAAATAATGTTATAAGTCTAGTAACGCTGCGTATTACTGCTGCATAAATATTATATTTTTACCAGTGAACTACGACTTTTGAATAAATTCCATCGTAATATAGGAGTACTCCTATTCCGTAGAGGAAAGTAGCTGGACCTTCTTATGGTAAGAAATATTCCTCATATCGCTGGTTTTTACCATACCAGGAAAACAGCCGCCCCATTGTCTTTTTAAAACGAAATAAACAAATAAATATTTCTCAGCTCTAGATCCAGGCGGTCCACTGTGGAAAAAGGACAAAAATCGCCTAATGCCCACGGACGCACGTTACGTTGAAGTGATCCATACGAACACAGCATTATACGGCTTGGAGGATCCATGCGGGGACGCGGACTTTTATCCAAACGGCGGTTACAGAATGCCGGGCTGCATCCTCAATTACTGCTCGCACCGTCGTTCCTATGAATATTTAGCGGCAACTTTGAAGTCCACACCGTTAATGGCGAACGAATGTAACAGCCTTCAAGATGCATTTGATGACAACTGTTACGGGCTTATGTACCCGATGGGCAATAGCGATTTAGCGAAATCAAGGCAAGTCGATTTATAATTGATAAAATCTTGGATTAATTACTCGAGCATTTATATAGCATTTACCTTTAATTAAAGGTACCTAATTAATTAAACAAAAATATTTGCAATATAAAAACTAAATGAATTAAATATTATAATTCATGTAAATTTTCAGGTCCGGCATTTTCAGGTTGAATACAAACGATAGAATTTCAGAAAACTTATCATATATTTAATAGTATAATATTATTGAATCATACACGAAGACTAAGCATGTGTATAAGAGTATAATCGAAAATATCACATTTAAAAATAAAGTTCAAAATATTAAAAACTATATCACTGGTCTTGATTTCCCTATCCAAGGTCTAATGAAGGGCGCGAATAAACTTTGATCGCTTTGTATTTTAGGAAATTTTCTCAAACACAAAACACTTGCAATCACTATGGTCACTGTACAGCCAAATGTTGTGAACCACAGATACGATATACGGTATAGATACGGCACCTCCCTAAAACCAATATACTTTTTAATAATCTATCTTTTTTTTATTATAATGTTAAACTAGATGATGACATCAGATTTAAGTAATATGGAATCATACACGTCATCAACATCCACAGAAGTTGCAGAACGCTCATAGCTGTAGGTGCAATTAACTGTGAATCTTTCTTTCTCGTTGAAATTCAGAAATCCATTTGTTTGTGCCCATTGAGAGTTTGCAGCGACCCACCATGCTGACAACAATCCTGTTACTCCACCAATCAAAGCGTTCTAAAATCAAATTTTAGACTTTAAAAAATATCTTGGTTGTAAACATAGAAAAAAAGATTAATCTGGAACTACAATCCAACACGTCCCGATTAACAACTATAGTAAACAAAACATCAAAAATTAACGTTAAGAAATAATGCAAGCTTCACAACATTGCTTTATTTAAACCTTGTAACACTTACTGTGCCATCGATAAAAGGCATAAATAACCCCATTAAAAAAACTCCTGCAAGTGGTCCCATCGATGCTGATGATAGAGTCATAGTCAATTGCAGAACCGGTCCAAGCTTTTCAACGACAAACACCAGACCTAGAAAGAAATTATACATATACTGAATATATACGGCATCTAAAACGCAGTAAACTATGTGAAAGAAATAGTATGAGTATTGATTTCAATGGTATACATAAAGTAAGTCATGGAGCATGTGGTTCACATTATGTTAAGTGATTACCACTACCCATGGTCAACACCTGCGGGTGTTGACCATGGAGCAGGTGCGGATGCGTTGCCAATCTCGCGAACTTCGGATACCTACGTCACTTAGCAATTAAAATAATAAAATATCACACTATATTTCATGAATAAGTTGTTCTGTGTACATTTTTCTTAACCGTTATTTATATATGTAAAACACAAATTCCAAATTAAGAACTCTAATAGCGTATATGGTATAAAATTATAAACATCAGACACATCACTGTACTAACCTACGCAGATGCAGCCCAGGATAACAACGACCATTCGCACCAATATTTGCGTGTCCTTGTCAGTCAATGGTTTAAAGAATGGTTTCCAAAAGTCTTCCAGAACAACGGCGGCCATAGAATTGAGGCCGGTTGACAATGAGCTTCGAAAGAAATCGGAAACCGCACGACATAAAATTAAATTATGAACAAGTAATTATTGTCATTTAACGAGTAATTAATTCAATTACCTGAGTGCAGCACTGAACACCCCCGCTACAAATAGACCTGGCAATCCATTCCAATCACCGAGTACGTCCATAACTAGTAAAGGTAACAATTGGTCCTTGGCCGGAATAAGTTTGGAGTCTACAGGGTCGCAATCGTGATATCTCGCGAATGCCAATAAACCGCTATAGCCACACACGAGCACAACAAATAAAACTCCAAATAAAAATCCCCAAACGGCCCTATAATGGAATTTAATTGCATTACTATATGAAACAAAACTCAAATGTAAAAATTGGATACGTTAATGTATTAAAAAGGAACACCTTAAGTAGCCATCAAGTAATCTATTCATTGTTACCAATCATTTAAAATTCAATTCATTGTTACCAATCGATTTATCATTACTAAACATTTTCTTTAAAAAGAAAAAACATTGCCCTTACTATAGGATAAACACCGATTTATTGATGAGGGTAATATTATAAATGAAACTAATTTTACGGATTTATCGCGTTTATTTTTAATTTTGATTCCCGACGTTTCGAACCCTTTACAGCGTTCATGGTCACGGGACAGACTGAGAGAGGGTAATATTGTTAGATTGAAAGGGTTTTAAGATGAAACACCACGACCGCTTAAGGTTGTGAAATGCTTATATCGCAGATGTTATATATTATTGCAGTGCTATTACGTAAAAACATGAGACCTTTACCTTTTAGATGTTTTCAAGTCACGCAAAGATAAAAATCTTTGCAACATTGATTGGTTGACAGCTATCAGCCCTATCCAATAGAATGTAGACCCAATCGACACCGCCAAAAAAGAATGCCTTTCAGTCAGGTCCCAACTCAAACTTTAACATAAAAATATTAAATAAAGTTAACATAATATATTACAATATTGAATTTTGATCGGATGTGTATAAACTGATACTTACGGCGGAAATTCAATCCTATTACTATTCCAATTCTTAATTAGAACTTGCTCGAAACCACCAACAATGACAGTTCCCTTTATAATGACCAAAATCATAGCGCCAATCATAACTACAGTTTGAATTACATCAGTCCATACAACCGCTCGCAACCCTCCCTACATATTTAAAAAAACTAATAAAATATTTTTAATACATTTCAATACTAAGTAGATAATAATAAATATGATTCTTACCAGACAAGTATAAAATATACAGACGGAACAAACTATCGGCGTAACAATATGAATATTTACACCAGTTACTGAAAGAATAAATAAAAATTATGTAGAAAGTGATCTTTCATTTAGGTTTAAATGGTCATATTAGTGATACCTTGATTAAAAGCCAATGCAGGAACATATATAACGATGGGTAGCCAAGCCAACTGCAAAACAATAGCATAAGAATTTATTGTAACACCTAAATAAATTTTGACTTAATAAAAATAGATAGATCAAAATGAAAGATTATACAAATAGAGCAGTGCATATTAAACATAATTGTATCGCTACATACCAAGTAAATGCTGAACAGGACAGAGCCGAAGAATCTTGTACGCTTGTCATATCGTAATTCTAAGTACTGGAATACAAAGAATAATTATAGTACTCGCTATATAACCTCTGATAATTTGATATATTTTAGCCCAAAATTAAGCACCTCATAAGCTGACGTTAATTGAAGTTCGTGTAGAACGGGTATAAATGTATAGGATATTACAATTGACATCATAACAGCGCCGGAGAAAGAAAAAATATACGAAGTTCCATAAATATATAACTCGGTAGGTGTGCCTAATAGAGAGATGCCTGAAATAAAACTAAAAAAAATAATTAAATAAATACGAAGTTGAACGAAGTGAAACGTCAAAAGGTTGTTAGTACTTTTTAATCAAATACTTCTAAAGACAAATATTTCTGAGTAATCAATATCTGAGGCAAAATTTTATTATGCATATATGTAAAATTTTTTCTAAACTAAATGAAGTATAATCTTACGTGGGGCGCACTAAAAGTTTCGATTTATTAAAGGTCAAAAATGAATTTATTGTTTCTCAAAATATTCTCCCTTTGCGTAAATGCACTTTTTCATACGATTAAACCAATTTTGAAAACATTGTATTTTATACTATTCGACAGCCTTTTGTGGTGATGAAAATCATTGACCGCGTTATTGTTTCTTAATTTCTGGGAACAGACAAAAGTCACAAGGTGCCAGATCGGGACTTTATGCAGGACGACTCATAAGTTCTATGTTTTTCACATACAAACATTACGGTTATTTTTACGCAGTTTGTCAATAAATTCCGGCGAACAAATGGTCATATACCTGTCATACACGGTACGACGTATCTCTAAAGCAACAGTAACAAAGTGTCCAGTTTTATTAAAAAAGAAGTAATCATCCGCTTAGATGCACTTTTCACGGGCGCCGCTTTGGTTGCTTTCATAATCTGAAACACCCATACGCTCGATTGCTGCTTGTTTTGGGTTCTTAGCAATAAATCCATCTTTCGTCCATTGTTACTATGTCTCACACCAAATTTGACGAAGGGGTCGTTGAATCTGGTAAGTATAGCATAGCACCAAGTGACACACAATTTGACCGAGGTTCAAAAAACGGACCGCCATTTTTTGAACCTCGGTCAAATTGTGTGGAATCCACCGCGAGCATAGCTTTCTCACACCCAGATGTTTGTGTAGGATTGATTGTATTTAACTCATGCCTATGTCTAAGGATGCCCGGATCTCATGGTAGGTCACATGCCCGTCTGTTTCGATTATACGGCGCACAACATTGATGTTTTTGTTGTTCACAGCGGTAGACGGGTGACCATAGCGTCGATTTGTCACTGAGATTGACACGACCGCGTTGTAATTCCGCAAACCAGCAATAAATAGTCGTTAGGCATGGTGCTTCATCACCAAAAGCAGATTGAAGCCGAGCGAACGTCTGCTGAACTGTTAAATTACACTTAAAATCATAATACGAAAATTTTCCCGAATTAAATCCATGTTAATACACAATATTCAAATCACAGTCAAACACAGTCAAATGAAACACACTGCATTCTACAGCCAAAGACTTCCATTTTCTAATGTTGTAATTACTTTTTAAATATTGTTTTAAGTAGCCAGTTCCGAAAACTTTTAGTGTGACCTATGTAGTAGCTAAATGACCTGAGCTTCTTTAATATTACTATAAATAAGATAGACTTAAACTTTCTTTATCCCCATAATGTAATTTTGCCGTGAATTATTATTTATTGTAGCAGGAGGTCATGAAGCTTAGCTTTTCTTTTAGTCTCCGCGTAGGTATTCTATTAGCAAACATGTAATGTATTCGTGCGATTCGCATATTAGTGTAGAAAATGTTATGATGAGACTTGATCAAAATCCGTTATATAAAGAAAGACTTACGTAGCAACCAGCGAGAAACAAACAGGAACCAGTTTCATGTTCCTTCCACCCATGAGATATTCCTGAGTAGACTTCTGTTTATTAACGAATCCAAAGTAAACACCAATAACACCACAAATTGATAGCATCGTTACAAACACGGCGTAGTCTAACAATGAGAACTGTTGTTGATAGGACAACCTGACTTCTGCGACGTCCCGTATATCAGAATTAGACATTTTGAGGAAAAGCGAATACTATAGAAGTGTAAAGGTACGCTTCTCATGACCCTTAAGATATAAATAAAGAGGCAGATACAAGTCTCGTTGTGGCAATTTTTCAATTACCACGCGTGATTCTCCTACGCAAATACAGCGGGACTATTTGTGGCCAACAATTTATTGACAACATCCTGTCGCCACTTTAAATAGACCTTCAACCAATTTTATCTGGATCTCTGTTGTTTTTGTTGTTCCATAAATTATTGATTTATATGAATGTTTAGAGATGGTTACACGAATATGTATACACAACTTTTTATTGCATACCAAGACTGATTTAAAATTCATCCCGCAAAATCTTAACCACAACATATTAGATTACAAGTCATTACATGTTTATATAGATCTGTAAGATATTTTATTCAAAAAATGTAATTTTTTTTTTTAATTCTATGTACTGATTATAAATACTCAAATCTGAAAAATTATTTTAAAAGTCAAAACAATTCTCTATCTAAATATAGGCACATTGAGTATATTGACGCGGCATTCTCACCTTTGAGACGAACTAAAACTCGTTAAATTTGTCTAGAACATGATTGTGATCTTTTATTTTGTAGCATCCTCGTAGTTTGTAAATTTAAATAGAATTTTGTATGTAGAATAAAATACTCCCGAAATTAATAGCGCAGGGCCGTATAACTAAAGTCGTTCAATTGCGATGATGATCTATGAAGCTTTCCTTCTGAACTAATAAATTTATAAATCGAATTATCTTTTTTTTTTATTTTAGACCTCTTTTATAGATTTCAATTTAACACTTTTTAGAAAAATATGGAAATAGTAAAAGTTCACGCTGCGGTAAAACTGATGTATGTATATTTAAATAATACTTTTCATTCATGCCTTAACCAATTTCTTCAATCTTGTTAATAGGCTTCATACTTATTGAGGTAGATCTTTTATTACATTGCTCCTGTAATAAAAAAAACATTCCACGGATATTATGAACACTAAAAAATAATTTTGATGTGACTTTTTTATGTCATATGGGTCTTTGTTTCCCAAGGGGGGTTGATGGTCAGAGGCAGGTGGTCAGTCGTAAAAGAAACACAGCCCAAACCGCTTACAACATGATTCACATGTTGTGCCCACCCCACCTAGGTGGGATAAGGGCAGGAGGATGATGATGATGATGATAACTTTTTTTATACTCATTTCTAATTATTCATTATTATATATTAAATTATATGAATATTTTTTTTCCGATATCAAAACAGTAGAATCGCCATTTTTATTGAACAGTGTCGGTTAAAAGTAAAAGTAACACTGTATATGTCCCACTGCTGGGCAGTCGTCCTATCACACCCTCCTCTCTACAGTGGGTGTTAGGGCATAGCACACCGCGCGACCCGACTGCGGATTGGTAGACCTCATATATCTTGGAATTTTTTGTTTATTATTTCGACTTTTTCCTTCGCCGCTGAGCCCGTGATAAGTCAGCATTTATAATTGTAATTAACAATTTCATTGGCGTCGTGCACTCAGGTTGCTCGAGTATATTGAATGACAAGCGAACGCCTCAACAACTAGCACGGCAGCAGTCAAACAAAACTATTTTAGGGATTTCTGAGGGTTTCATTCTGTTTTTAAACGTGATACTTTTAAAAACCCCATTTTGAACCCATTATAATTAAGTATTTTCATTTGAAAACGAGTCACGCTTTGTTATTTACCTTTTTGTCGCCGTATGCGCTTATGTAAGAATCGTCTCCGGGATTTGGCGGTTCTTTATACAGCCTCCTTAGTTGCGGTGCGAGTAGTTTTGGCGCGGGGAGAACATGGACCTTACCACGCATTCGATTTATTTGCGAAACAATCAAACCCACGCAGACAGCGATAACGGAGCCGGCGAGTGTGTACCACATGTATGATACGTGTAACACGGGGCTAACTTCGACGCTGTGAATTTGCGAACTTTGAAAGTTCTTGTGGAAATTTATGAATTTGCATTTTCATTTTGCGGTGGTAGGGCCACGCAGCAGCATCGGCTGTTGCACGAATGGGCAGGCCCGTCCGGGTAAGTACCACGACCTCACTGAAGACCAGCCTAAAGTGGAAGTAAGTCAAATACTTTCGCGTTTCATCTTGTGAGTGAGGTAGCCGAAGCCCAACTTTCAAACAATTTTCAAAAGGTTGTCAACGCATGTTGACAACCTTTTGAAAATTGGGCTCCGACGCTGTAACCCTCGGGTGTCGCAGATGTCCATGGGCAGCGGTATTCACTTAACATCAGGTGAACCGTCTGCTCGTTTGGAAACTTTTCGAATAAAAAAAAATTAATATTAAAATAAAAACTATAAATCTTTTATCAATATGAGCATTCTAAATGAATATTCCAATGCTCTATGAACGTCATTCAAATTAATGGCTAACCTTTATATTTTCTTCTTTCTTATGAAGGATGAATGTTTTGCTCTGACGCCCGGTTTCTGAAACACTGGTCGTCGTAGAAGTTAACTAATCACTTGTCAAATGACAATTCAAATATCAATTGAGTTGTCAAAAGGATGATTAAACTCCTATGAAGTGATCAGAATGATCTTCTTAGTGATCAGAATTCGGTCGTGATAAGTGTTTTAGAAACCGGGCGTTAGGATTACTTTCTTAATGATATCCAACAAAGTTAAGATCTAAACGCTCTTACGTTACAGGGTTTGGTGTTGTAGCCTCCGTGACCGTAAAATTATATTTGCATCCATCAACAGTAAGGTGTTTGTGAGGATGCACGATTTGACCACTCGCTATTGCTAACTGAGCTGACAAACACCACCATGCCATAGTTATCAGGCCGCACATACCGCCCACTAATGCTCCCTGCAACAGAAAGTATTATTGTATCCTATATTCTTGGATTCTATATTACAAAAATAGGATCTCATGCTCAGGATAGTACAAACGATCTTCTTTATGGAAATTAGAATATTTCATTATGCCAATAATTTGGCGGATTATTCTTAACCTATCTCGCTAACCACGATTTTTTGTTAAAAATGTTTGTTCAGTACGAAAAGCTTGCCAAAGGCTTATTTATGTACACACATATTTTATAAGCGCATTGCGTAAATTAATCCAGTTTTTATCACATTACATAATGAATTCTAATTTTTCGCGCGGTACCCTAATTATTTTCCATATAAAAGTAACCTAAGTATTTTTTATAAGCCATGTGCCAGTTTCGGAGACCACCCCGGATATGCAGACGAACAAAAAAATTAAATATTTTTGATTCAAGGAATCTTTTGTTAACGCGCGAACTTTTGTCCCGCTGAGTTTCTTACGCCGGTTCTTCTCAGGTCAGTGGCTTACCTTCCGAACCGGTGGTAGAGTTTTTTGACTATCAATAAGTAAGTGAATGCTTCTATATTGAATAAAGATATTTGACTTTGACTTTGACTTTGACTTTGAACATGATACTATATAAAAGCATTTATTTCGAAATCACAAGTAAAAGTTACCGTAGCATCTATCCAAGGCATCAAAATACCCATAGTGAACACTCCGAGTTGAGGTCCCATAGTCATGGCTTCTAAAGTCATGGTCAGCTGTAAGATTGTTCCCATTTTCTCAACAATGAAAACCAATCCTGAAACCATTGTAAATATTAACAACTTCTTCTGTATTGAAATATTATTTATTATGCAAAAATCGCGTCTATGTTACAATTTTTTCGGAGCCCAATTTTCAAAAGGTTGTCAACGCATCTGTAACCCTCGAGTGTAGCAGATGTCCATGGGCGGCGGTATTCACTTAACATCAGGTGAACCGTCTGCTCGTTTGACAACTTTTCGCAAAAAAAAAAAAAAATTTTAATTAAAGTCTGTTAAAAAAGCAATATATAATAAAACCAAAAATTTTGAAATTCAAAAGAAATGTTCTTACCTAAACATATGATACCTAGGAGTATAACTACTCCTTTTAACAGCCAATTAGTTTGTTTTTCCGAAAGTTGCTTCTTAAAAAAAGGCTTATAGAAATCTTCTAAAACCACTGCTGACATTGAATTCAGACTTGTCGACAAGGAGCTGAAACGCGTTAGGTGTTTGGGTGAATTAAAAAAAAATAGTTACGTGATATACTCAGCTTTTTATATGAAACCTTCAACCTCAGCAAAAAAGCAAACTTAGGGAACAGGACTAGTAGATGAAGTCTGTCCTTCTATATAGATTATGACTTCAATAACTTAAAGTGTGCTAAGCTTGAAGGCTAACCTATAGGTACCTAACTCAGTAGGTAGTTATTTCAACACTAAAAGTTGGACATTCATTGAATATAGCCTCTAGAATTCAAAGTATAATACTAAATTTGTAACTATATCCTAATTTCTCACAAATAAAATTATTCAGTCGTACCTTAGAGCTGAGCCGTGATAGATTAGTGCTTTCTTCTAATCAATATACTAGAACAATCCAACTTTACATACCGGTGTTCGACACGTATTTTATCAAACATAATATAAATTGTTAATTTTATTAAAAATTCAAGTAACTATGAAATTATTACTTATTTGTGATATGTCAACATAATTCGAAAATATAGTATACAGTATAATTCGAAAAAATAATAAAAGACAATATATTTAGAAGATACGTGAAGTCTACTAAGAACAAATTCGCATGGTGGACTATGCCCTCCGTACAAAGGAGACATTTTTAGGAGTGGTACATATACTATTATCCTTACTTACACATAGGCTGTTAACTTTACTTTTTTTTACCTTAGAGCTGCACTAAATATACCCGCAACAAAAACCCCCGGTAAACCGGGAATATCACCAAGTACATCCATCACTAGCAGAGGCAGAAGTTGATCTTTCGCTTTCGCTAACTGAAAATTACATGATTTATAACATATATTCAATTCATATAAATGAACCTCGTCTTTTAATATGTTCTTTACCTTTGTCTGCAAAGGATCACAGTCGAAGAAACGAGCGTAAATGAGTAATCCACAATACAGACAGAAGCAGTATAGGACAGAGATTCCAAAACAAAAGAGAAAGACGGACCTGAAAATTAATGAGTCTTAGAAAATGTACATTGTAGTATTTATATTATGTGAAATAAAACGTGCACTAAAAATATCATTTTAAAGTATCCCAAGAAAGTAGTTATTAAAAAATTTAATTAAAGTGTTGTTTAATAATAACTATTATATAATACTGATTGGAAAAACTGAAGCTCAGTTCGTCAAGTATGCCTCACACATTCAAATAATAAGTAAGGTTTTTACCATTTGGCACTTCGTAGCGTGGGCAGCGCTAAATAGCGTTGTACCATAGTCTGATTGACGGCGTTGGCTTGAAGCCAATAAACCAGTCCCCCGACTACCAGACTCCATATCGTGTGCCTGGCAGTAGGATTGGGATCCCAACTGTGAATTGTAAAATTAGACTATTTTCATAAACTTTATTTAACTGCTTCGACAGTTCTTTACAATGTTTAGCGGTATTAATTTCCGACCTTTTGGAGATCTCACAGAATAGGATTAATTGCTTACAACTGTTCCAATAATGTATGAATGATAGAAAGACGAACTGTGTATAGTGTTCCTAAAAGTGATAAAGTAGTTAAAGTGTATATAAAATGAATACATACTTAGGATACTCGATCCGCTCACTATCCAAATTTCGCTGGAAGACCACGCCTATGCCCCCAACATCTAAAGTGCCTTTAATCGCCACTAACGCCATGGCCCCAAACATCGCAGTTATTTGGATTACATCTGTCCATACTACAGCTTGTAGACCGCCCTTGTAATTAAGAATTCATTTTAATCTGTTAATAACAAATATTAAACATAATGTATTAAATACTTACAGCACTCGTATAAAAAATGCAAACCAAACAAACTATTGGGGTAATGACATGAACGTCCACGCCCGTCACTGTAAAAAATTGTTGTGATTAATATTCTATATCATAACTGTCCTGATGCTAACAATATGCGTGTTAATGCAAATGAATTTTTCCAGGTGAACAATTTGAATTTTTTTTTTCAGAGTTAATGGTATTTTTTATCACTGACGGATACATCTTGGCACCATTCGGCGCTTTTTGTTTTACGATAGTGTTTAATTTGCTTTTCAATTTCTTTTAACAATATACCTTATGTTTTATGCATTTTAATAGATTGGAATTATTTCCATATAATTATGGTACAGAGCGAAATGTACGAAGTATTGGTTTTATTGCCTTGTGGCCCCAAAATACGTAATGCTCTACTCTCTTATTTCTTATATCACTACTCTTTTATTTGAAAACACTTATAATAATAATACCTTAGTATATATAATTATATAGATACCTTGGTTGAAGGCCAAAGCAGGGACATAAATTACGATCGGCAGCCAACCTACCTGTAAAAAGGGTTATTTATTTTTGTTAAATACATAACTTTTGAACCAATTATAACGTATACAGATAGTAATATAGTTTAACACTTACCAACGTAAAAGCGAAGAGTATGGATCCAAACAAGCGAACTCTGTTGTCGAACCTCAATGACAAATACTAAAAAGAGAACTTATTACAAAACTCAATGTTATATTCTACTTTTCGATATAAATTTAATTTTTTATGAACATTACCTCGTAGTTAGACGTAATTTTGAGATCATGAAATACGGGTAAATAGATTTGGGTCATGACGATCGTCATTAGAAATATGCCACCAATTATAAACGCGTACTGAGTCCCGTGCATGTAAACTTCAGTCGGTGAACCAAGTAGGGTAATGCCTGAAACAAAGCTGTAGAACACGTTTTATATAATGAAATTTTAATCAGAATATATTAGGATAGAAGAGCCGTGATAGCTTAGTGTCCGGGCGCTCCCCTTTATTCAATATACTCGAGCAACCTGAGTTCGATTAACGGTGCCAGCACCAATGAAGCCGGCCGAATTATCAGCGGTGAAGCAAAACATCGCGAGGAAACCTGCATATTTTCGAAATAATAACAGAAAAAAAATATTTCGAAGATATGTGAAGTCCGCCAATCCGCAGTGGGGCCGCCTGGTGGACTGTGCCCTGATACCCTCCGTACAAAGGAGGCCTTTGCCCAGCAGTGGGACATGCATAAGCTGATACGAGTATATTAGGATAGTCACTTGTTTTTTAGAGATATTATAAAATCATAACTTTCTGAAAAATTATAAGTCACGTTTGTTACAAATCCAGTTTTTATTTTCCTTAGTCTTTACGTCTCTCCGCCGGGATTCGAACCTGCTTCTTCCTGATTACGCGTCCGTATGCTTTGGCCACTAAGCTAAGCGGTCAACATCCTCACCAATTCGAAATCTCGACATCATATCAGTATTGCTATTTAATAAAGAAATATATATATATATATATATATATATATATATATATGTAGGATTAATTATTTAATAGTTATATATAATCGTAAAAGGGATTGAGGGATTTTTCGCAACGACGCCACGAACGAGTAACGTGTCGTGTATCTGTGTCTTAAAATGTATTAATTTAAATAAAGGTGAAAATAGTAACAATATACTCAAAATAAAGATTTTGTTTATTTTACGCCTACATATATATATATATATATATACACTTATATTTTTACTTTTTTTTCAATTCCAGATCCTTGCTTTCTTTGTTTTTTGTCGATCCAGATGATTTTGTAATTTTTTTTCCCCTTTTTTTTAAAGTTCTTTATTTTTGTGTAAAACACCAGTTCATATTTTCTTATTGTTACGTCGGTAGGATCGAAAAACATTACGCATATTTCATTACTCAGTAATTTGTATATAAATGTAATTTAAAAAATACACGATTTACCAAAAAAAAAAGGCCTCCAGGTACTGTATATTTGAAGAGAGGAGACGTCATCTTTGCTATTGAAATTTCATTTTTAATATTTATCGCTATTCTCTGCAATTAAGGTGAAACTTAAACATGTGCATATAAAACTGTCGCAAAATTTGGTATTGATAGTTCATCTTAAATTCACTCGATTTCGTCAATCGATTTAATTTTTCGACATACTAATGACATATTGAACGATTAGACTTGTATGCTATTGCGTTAAGAAACAGATAGGCCTTACTATTCTTCTCTTCTCCGCCATAATCATAGGACTCGCATAAGCTTTGTCCTATTGCCTTTAGTGTGGTTAATTATTAATCATTTCGATGGTAAAAGTCACCCCTTGACTAACAACACGTTTTATAATATTACCGATAACAACGGTTAGTATAAAATGATTCATTAATAATAAATTTAAAGTTAGTATAAAATGATTCATTAACGGTAAATGTCTGTATGAATTTCTGATAAATTTATCAGAAATTCATTCAGACTTTTATTATTTAATTAAATGAAAGTATACAAACGTACAAATTTTTTACTTTTAAAAATAAGCAAGGTTCATTCAGACTTAATCCTAATTTATAAAAAAATTATACCATGCACTTACCTCGCCACAAGAGACATTGAAACGGGTATTACTTTCATGTTCCTTCCGCCCAAGAGGTAATCATTTTGTGTGGTCTGCTTTTTCATGAAGCCCCAGTAGACACCCACAACAGCACTTATCGCCAACATGAACACAAAAACTACATAGTCGACCCATGAGAACTTTTGCATCTGGTAAGCCATCTCATTCACACCATCACGGGCTTCGTCCATTTTGTCGGGAGTTTGGAGTCAATTTCATGCACGCTAACAGAAATGGGTGCTCCGAGTCAAATGGAGCTTGAGGCCACCGAGATGTAAAACGCAATCTGTCACAATGAAACAATTACGATAACTCGCAATTTAAAAGAGGATGTTGCGAGATCCCCCTCAATAGCTTCAGCCACGGGGACTGACTAATGCTTTAGAATTTAATCCCCCAAACCTTACTTATGTTCACGTTTTTACTCATTATTTTAACCATAGTTATTTAGTCAACTGTATTGATTGTTTTTACGTCACTGAATTACAGTGAAACTAATATTTTGATGTGAATTTTATACTGCTAATGTTTAGATAAATAAACTCACGAGATCCCACTTCAGGATAACATTTATTTATTTAAACTTAATACATAATGGTATTCTCTACCGATCAACCCTTGTCATGGTGAGACGTAGATGGCAGATGCTAACCTAGTAAAGAGTAACTCTTACTCAAAACCGGAGCAAGAAATGGACGGATGGTCAGATTAATATGACTTGTCCCGTGTGGAATTTAAACCCATGACTTACGGTGCTGAATGGCGCCAAAGGAATTGGACATTTGTTGATAATGATTACAAGCCACCATCTTCATCCGTATTTGAGATTTCGATTACATAGACCACGTTTGAAGAATTCCCTACATAAAAAATCTGCAGAAGTTATAACATAATAATTAAAACACATACATTATTTGCATTTTTTATTTATCTCAACAAAATTGCTAATAAAAATAAATAAATTAAAACGAGATAAATTCACATAGAGATTTGATCACCCGCGTTTGCGTACCTTGCATGATCATAAAATGTTCCTTCCCACTCGGCCGAGAAAGTTCCGGAAGAAGAAGGTTTTTTAACAATAAACACAGAATTTAAAATTAAACCAAGTACATCTCGAAACTGTTAAGACAGGGAGTTGACAATCAAAAAGTCAAACCCGTGATCTAAGCAATACAAGGCGTCGCCTCTATGATGGGGAGACAAAGTTTAACCTCCGCTGATGCGTGGCACACAACACGTACATTAACAATCGCACACATGGCTCAGCGCATTCGACGGTCGATGACGAGTGCGTAGTCCCCAATATGCTGGCTATATACTATACCCCCGTGGATCAGGTTTTGAATCGTTTACGTTGTACTATTATTTTTATATCGACTCTACTGCATACGTTCAACGTGATAGCTCAGTGTTCGGGCACTCGCCTTTAATACGATACACTCAAGCAACCTGAGTTCGATCCCCGGTGCCATCACTAATGAAATTGCTGATTTATCTCGTACTCTGCAGTGAAGGAAAACATCGTGAGGAAACCTACATATTTTCGAGATAATAACAAAAAAGCATTTCGAGGATATGTGAACCAAAGGGAATGTAATCACTACGTTGATGTGAACTCCGGCAACTGCAGTGACATATAGAGGCTGTCACTATACTTTTATTCATACGTTCGTCTGATCATCGCGTAATTAATTCCGAAATTTCTTATTTCTAAAAATTAATTATGTAACTAAGAATTAATGTAAATCTTGTGCCCTAGTAAATGAATAATTCTCGTCATTTAGGTACTTTTTGATGTATATGACGATGAAGATTGCTAAGGCCAATTTTTCCTAGCAATGGCAAGGCCGATTAAAATGTCAAACCAAAAGTTTTCCACCGATCAACTCATACTCTACGTACTATGAGATAATATTTCATATGTTTTTAACTACTTATTATTAATGTAACAAACACAGATTTTTGAAAGTTTTGTAGAAACCTTAACGATAAATATTCTATTCGGTAAATATTATTTATCAAAAATGGCTGGACCATTGATGAGTTCAACAGAAAAAATATTTATATTGCATGGAGTTCAAGTAAGCATAATACATTTATTTATAATATTTACCAATATTCATATTCATTTCATTACATAAAAGTGAAGACTTATGTATTAATTTCATTTGAGTAGCATTTTCCTACTCTTTGAACGGATTATTCGTGAAGCAAGAACTCTCGCGCCCTTGATATCTATGCCATTTCTGTTTTTTTAAATAAAAATACAACATAAACCAACTGTTTACAAAGAACAATTGACTTCCTGACAACGACTCACATTTAAAATCTGAAATTTTAATTCAATTATTCCAGATTGATTATAGATCAGATGGGAGATCAAATATTGATTACAGGCCAATGGAATTGGAGACTGATGTAGTCAGTCATGCAAGTGGCTCTGCAAGATTGCGTCTTGCTAACACAGACATCCTTGTCGGAGTTAAAACAGAAATAGATGTACCAAAGCCAGAAAAACCTGGGATGGGAAAAATTGAATTTTTTGTACATTGGTAAGATAAAGCCCCTTTTTTTCTCGTTTCCTACCTGTGTGAGGATGTAAACTAGAAGTGGGCGATACAAATCATATCAGATATGAAAAGTATATATTGATACAATATCTGGAAATTGCTTACTGGCTTGTTCAAAATCTATGTATTTTACAATATCTGATATTTCCGAAATCTGATGTACCGAATACTCGCTCACCCACTATACCAACACGAATCGCGATATCATACGGGTTTGCCACAATATCAGATTTTTAGACAAAGCGCGTGAGATACAAATATTCACTAGTTAGAGCAGTACGGCAACAATATCAGATTTTTAAACATATTTTATGAATAAGTTAAGTAATTTTGTATCTTAACATCATGCAAATAAGATCCGTTTCATTTAAATACTAAGCATGGTATCAAAAATTACGATATCTTTTAATTCTTGTATTTAGTATTAGCCTTGAGCCGTAGCGAGCGACAAAGCGCGTGAGATACAAATATTACACTAGTTAGAGGGGTACGGCAAACAATGCACAATATCAGATTTTCAAACAGATTTTATGAATAAGTTAAGCAATTTTGAATTTTAAAAGCATGGAAAAAAACTCTGTTTCATTTAAATACAAATCATGGTATTAACGATGTCTTTAAATTTTGTTTAGCCTTGACCTGGAATGCATTGATACTTAAGCATGTATGTAGTAAGGGATGCCAACTTAGGAATTTTCTTGCTAAATTAAGGAAGAAAAATTTTTAGGAGTAAAATTTTTCACATTTTTGAAAAAAATAAAAATACACAAATCGAAGAAGAAAAATATACTTTAATAATTCTGTGCTGCATTGGTGAACGTTAGGCCAAGGCTTATGTGTCTTGTGTGTACATTTAAAATTCTTCCGCCCTATATTATTTTGAATGTAATATTTCTTACACAAAAATATTGTCATTCATTTTTTTTAATGAATTTAAGGTGGATACGCGAACGTAAAATATCTAGATATTAAAATACATAGTTTCGAAATCTGATATTTGAAATCGAAATCTGATTCAGATACGGTTCCCAGAAAAAGCGATACGATCCATCTCTTATTTAAACCATGTTGATAATGGTATAGATAGCTTTTTTTTACAACTGGGAACCTGATTGACATTGAGCCTTCTTAGGAATAAACAATCAGATAGGAAACAGATATCTGTGGGTTGCATAAATGCTAGTCCCATGTGGGAATCAAACCCATGACTCCTGACACCAAATCTGATAGCTTAGCTAACAAGCCATGTAAGATAAAAAATTAAGCACCAAGTGTCTTTTAGTATGATTGTTATGGTTCTTATACAAATAGCAAATAGATTTCACATCATTTTCCCCAATATACTAAATAAAAATAGCCAGTCCTATCAATCTTGCAGATATTATCATCAAGCTTAGTGGTTAAATCTAAAAAATAGTAAGTGTGAAGACATACATTGAACCAATATAAAACAAAGATTTATGAAGAATTATTTATGGAAAACTATGACACATCACACCCTGTTTGCCAATACCATGTTAGAATGATCCATAGATACCTTGAAAAATAACACCCAGGTTTCTGAAACACTGCTCATTGTAGAAATTAACTAATCAGCTGTCAAAATTCATTTGAGCTACCAAAAGGATGGTTAAGCTCTCTGCTCTCTCTCTTCAAAGAGATTAACCATCTGCATCCTGGAAGATCTATTATTTAATAGATCTTCCAGGATGCAGTGGTTGTTGGGACTTACCTTTTTCACATAAATCAATTTAGACAACATTATTTTATTGTATTTAGGCAGATCATATTAGAATACATTAATTTAATTTTCAGTTCTGCCAATGCTACACCTGAATTTGAAGGAAGAGGAGGAGAACAATTAGCAAGCAGTATATCAAATATTATGCAGCGTGCTTATAACAACTTGCAAGCTTTTAACTTAAAACAGCTTTGTATATTTGAAGGCAAACAATGTTGGAAGTTGTATGTGGATATTTTAGTAAGTTAATTGCTTTTTGTGACATTATCCAAAATAAGACAATTTCTAAAAGGACTAGATTAACCAACTTGAAGTGGCAACCTGAAGACATAGCGTTTGAAGGCAGACTAGGTGGACCGACTTCATTGTAAGAATCACGAACACCCAGTAGATGCAAATTGCAAATTGTTGTTTGTTGTGGAATTCTAAAGGATATGCCTTTGTTCACATCTTCTGGCTGATGATGATGATTGATCTCAATGACTGACTAGCAATTCTACTGATTAGCAATTTCAATTAATTAATTTATTGTGAGGTTTTTCAGCTTATTGAATATCATCCATATATTATTTCACACTTCCATAACATTATACATCTGGCTGATTATATTGTAGCTTTCAATATTCTGTCCTCTTATTTTTTGAAACATTGAATTACTTTCAAAACCCAAAAAATACTTTAAACTTTAATATTTATCTAAACTTTTAAACTATCAATATTTTTTTTGCATTTAGTTGCAGTGAAGCATCACTTTAAGTGATGCTTCAATGTCAACTATTTCTTCATTATCCCATATTTACAATGGTTACAAATATAATTTTTGTTATAAATTTAACATTGAGCCATGATAGCTCAGTGTCCAGTTAATTACATTTACTTGAGCAACCTGAGTTCGACTCCCGGTGCCAGCACAAATGAAATTGTTAATTTGAAGTGCTGAAATATCACGTGCACGGCGGTAAAGGAAAACATCGTGAGAAAACCTGCATATTTTCGAAATAATAATAAAAAAAATATTTCGAAAATATGTGAAGTCGCGTGGTGGACTATGCCCTGATACCCTCTTTACAGAGGAGGACTTTGCCCAGCAGTGGGACATTTATATGCGGTTACTTCACAAATTTAAATGTTTGGTTACATGACATATTTGATGATTTGTTGATTCACCATCATCATCATCATCATTTCAGCCTGTTTGAGTCCACTGCTGAACATAGGCCTCCCCCCAGACTGCCATGAAGTACGATCCTGAGCCACCTGCATCCATCGACTTCCCGCACATTTGCACAGGTCGTCACTTCATCTAGTGGGGGGTCGTCCTACACTGCGATAGCCAGTACGAGGCTGATTATTTGTTGATTATCTAAAGTAAATTAAAAAGTGTTTCAGAAAGAATTTCTAATTGCTTAAGTGCTAATTAAAATCTTGATAAATAACTATGTATAGTATTGTTTTAATTTCCCCCTCCCCAGTCCATCATGGGACAACTGGACAGGTAAGATGATAGCCAAGCACAAGCCCGTTCTTATGGGTTAAAAAAAAATTTTGAAGTGATGTTGTAATTTTTGCACTATAAATCATTTTTTAAAAGATATTTTTCCATTTTAGTTATACATATAACATGAATTCTTTTGTTACAGATCCTCGAATGTGGAGGTAACCTGTGTGATGCAGTCTCCCTTGCAGTAAAAGCTGCTTTGTTTAATACCAGGTTACCTTTGGTAAAAGCTGCATTGATGGACGGGGGCAATGTGGATTTACAATTGTCTGATGATCCATATGACACTAAACAATTAGATATAGGATGTGCTCCACTTTTGGTATATCTGTTATTTGCCTTTTTGTTTGTAAAATTATTTACAGCAAACAATGAAATAAAATGTTTAATTTTATTCTTCATCGTAAATACTTGTATAAAGGGTACACACAATAGAACTTGAATAGACCCAACATAAGCTCATGATAATATAGTCCTCATGATAAAGTAAATGAATTTAATTTTAATTGATTTTTAGTCAGCATAGAAAAAATTAAGTATATTTAACAATGTAACTATCTAATTCCAGAATGAATATTTTCAGCAAGTTAGGATAGTAAATATCTCAAACTAATTTACATAAATTACTTAAAATATGCATACATATCTTTATATATTTTTGCTACTTTTTTGACTTCGTAAAGTAACAGCCTATATGTCCCACTGCTGGACAAAGATCTCCTCTGAACAAAGGGTATTGGGGCATAGTCCACCACGCGAACCCACTAAAGCTTAGCAGACATGACATATCTTTGAAATATTTCTATTTTGCTATTATTTGGAAAATGTGCAGAGATACTCACAAATTTTTTCTTCTAAACCTTTTGAAAATTGGGCTCCAGCTACCTCACTAACCAGACGAAACGCGAAAGTAGTTGTCATACTTCCACTTTACGCTGGTCTTCTGTGCGGTCGTGGTACTTACCCAGACTAGTCTGCCCATTCATGCAACAGCTGAGGCTGCTGCGTGGCCCTACCACAGTTAAAAGTAGCTTAATTTATTGGTTTTAATTTTATATGAAATATTACCTTACCTACATATTGTAGTCTTACAAGTTAATCTATTCAAATAATAAAAATACATGTATATTTTAGGTAACATTATGTAAAATAGGTGACAAATGTGTTGTAGACCCATCTGCAGAAGAGGAAAGTTGTAGTGTTATATCCCTAATAGTGGGTGTTACAGGGAACCCCAAGTTTTATTGTACTAACAAAACAGAAAAAGCATTTGATGTTCCATGTAAATGCAGTACAATTGGTATGAATGGCCCAGGAAGTGTTGCACCAAAAACACTTAAAGATGCGATTAGCCAGGGCATGTAAGTATGTAAAATAATGTATTATCCAACTGCCGAAGGTGGTTAATGTTTTTCGAGTGTATATCATCGTCATTTCAGCCTGTTTGAGTCCACTGCTGAACATAGGCCTTCCCCATAGACTGCCACGAAGCACGATCCTGAGCCATCTGCATCCATCGACTTCACGCACATTTGCACAGGTTGTCACTGCATCTAGTGGGAGGTCGTCCCACACTGCGATGGTCAGTTCGAGGCACCCAGCGGTTATCGGTTCTACTAGTCATATGGCCGGCCCATCGCCACTTCAGCTTATTAGACTTCTGAGCTATGTTGGATACTTTTGTTCTACTGCAGATGTATTCGTTGCGAATCTATCATGCAGAGAAATAGCCTGCACCATAGCTCGCTGAGCGACTTCTGAGCGACTTTGAGCTTTCTCATACGACCAGCAGTGAAGGACCACATCTCAGTTCTGTATGTCATCTGGCAACACACATTGGTTGCTCAATAACTCTCAATGGGTAGGCCTTAAGATGAACATGGACTAGACGAAGATCATGACGTCTAATGTCCATGGCACGTCTATACCGGTTGTTGTTGAGAGCACTGTACCTACTTGTCAACAACTTCGAGCACAGTGCTACTTTATACAGCGTGTCTTTACAATCGCGACAATAAATGAACACACATATAGAGGATAACTTTTTAAAATTGTATTAAACATTTACATTCTTTAAACATTAATATTTACCTAGTAATTAAATTTTCCAAAGCAAACAATTTTAGAACACCCTTACATATAAAACTGTAATGTAAAGTTCATTTGTAAAGGTCACAAAGCATATGAATGGGTTAAATGAATTTAAAAGAGACAAAACATACTGTTAGAAGAAGACGCTTGTAATGCGACGCTATTTTTTGTTTTAACTTCAATTTGACGAACGTCAAGGAAAGTCCTATTATGTTGCATCATTTACTACATGCTCTAACTGCACAGACTATTTAAAACGTCGTTTCCATCCTAAGACATATGTTGAATTCTTAGTATATTTCTTGTTCAGGTAGCAGGACAACAATAGTGTCTTTTTCCCCTTGCAGGCTTTGAATAGCTTCTACTATTGGCTTTGAACATTCTACATAATATTCTCTTAAAAAGTGAATATCATTTTCCTTCAACGGAAGTAATTTTAATATTTTCATGGTGTCACAGACTGTTCTCTATGGCTAAAAGATCTTATTCCATACAAGATCTTGTTGGTAATGTTGATACCACACAAAAGATTCGGCATAATTATAAATTACTGCGGGTCTTTATATAGAGCATAGCCGATAATGACATTTGTCTCCATGTGTCAATCTGGTCCTAGACTAACGCCCGGTTTCTGAACACTGATTATCGTAGTAGTGAAGTCAACTAATCAGTTATCAAAAGCCTTTTTAAATGTTATTGAAGTTGCCAAGAAGATGGTTAATATCTTTGAATTGATCATTCTGATCATTAACAAGATCATTCTGAATCAAATTAATTAACATTTGATAATTTATTTGACATATTTCATTAATTGACTACTACGATGATTAGTGTTTCAGCAACTGTGCGTAGTTTCGGCGCGTTTTCATTAAAAAAAATTCGTTAAAAAGAAAATAAAAGTGGGGCTCCCATACAACAGACATGATTTTTTTGCTGTTTTTATAGATAATGTTTGGTCTAAATTATCATAATTTTTTTTTCTGTATTTTGAATCGTTATTTTGAAAATATTTAAAATGACAAAAAATATGTCCAAGTATGTATGTCATATGATGATCCATTGTGGTAACAATAATATATATCAAGGATTAGCAACGCGCGGCCCGCGGGCCGCTTGCGGCCCCTTAAACATGTTTATGCGGCCCGCCAAGAATTTCTAAAATTGAATTTATTTTATCGAATTTCTCCCATCAATATATTGTTTTAAAATTAATTATAATAAAATGGTAGTATATACTGAACCGAAATATTTTTTGTTCGTTTTCTGTTCTTTATTGTTTGTTTTTACCTTGCATTAATTTGTATATGAAATCTTTACGTTTTTTTTAATTTTATATTTTTTTATTTTAATGTTTATTATAAATAAAGTTTCGTAAATTATTATGTGCGGCCCGCCAAAAAAAATTGAAATTGAAATTGGCCCATTGATTAAAGGTTGCTCACCCCTGATATATATCTTAAATATATCTTTTATACATTTGCTTATAAATAAATATGCTTTTATTTCAGAACCGCAGCAAAATGCTTAGATGAGGCGCTTGGGAATGCTTTATTACGGGAGCAACGCGAGGTTATTGGGCTTAAAAAGCACTCCTATGGATTCTTAAAATAAAATTTTTAATGAATAATACTCACTTTGTAATCTAGTCCTTTATTTCATAAGTATACATTGTTATACATAACTGTCATAACAATCACATTAATCAAGTTTTCATAATGAATAAACATAATAGGAATACATAAGGTGTGAAATTTTTAAGGAATGTAAATTCTTAATTTATAAAAATTATCTCCCCCATCTTTAAGTTTCAAGTAAACTTACCATAATAGAAATTATTCTCTAACATTTAATGTATTACCAGAATCAAGCTTATATTTGTAATGTGATTATAAATTTTTAATAAGAGTCAAATCTAATTCACTACATAGGAAATTACTAATTAACAATTTAATTGAAGCTTAAAAGATGAAGCATATAAAATTGAATATATGATATAGGACCTTAGTGGTTCACTACAAAGATACAAGAAATGTTATGTAAGGATATAGTTTTAAAAAAGTTCATCTACTTCTTGGGGGATATGGGAGTCAAAAGCTCAATTACAGCAGCAATGTTCCCGTCCGCATTCTCAAGAAGCCGAGTTAACCAGCCGCCATCATTAGTGAAACCCATAGCCATCATTTGCGTTATTGCAGCATCAATGTGAGGTTCTGTTGAGGATAGACATTTCTTCAAAAACATAGTAAAAATTGAGTTTTTGGAAAAAGAACAACAAAATTGACCAAATTTTATATTGATGAATCACTATTATACATCTAAAAATAAAGCTACATCTAGTAAATGTGCCAAAATTATCTCGTTATGTATTTGGAGGTTAACAATAATTTTGACAGCTTTGAGAGATTTATTTGTGTTCATAACTAAAGCATAAAATTTTTAAGATACAACTTTTAAAGTATTGCTTTATAAAGTAATTGCTTAATTGGTTAGTTTATTTCCTCATCATGTGGAATGCTAAATTACAATACTAAACTATCCAAATAGTGCAGTACTTTACTTTTATTTTGTTGAGAAAAGTACTTACCAGAATGGTAGCATGGTGTAGGCTGAGGTGGTTGGGGTTGAAACTGAGTAGCAGTTGGAGAAATCTTCTGCTTAACTGGCTCACTCATTGGCCCCTTCCCATTAGTGTTTGTTTGTTGCTCTTGTTGCGCAATTTGCTTTTCAGGCTCTTTGGGATTCAACACTAAATGTTACAACTTACGTCAATGGTAATCAAATGATGATTTCATTTTCATAAGAAAACAGTTTAACAGTAAAAAGTAAAATTTACTGCAAATTCAAAAATCATTTTTGTAACCCCTCAAATAAGTTTATCATAATTAATATTAAATTATAAACTCCTTTTATTGAATAAGTTTTGAAACAATAGAATGTAACAAATCTATCTGTCAAGTTAGTGACAAATAAAATTTAAAAATTTGCACTTATACATTTCATACATATGGAACAACAGTTCAATCATATTACATTTCAGTTAAAGTCTTCTATTTTTTTTTATATGAGAAAGTGGCAATCGAGCTAGTGGTTCACCAAGTGATAACCGCCGCCCACGGACATTTGCAGCACCGGTTGCAGATGTGCTGCCACCTTTTAATAATGTGGGCCCCGGCTACCTCACTCACCAGACAAAACGCAGAAGTTTAACACTTCTACTTCACGCCGGTCTTCTGTGAGGTTGTGGTCGTGGATCGTATTAACCCAGATGGACCCTACCTTTTCGTGCAACAGAGAACACTATTGCGTGGTCCTACCATAGGAAGATTTTATATTTTTAATATCAATATACATCTTTTATAAGTAAAAGAAACATAAATAAAACTTTTGTATCATTTTTGTTATAGATTTATAACAAATGAAATCATGTACACAATTTGAACTCACCAGCTGAAGCAGTGTGCAGTGGAGGGTAAAGGCTTTGGCCATCATTGATTGTAACCCGCTCTTGAAACTCTTCAGGCAAGTTGAAACCTACAGCCTGATCATTAGGAGCACTTGGCTTTACATCTGTATCCATTATATCTATAACAACATAATTGTTAGTTTATGCAATTGTGAATTCTGACAGACCCCATGAGGTAAATAATACACTTACCTTTTTCATTGTTGATCATGGTCCAGTCATCATTTAATCTCTCTGGAGATATGTCTTTTTTTGTGGAATTATTTCCATCCCTAACTGTGGAAGATACTTCAGATTTAACACTACCTTCATCAGATTCAGGTTGCTGGTTACTTTCCTGCTTATTTTCTTCATTACCCACATGAGAAAAGGGGACCTGAGACAGCAGTTGGCTAATGTCAACACCATAAACCATTTTAACCAGTTTTTGCACACTCTCCTGATTAGCGCTACTGGGGAATGGGCATTGAATATTTTCTGCACCAGATGATGATGGCTCTGGCTGCTTAGGAGCAGCTTGAGCATTACCGCTTTCCTTAGACTGCTCTTGAGAGCCATTTTTAACATTCCTGGGCTCACTATCTCTGTTCCTCCCAGCTTCAGTGCCCACATCACCCGCAAGATTTGCAAATTCATTCATGTAAGTGGCAAATGTTTCAAGCCAACTAGGGCGCGGACGGCGGTGTTGATCACCGCGACTTCCTTCGCCATGATGGGCATGATGACGTTTCTTCTCCGCAATTTTCTCACCTTTCGGTCTTTTGTAATGGCATTCAGTTTCTGCCATAGCAGTGGCCACTGATTTCATAATGTGACGGGATCGCCTTATAGCTGCACGTATGGTAGTGCGCTAAAAGTTACATTATTAATATCACAAAGACCATACCATATATATATTACAACAAAAAAAATTTCAAAATGAATTAGTTACATTAAAATTAAAAGCCTTTGCAGGCAAGCAGGCAGTTCACCTAATGTGAAGTGACTACCGCCACATATCTTGACTACACTTGAAGAGTTACAGATGTGTTGCCAACCTAAAATCTGTGGTTTCCTCACTATACTGCTTCTTCATGTAAATTGGCATTGGAAATCAAGTGATGAAATGTTGAATATAGTCATCCAATATTCTTTTCCAACTAATTAAATTTTGGTTATTTTCTTCTTAAAGGAATTGGTATTAAAAACTATTTTCTTATTTATAATTTTGTTCCTATATATCACTATGAATAAAAATTACTTACAGGCATATTGGGAATGGGGACACGAACCATTATATGCTCAGCATGGTGTCCAGCAGCCTCACATTTAGAGCAAAGATCATAATCAGCACATGAAGTGCATTTGTATCTGAATCCAACTACTGGAGCATCACAGATATCACAGATGACTCCACAATGAGGCAAGTTGTTATCTACTAGAAATATACAAAACACAATGGAGAAATATTAATATTTTTAATAAGGATACTGATGTAAATAATTTAAATACTAGGAACAAACACAAGCTTGTAATACCAGTTACTAGACCCCAGTAAGTAACTTGTTCATGGAGCAGTGTATACGCTTCTACAACAAATGAATGCAAATAAATGCACAAAGTCTGCCTATTAACAGGTTTAAGAAATTTATTAAAGAAAAACTTTACAAAAAGAAATATTATAATTTAAATGAGTAACAGTAATGACAATAACCCTTGGGAATGAGTTGATTTTTCCCAATTTTTCCTTCGCGATTATAACGTAGATATTTTTCTAGTGCAAGAGACATTCTTAAAACCTAGTGTACGCGATCCCAGAATCGCAAACTACAACATAGTCCGCCACGACCGGTTAGCAAACCGTCTGGGAGGCACCTTAATTTATTACAAACGGTCCTTGCACTGTAGTCCGCTCGAAATTCCAGAGCTAAGCCATATAGAGGCATCCGCGTGTAGGTTAGCGCTCACCGGCCATAGGCCGCTTGTACTAGTCTCAGCCTACCTCTCGGGGAACAAAACCTTATTACAAAGCGACCTAGATACGCTACTCAACTTAGGCCCTTCCGTGATAATTGCAGGAGATCTAAACTGCAAACACGGCTCATGGGACATCCACAGCATCCCAAATAACAACGGAAAGCATCTCTTTAGCTTATCCGATAATTTAAACTTTAGCATAATTGCTCCTGCGACTCCCACTAGGTATCCTACGGTGGACAACTACCAACACGCGACACCGAGTATCCTAGATATCATGTTACTCAAGGAGGTCTCGCTCGACATCGAGTCGATAGAGACAATCCATGAACTAGACTCAGATCACAGGCCCGTCCTGTGTAAACTGGGCCAGAACGCCGGCGCGGTCCCTCCGACCAAATCCGTAGTGGACTGGCAAGGTCAAACTCAAGGCCTTGGACCCCCAGGACTTAGTCGACCTACCCGAGACGACAGCTACGTTCGATGACGCAAATCAAGCGATAGCAAGTCTCCGAAACCATCACTTCCACAGTCGCAGACTCGGAACGGACGGTTAAACTGTCGGGCGATCGACGGTTTAACTTTCCGCCCGACCTGCGACTCCTAATTAGGCAGAAAAATGCAGCCAAACGCGCTTTCGACCGATACCGATCGGAATCGAACCGAACCCTACTTCGACGCCTTCAGCTAGAAGTCAAAGATCGTGTATCGGAACACCGACATACAACGTGGGACACTCTCCTAGAGGACATCGAGCCATCGCACACCGCCTACTGGCGGTTGGTCCGCAGTCTGAAAGCAGACCCCCGCGAATCTCTACCGCCGTTAGTTAGACCTAATAGCGCTTCAGTAGCCCTAGATGACTCCGAAACAAGCCGAATGCCTTGCGGACAACCTAGAGCAGCAATGTACGCCATCGCGCGAACACATCGATACAGCCCACCTAACGGAGGTGGACCGCGTAATCGAGATTAGGGCTGCGCTTCCACCGGAAGGCGATCCTTTGAATTCAGTGACCCCCGAAGAGGTTCAAGATATTATTAAAAACTTAAAACCCAAATCCGCCCCGGGCCCAGATAATATTAGTAACATAATTCTTAAAGCTCTCCCTGGGCCGCTTATCTGTTTACTGGACGACTGGAAAGAAGCCAGGGTTATCGGCATTCGCAAGCCTAATAAACCAGCCAACCAGCCCTCTAGTTATCGTCCCATCAGCCTCCTCAGTTGCCTGGGGAAGCTCTACGAGCGGCTTTTATTAAACAGACTCAATGAGCACGTGTTTTCCAACGGCCTTCTGCCGGCGGAACAATTCGGCTTTCGAGCTAGACATTCCTGTCCCGATCAACTATTCCGACTAACGGAACATATCCTAAAAGGCCTAAATCACCCTAAACATATTAGTACAGGGGCTCTTTTCTTCGATGTCGCAAAAGCATTCGACAAGTGCCAGATAGGCTCGTACACACCATCCAGGCCTTCCTGTCGAACCGCTCTTTTCGATATCGAGTTGAAAGCACCCTCTCCACAAGCCGCCGCCTCACCGCCGGCGTATCACAAGGCTCCTGCCTCTCACCTTTGCTCTTTACGCTCTACACCAGCGATATACCTAAAGACCCCCACGTCAATCTCGCGCTTTTCGCGGATGACACGGCGCTCTTTTATTCAGACCGCAACCTTAGACAACTAACCACTCGACTCCAAAGCGCTGCCGACCGCCTCGGCGATTGGTTCCGCAAATGGAGAATAGAAATAAATCCCGAAAAGAGTGTGGCGATTCACTTCACACGAAGTACTTACCCGTCACATCTTTATAATGGCCCTCGTCAATGCAGAAAGTTGGGGCAAATATCCCTTTATGGCCAACCGCTCCCCTGGGAGAAAAAGGTCAAATACTTAGGAGTCACTTTCGACTCGCGTATGTCATTTACTACGCACATTAATAACGTTCGCAATAGAGCCGCGTTCGTCTCTGGCCGGCTATACAACTTAACTAACGCTAAAAGTAAAATGCCCTTAAGGCACAAATTATTATTATATAAGACCTGTGTACCGTGTGACCTATTATGTCTTACGCATGCATGACCTTCGCCCACACGCACCCTACTCGCTTGTACAAGTTGCAAATAGTACAAAATAAGTTCATCCGCCGCGCAACCGGTGCGCAGTGGTATCAACGCAACGTCGACCTGCACAGCGATTGCAGACTCCCGACGATTCGCGAATATTTTAAAGACCTGACCAAACGGTTCTTCGATAAAGCCGAACATCATCCCAACCCTCTGGTGGTAAGCGCAGCAAATTACCAACCCGACAAAAACGCGAACGTCAACAAGCGTCGCCCGCGAAACGTCCTAATCGACCCGGTAGAGGAAGGGGACTTAGACAAACCGGACCCACTGCCGGGGGTCCCCCGGACAACACTCCGACAGTTAGGGCAACAACAAACACACTAGTTCGCCCTCGCCTCCGAGCACGGCGAGACCAACACAACGCGTACACAAGGTACACCCGCGTTCCGGGGCGGTTCTCACCGCCCCCAGCCACCGATTAGCTAATTGCACAGTCGACGGCCGTCGGGGTTTCGGTCCGAACCACGACCTCGATGGCCCTTAGATGACACACCATAGTTAAACGCACGCATGAGCACATGCGTGGCCCTACCCACAGCGGAGGGCCCAAACCTGTGGGTTCTGGCTAGCCCATCGGTTCTGCGTCAGATGAAGCTTTAATAGTCTCGGGACTGAAAGCAAAAACATCAGTTAATAAAAAAAAAAAAAAAAAAAAAAAGATTAAAAAAAAACTACTAGTGATAGATGAAATGTATGTTTTTTATGTTGGTGAATAAATGATCTTTTCTTTTTTTAAACAGCACAATTAAGAATGTTTTAGTACACTAGCCAGTCTGTTGTTGCCACTCAGTAACTATAACACATTAGTCACCATTTATTCAGGCAATGTGTCCTGCCCATTGCTACTTAAACTTGCAAATCTAAAGAAATATGTTGGTGACTGGTTCTTTGGTGAATTTCCTTGTTCCAAAAAATTCATCGGTTTCATTTTCACGAAAGGGTAATTACACATAACCCACAAATGTTTGTGCCGGATCAGGATGCTTTTTCTAAAGAGTTGTCATTAAAAAGGCAGACATTCATAAGAAATCATAGGCAATATCATTAACAACATGATCCACATGTGGCAACCCCACCTAGTTTAGATAGACTTACCAGTAGAATCATTTGTAGCAGTAATCACAACATTGCATTCAATTTCTTTCGGCCGTTCATTCTTGCAATTTACAAAGATCTTCATAAGATTATCATTCATAGCTGATAAGGCAGTCATCATTTCATCATCAGAAGAAATAATCACTTCATCATCTTCTTCGTCTAAAATAATAATCATTAAAGAAATTACTTATAAAATTCATTACTTAAATGCTTATGATTATAATAATATTTCATTTATATTTATTTTATGCAAAAAGTTGTCAAACAAGCAGCCGGTTCACCTGATGTTAAGTGAATACAGCCACCCATGGACATCTGCCACACCCGAGGGTTACGGATGCGTTGACAACCTTTTGAAAATTGGGCTCCGGCTACCTCACTCACCAGACGAAACGCGAAAGTATTTGTCATACTGCCACTTTATGCTGGTCTTCTGTGAGGTGGTGGTACTTACCCGTCCGGGCCTGCCCATTCGTGCAACAGCCGAGGCTGAAGCGTTAAAACATTTTTAATGTTCATAAAATTCTTCATGAAGAAAATGCATACACTATAACAGCTTGCATTATAATAAAAATCAAACATTAAATAAAAAAATGAAATTGTGGTTTACCTTTCCAGAATACAATGTAATGTTTATTCTTTAATCCAGGATAGACATCCTGAAGCTTAGCATCAAGGTAGCAAAAACTTGTCACTACACTTTTTTCTATACCAAATCTACGAACTTCAGGTTTTGACTGATCTTTCCAGTAAGTATAGACCTTGAACGGTACTTTATCTTCCATTGCTATAAAGTTTAAATAATTTTGATTGTATATTTGTAACTTAGTAAAAACTGATACCTAAATTAAAACAAAAATTGGACAATGCCCATCTAGGTAGCCATCTTAGCTTTACAAAAATGACCAATTTCCGACATTTCATTAGAAATGTATTCAACACAACATAAAGAAAATCGTTATTGAACTTAAGTATATGGCAAATTTTAAATAGACTTACCGATAATTTGAATACTTTCAACTTTAAATGGCAGACAAATGATAATATGGACGACGTCCTCCTTGAACAGTTTCACAAAAATCAATGATTTGGGGCTGCTGTACAACGATGAGGCATATATATATGTACAGTTGATATGTATGATTCACCCTTCTCTGTTGTAGAACATTGGAGAAAAACAAAATATTATTGCGCAAGTCTGTTTATCAAAACAGAAATATCATGCTTGTCACAGATAACTAATAGCTTTGAATGCAACAGATAATTTTTTTATAGCATAGTTAGCTGTTCGCACGGCGGGTGGCGCAGCGGTTTTTATGGCGTTCTCGTAAGAGATCTGTTTCGCAGATAGACCGTAAAACGACCTGCGGAACGCGGTCTCAGTAAAAAAGATCACTGTTGCGCGACGATGATATGATGAAGCGACCCTTTCTTAACATAAGATGGACAATTAGACCAACAAGGGTACGACATTAACCAAGGACCAATCCGGTCAGAATCCATGCCTACTTCGTATAACTTAAAGATTATATCTCTTATAAGCAAAAATGACCTATAAAACAAATCTGATTAATTTAATAGAGTAGTGTTTCCCATCACAACCTTTTTTGTTCCATGCGCCTTAGCCTTTCTAAAATTATTTAGAGGTTTCTTCTCAACAGAAACTGCTTTCCGAACCGGTGGTACCTAACTTACGAACGTGATAAAGAAAAAAAAGCACGTGAGCACATCCTCAAAAACTTGTCGACAGGTCAATTCCATCAATAATTGTCAGAATTTATTTATGAATATGTATATATGTATTTATAATTGTATGTATACATTTATTTATGTATGTATATATGATTTTATGTATATATTTAGTAAGATATGTATGTATTAGTATGTATGTACATACACCTGGTAGTATTTATTATATTTATACTATAACTAACATGTGTATATACTTTCATTTACAACAGTTTATATTTTAACAGTGTTTTCTTTTTATTTATTTCTTTTGACATCTTTCTGTGCACCTACCGAATCTTCTCTGTACCACCCCAAGGTTGACTGGGAGATAATGCCTGTGGCATTAAGTCCGCCTCTGTACAGCTTGTGCATAAAGTATAAATAAATAAATTCTTTGTAAAATTGACTAATTGAAATAAACGTTTAAGCCCAAATAGCTTATTGTAAAAAATTTAATCTAGGTGCAATGTCATTTTGGCATGCTATAGTACCCAATGGCTTATTCTGAATTAATCTTTTACACTATTTTGACTTTTGACAGATTATTGTTAACTAGCTGCTGCCTGAGACGTCCGCTTAGAATAGGCTGGGGGCGGATTCTGCTTCGTGCTCTCGTACGGAACGGACCTCTCTCTAAGACGGAGGGCTCATGCCACCCGAATTAGACGCTACTCGCAACTTCGGTTGCAATTTAAATCTTTGTGCAAGCAGTGCAGTAGTTTAGTGTTGTGTTCGCTCGTGTGTGTCTCGCTCGACGTTAAGTCGATAGAGACAATCCATGAACTAGATTCAGATCACAGACCTGTCCTGTGTAAACTGGGCCAGAACGCCGGCGCGGCTCCTCCGATCAAATCCGTAGTAAACTGGCGTCGTCTTGAGGTCAAACTCAAGTCCTTAGACCTCTAGGATCGACCTACCCGAGACGATAGCTACGTTTTAACTTTCCGCCCGACCTGCGACTGCTAATTATACAGAAAAATGCAGCCAAACGCGCTTTCGACCGATACCGATCGGAATCGAACCGAACCCTTCACCTTTCCTCTTCGCCTTCAGCTAGAAGTCAACGATCGTGTATCGCAACACCGACATACCACGTGGGACACCCTCGTAGAGGACATCGAGCCATCGCACACCGCCTACAGTTGGTTGGCCCGCAGTCTGAAAGCAGACCCCCGCGAATCTCTACAGCCGTTAGTTAGACCTAATAGCGTTTCAGCAGCCCTAGATGATTCCAAAAAAGCCGTATGCCTTACGGACAACCTAGAGCAGCAATGTACGCCATCGCGCGAACACACCGATACAGCCCACCTAACGGAGGTGGACCGCGTAATCGAGATTAGTGCTTCCACCAGAAGGTGATGCTTTGAGTTCAGTGACCCCCGAAGAGGTCCAAGATATTATTAAAAATTTAAAACCGAAATCCAGCCGCCAACCGCCTCGGCGATTGGTTCTGCAAATGGAGAATAGAAGTAAATCCCGAAAAGAGTGTAGCGATTAACTTCACACGAAGTACTTACCCGTCACATCTTTATAATGGCCCTCGCCAATGCAGAAAATTGGGGCAAATACATGGCCAATCGCTCCCCTGGGAGAAAAAGGTCAAATACTTAGGAGTCACTTTCGACTCACGTATGTCATTTACTACGCATATTAATAACGTTCGCAATAGAGCCGCGTTTGTCTCCGGCCGGCTATACAATTTAACTAACGCTAAAAGTAAAATGCCCTTTAGGCACAAATTATTATTATATAAGACCTGCGTACGACCCGACGATGTCCTACGCATGCATGACCTTCGCCCACACGCACCCTACTCGCTTGTACAAGTTGCAAATAGTACAAAATAAGTGCATCCGCCGCGCTACCGGTGCGCAGTGGTATCAACGCAACGTCGACCTGCACAGCGATTGCAGACTCCCGATGATCTTCCCCTTCTTCACAACATAACCTTTAGGAATTCCCGACATCGAACCGTCCCAACCTCAAACTTCTCCGAGTCGCCATCGACAAAACAATTCCAAGCGAAGCACCCTTCACCACAGGACCACAGGCCGCCCTATAGACCATCTTAAATTTCTGTTGAAAACCTCCGACTACCAATCCAGCTCTACATCTTCCATCCGACCTCCCAGCAATGACCCACCCTCTCCAAAGAAAAAACTCTCGTCTACAGACCTCAATCATCTGTCCTCCTCACTGGAGTCAACTGCTTCCTTAAACGCTAAAAGCGCACACTCAGCCAAAAAATCCACAACATAATCCTTATACCTCTCGGGTAAAGACCTATTTCTCGGTGGATTCCTTCCTGGACTCACACCCTCCGCAACAACCTCCGTCTCCTCTTCATAAAGACCTATTTCTCGGTGGATCCCTCCCTGAACCCACACCCTCCGCAACAACCTCCGTCTCCCCTTCATAAAAACCTATATCTCGGTGGATCCCTCCCTGGCCCAACACTCTCCGCAACAACCTCCGTCTCCCCTTCATAAAGACCTATTTCTCGGTGGATCCCTCCCTGGACTCACACCCTCCGCAACAACCACATCAAAAAACATAAACAACCTCTATTCTATCCCCACCCGCATCCAAAAAAAAACATCAAAATCTCCTTTGTTCTCTATAACTCCTTCACTATCAGATCATCAACAAAATCCAACTTCCTCACATCTTCAATAGTTTCTTCACAAACTACTTCACTACTTCATTTGTTTCTGTACTCTTCATTTTCAATACCGTCAGTTGTTACTTCTTGAATTGTTCCTTTTTCAATTGTTTCTTCTTCATCACCCATGCCTCTATTTTATTTATGGATAATAATTCCTTACTCATGGTCGCAGTCTGCTCATTATTTTTCAAAGTATTTTCAAAATCCGCAGCAGTTATTTTCAAAGTACCTAATCTTTTGTTTCCTTTTTGAATGGTAGTATCTTTCTCTAACAATGGTTTGATGGGCTTGTCAATCTTTGATAATTTCGCAGGTGTCACTTTTGCTCAAAAAACTCGAAAAACCTCTTAAATGGTAGATGTGGCTAATGGGATCACTTTCAAGCCAAAAAGACACTTAAGGACTGATAAGAAAACTTTATTTCAACTTAAACATTTTGAACTTATTTTTGACGAAACGTAATCATTATGAAATTTATATAAAATACAAGAGTTATGTCAGATAACTGTACATGTTACTTCTTCAAACGATTTTAACGGAATCATCAAATATGAGAACTCAGTCTGAAGAAATAAAATTAACATTCCAAATTTAAAGTAATTCAAATAATTCAACACATAAATCAAATAGGTCAGAGTTGACATCAAAAGAGTATGTATAATCTGATGATCTGATCTAATATGATTACCAATCAACAATTTTTCTCAAAAATAGTTGACAAGGACAACCCTAAACTGCCTTCTGCCGCAGAGAAGTTTACTTGACGACGTCAAACACCATAGATAAGACATATATACTGAAATAGATGAGACACTCGACAAAACAACTATTACTGTTTACCCGCCCTGTCCGCTAGATGGTGCCAGCGCCTTTGTGAGCTACCTACCTATAAATTATATACTAGATGGATTGTTTCAAAGGGATAATGTCTTCTGTAAAATTCTAAAACACCACAATCTGAAGTTAAAAAAAATTATTACATAATTAGCGACCCATACAAACACGAACATAATTTTATATTACATTAATTACAGTATTCAAGTATTATAGGTACATTATTTTGATCAAACAAAACAGCTGTTTATTTATTGATAATGTTACAATTTTCAGAGATGTTTACATCGTAAATCAATCATAGAATTGGCCACATTATGATGTACCCGACCATTTTATAATAAAGTGACAAAAATATACGAAAAAACAAAGTTGTTTAAAAAACCTGAGACCTTCAAAAATCAATGACGATTAACAAGCAAAAACAAAGTATTATTCCACCCCTCATAATAAAGATTAATCGTGATTTTAAAGAATTTCAAATTTCATCGAAAATGACATCAGAAGAAAGAAACTTCATTATACTTAGAAAAATAATTATAAAGAACATTATTAGACAAGATTTAAGTTTCGAATCAAAGAAATGTTTCTCAAAAGAAAAAGATTACAAAAGGATTACATTTTTCATTTAAATGATCTAGGGAATTTAAAAAAGAAACTTAATCGCCTTCTTCTCAAAACCGCATATTTGCAAGTACAGCATTTACATAACGACAACAGTACAGAAACCCCTAGGCCTTGTAAAAGCAATAGATATTGCAAGCAAAAACAAAGTATTCTTACAGAGAAATACAATTATTGAAATCACCATCAAGTTGAAATAAAAGCCATATGAAAAACTCTATTTCTTTAAAATAAGCAAACACGTCAAATAATGAAATGCTGTTTATAACAAATATTGTATAAACTTAAATACAATTTCTCTTAAAGTAATAAAATGATCTGGTCATCATCTTTTTATTATTAATTACTGCTACTTTCATTTTCTATGAATTATTGTAATGAAAAAACTGTAATTTATCTGAATGATCTTGGTCATCAAAATCAATTATTATTCTAATTAAAATTCTGTTCGTATTCATACTCCAACTATTAAGTATTAAATTAATTCATAAATTAGTTATGTAACACCCAATACTAATTTCGTTCTACTACAAGTAATAATAAAAAAATCACACAAACATATTGAAATGAATCCTGTAGCTTAATTTAGTTTAGTTCCTGTAGTTTAGTTTAATCATTGTCATCAAAATCAATATTTTTTCCAATTAAA